AGGCCACACCTACTCTTTTCCAAACAGTTCTGTCAGCTGGGACCAAGTATTCAAACTCAGAAGCCTTGGAGGCCGTTCTCATCCAAACCCCACGAGAGCAGGGAGGGAGGGAACTCAGCAATTCTAAAGAAAGACATCGAGGAACAGTTAGCCAAGAAGCCACTTCATACTGGCATAAATAAATGCAATAGAAACTCAAGGAGAAAAAAAAAAGTAAGGAAGGAATACTGCAGCAGGGCCTTGAGGGGCTGTGACAGATCTGAGGTGAAAGCAAGGGTAAGAATAGGAGGCCAGAGAGACTGCCCAGTGGCCAAGATCCCTGGCTGATCCTCCAGAGGACTGGGGTTCAATTCTCAGCCCCCACATGGCAGCTAATGACTGTCTACCACTCCGAGATCTGACACCCTCATACAGACGTACATTCAGGCAAAATAGCAATCCAAATAAAAATAAGTATTTACATGTATATATACACACACATACATACATATATACACGCATACATATATACATATACACACATACATATATACATATACATACATACATACATACATACATGGAGAAGCCACTGTGGCCAGAAGAGTCAAGAGCTGCAGGGTGGGAAGGGAACTTAGATCAGTCGCTAGAGTGCTTGCCTAGCATCCAGAAGCCCTTCGTGCCATTCCCAGCACCATATAAAACCAGGTGTGGTAGCACACAGGTATTCCCAGCACCTAAGACATGCGCAGGGAAGCTGGAGAGGTGGCTCAGAGGTTAAGAGCACTTGCTGCTCTTCCAGAGGACCTGAGTTCAGTTCCCAGCACCCTCATGGCAGCTCACAATTGTAACTCTCAAGTCCATTGAATCCAACACTCTCACACAGACATATGCAGGCAAAACCCCAATGCACATGAAATAAAAATATTTAAAGACATAAGCAGGAGGATCAAGAGCTCAGGGTCACCCTCAGCCACTGAGGTAGTCTGGATGAGAGCAGCCTCCAGATATATGTTTGGATGTGAAGAGCCCAGGAATATGAAAAAAAAATTGTAAGCTTATAACCTGTGCTCATATTTCTGATTATATTAGGACTGATAGCCACTTTGACCCTCTGCCTTGCATTCTCCCAGGCCAGGAAAAGCAATTTAAAATAACCCAGGACTACGTAAACATTTTAAACTAACACCCTGTATCAGAAGTTATAAATCCTGATCTCTCCCTCCCCACATCAGAGGTGCCCAGAGATTCCGGAATACCATAAATTAAAATATGTATTACTCTCGGTCTTATGTTTAAACTTTGACTGTAAAAAGGAGCTTGTAATAAGCTGGAGGTGGCGGCAGCAAACACCTTTAATTCCAGCACTCGGGAGGCAGAGGCAGGTGGATCTCTGTGAGTTCGAGGCCAGCCTGGTCTACAGAGTGAGTTGCAGGACAGCCAAAGCTGTAACATAGAGAAACCCTGCTCAAAAAGCAAAACAACAAAAAGGAGCTTGTAGCACTTCCTCTGGCTACAAAGTCGGGTAAGTCTCAGTAGTCCTAACTAGTTAGAGGTGTTTCTTTCCTCGCGGTGTTTTTGAATAAAGACAAATGCTTAGTCTGCCCACACTTGTTAGTATTTAAAGCTCTGGGGGTGGCGGCAGGATTCACCAAGTGCGGCTACTCACTCAATGACTACTGCCAGTGAGTGGCCTTGGCGCACCTCCGGGTGGCGGGTTGGTGATCTCCACTTTGCACCCGAGGGAGACCTGTAGACCTGTGACTCCTTTGGTGTCTTTCAGGCCCTTCTGACGGTGGCCTCAGCTGGGCTAGGGCCTGGACACTGTCCAAGGTGCTGGGAGTCCGGAGCTAGAGACTCGCACAGATCAGGATCAGTGTTCTTCCCAGTCTCCCTGGCCTGCTGTGGCTGGGGGAGAGGGGCACTCTGGGAAACTCTGGTTTGCATTGGAGTGAGATTCCGAGTGCCGTGGGCGCGCCGCGCGGCTGCAGTGACCTCCCGGAAAGCAAGCTAGGCCGGCGCCACCGGGCGGGGAATTCCGGCCAGGCTCCGCGCCAGGGAGGCAAAGGGGCGGCGCCGGGCCCCGTGATTCCGCACCGAGGCGCGCGAGCCTGCCGGGCAGGGGGGACGCGTGGGCGCTGCAGGTGCGAACCAGAGGCTTCCAGGTTCCTGGCGGCGGTGCGGGGCCGGGAGACTGATGCAAGTCCCGGGAGGTGACCCGAGGTCTAGGGTGCGGGATGCCGGTCCCAGGGACCAGGATGCAAGGTTCTGCTGGGCAGGGCGCGTGTGTCACGGGTGGAGAGTCCTAGGGGGCGACGTGCGGAGCTCCGGATGCCGCAGGTCCTGCTAGGGGAGCAGGGTCCCGCGGTGCAGGTGCAGGACCAGAGTGCGTGCCCAGCCGCCACTTCCTTCTCGTTCTAACTTTCGGTTTCGGATTCAGCCCGGCCCTGCGGGCGGCTCCGACCCCATCAACTCTCGGGCTGCGACCCACGCTAGGGCTGCCTTGCTCCTGAGTTCCCGGGAAGGACAGTGCCCTCAACATGCCCAACCACGCTAGCGAGCTCAAAGCGGTCCCGGGTCTCAGCTCCGCCCCGGAATCCGCCCTCAGCAAGCGCAACCCAGAACTTTTACCAGCCTGGCTGGCATCTGTGCCTGGGGTGCTGATCTTCCTCCGGGTCAAGGCTGGGGTCACGGGAGGCTGGGGAGGCTCCCTGTCGCATGGAGCTGAGCCTTGCGATGGGCCGGTCCAAACCCACCGGCTTTTCTTAGTCTAGTCTCAGGGTGAACGTCCCCTTGCTGGCTGAGTGGAGAGGCGTTGATACTGCCAGGCTGTTCCTAGTCTTAGCTGAAGCGCTTTGGAGTTTCCTGAACAGCCCTGGAGAACCGACTTTAGTTGTGTTGGCTAAGGCTACACCACCCCAAAATGTGGCAGGAGAAAACTTGCCACCCCAAAATACACTTCTTAGGCTTGGTTTGGTTGTTTCGAGAAACTCAAGGGTTGAGAAGCAAAACTTTCTTTTCCTTTTCTTCTCTTCCCTTTTCTCTCTTTTGGCTTTTCGAGACCAGGTTTCTTCTATGTATAGCGCTGGCTGTCCTCAAACTCATTATGTAGGCCAGGCTGGCTTCAAACTCAGCAACCTGCCTGCCTCCAGAGTGTTGAGATTAAAGGAATGTGCAGTCACACCCAATCTGAGAAGCAGAACTTTCTTTCTTTCTTTTTTTTTTTTTTTTTTTTTTTTTTTTTTTTTTTTTTTTTTGTTTTGTTTGTTTTTTGTTTTTCCAGACAGGGTTTCTTTGTGCAGTCCTAGCTGTCTTGAACTCACTCTGTAGACCAGGCTGGTCTCAAAGTTAAGAGATCTGCCTGTTTCTGCCTCTGGAGTGCTGGGATTAAAGACTTGTTCTGTCTGACACCCATAGCCATCACCAGGCCAGAAGCCAAATTTTCTTAAAAGAAATGTACATCTGGCTCAAAAGGACAGAGGGTTGGGACAGACAGTGTTGGTCACCTGTGGGAACACTTGCGGGGTATCACCAGCTCTTCCAGCTCCCAAGCTCTCAGCGAGCGCCCTGTGGCTCCAGCCCTAGTCCCAGCCCCAGCCTCTGGTCATTCTTTCCTGAGATTCCCTCTAACATTAACATATATAGTTGCACGCTTTCTCTCTCTCTCTCTCTCTCTCTCTCTCTCTCTCTCTCTCTCCAGGGTTTCTCTGTGTAGCTTTGGAGCCTGTCCTGAAACTGGCTCTGTAGACCAAGCTGGCCTCACACTCACATAGACCCACCTGCCTCTGCCTCCTGAGTGCTGGGATTAAAGACTGGGCCACCATCATGGCTACATAGTTGCTCTTGTGTTTTTTGTTTTGGTTTTAAGTTAGAGTTCTTTGTAGTCCTTGCTGGCTTTGAACTACTAATAGTCCTGACTCCACCTCTCAAGGACTGGAGTTACCAGCACATGAGACTATACCCAGTTTTGTGCACTAGGAGTGCAGGTGAGACCGTCCGTTTACGGGGAAAGAAGGTCTAAGTGGTGTGGTTACAGGAGGTATCTGAGTGATGTGTCTCAGGGTGCTTCAGGAGAGGAGGCAACGTGGGGCCCCCAACTTCCATAAAGATCACCTCCCCAACCCAGGCTCACCACCTAACTGTGGTCAAGCCAAAGGAGGCTGTCGGGGCAGGGGCTGGGAGGAAGGGAGGATCCAGCAGCAAGCACAGAAGATAAAAGCACAGTTGGAGCCCACTGGCTTGGCCTCTGCCCCTTCAGGGTGGACAATGGCAGCTAGCCCTGAGCAGTGAGAATGATTGGTGTGTTTGGAACTTTTCCCTTGAACCAGAGCAGAGGGGCTGGTCTCTATACCCTCCCTGGAGTGGCCTGGAGCCAGGGTTCGCACCCTATCCTTGGTCCGGATTACCCACAACCTTTACCCTGGTTTGGTGCCCTTTGCTGGGAGCTCTGACCAGGTCATCTGGGCTGGTTGGCTTCACACTCTCAAAACTGGTCCCCACGGATCCTGAAACCCTCTCCTTCAGTTGCCTGGGGTTGGTGTGTGTGTGTGTGTGTGTGTGTGTGTGTGTGTGTGTGTGTGTGTGAAAGCACAGCAGGGGACATCCATCAGCACTGGCGCAGCATGGGCTCACACAAGTCCCACAGGCAGGCAGGCAGCTGCCAACCCTGCCTCCCTCGGACAGGGTCCCCAGCTGGCTGGGGCTCTGCAGAGCCCACCTTCCTTCAGGACCCCTTTCTTTTGGGGGCGTCCTTTGAGCTTCCTTGAGCTGTGGTGGTGGACAATGGAGGGGGAGGGGCCGTGGGGGTTGTGAATCCCTGCTTGAGGGAAGCAGCCAGGTTTGGGATGGAGTACTGACTGATGGGAGGTCTGGTGCTGGGTTTCGACTGCCCCAACCTTCCATGGCCCCAGTCACTTCACTTTCCTGGAAAACGAAACTGAAGTGGGCGGTAGTCACGTGACAGGAGGCTGAAGCTTATATCGTGCTGGCGGCTGACTCTTTCCTTCAGGTCTGTGGATAACGGCATGAAGTGTCTGCAGTGCCAGCATGTGTCCCGAGAGAAGTCAGCTAGGTTCTGTAGCCACTGTGGGCAGAAGCTGCCTCCTGCAACCCCCGTGCAAGGTGAGGGGGAGAGGGGGCGCGGTGGGGCTCCAGGATGCGGTCGGGTCTCATCCTTCTCTGTAAAGGCAAAGTAAGTTTTGGCTTCAGTTCTTGGTGAGACCTCTTCCCAGGAATGAGTAGCCACTTGTGAGAGAGGGAACCGGAGGATGAAAGTCTTGTCCCCGCACACTTGGAAGGTGGAGGGTGGGTGTCCAGAAGTGTAGGTATGGCCATAAAGTATCACTGTTGCTGAACTTGTGAGTCACACATCCTGTGCCCCAAGCCAGGTCCTGCTACCTGTCCTCCATAGCCCGATTAAAAGGACCAAGTTTTGCAAGTGGGAAGCAGCGGGGCTGGAGAGAAAGCTCAGCACTGGCTGCTCTCGCAAAGGACACAGGTTTGATTCCCAGAACCTACAAAATGGTTCTGGTGACTCCTGTTCTAGAAGCCTCCCATTCTGATAGCCTCTGCTGATCTCCACAGGGACCAGGCACACATATGACAGACAGATATACTTGCAGACCAAACATTCATACAATAGAAATAAACAATTTTAAGCCTAGCGGTGTGGGTGCACACCTTTAATCCTAGCACTTGGGTGGCAGAGGCAGGTGGGCTGTTAACACAGAGAAATGCTGTCTCAAAAAAAAAAAAAAAATCCTCAATAAATAAATAAATAAAATTTAAAAATATATATATATATATAACTTTTTAAAAAATTTAAACAGAAATTAAAAAGCGGAAAAGGAGATTCAGTCAATGTGGCCACATGGGTAAGAGAGAGCTTACTGAGTCACGTAGTCGGGATTTGAACCCTGTGTGTCTGTATCCTACAGTTCAGGTCTTCCTGGCTTCCGTGTGGAGGAAGCCTCAGGGTGCTGTTGTAGCTCCTCAGAGGAGCCCTTGCTCACAGGTTTGTTGCTGACCAGGCTGGCCTTGAACTCACAGAGATCCACCTGCCTCTGCCTCCTGAGTGCTGGGGATTAAGTTAAGGCGTGTGCCACCACTGCCCAGCTTGTCCTTTTATTTTGGGTGAGCATATTGGCAGTATTCCAGCAAGCAGTGCCTCTGCCAGGAGAATGGGGGAGGGGCGAGGTATGCCTGAGAGCCAGGGTGTGTGGCATTTTTGCAACATGCCATCAAGTGCTCTCATGCTGACTCCTTGCCCGGTTGTCCGGGCAGGTGGGGAGTGGTGGAGAGAGGGGCAGGAACTTTTGTCTGCACAGGCAGAGAGGGCAGCTGAGCCTGGCTTGGTCGCTGGCCTTACATCTTCACACTGGGTTGTGACTGTCAGATTGGAAACTGAAACCAAGATGCCCACAGCTTAGGGAACAGTTCCAGCTACTGTGCTGGAAGCCTGTGTTCATCCTCAGTTCATCAAGGTCACAAAGAAGGAAACAGAAACTGATGTATAGACTCAGCTCCTTTCCTCCTGCAGGTGGGGCAGCCTGGACAGGGACATGGGATAATCTTTTTGTACACTATGTGAAGCTTTGTCCTGGTTTAACTCACCTGCCTAAGGCATCTTCTGATTGGTTTAATAAAGAGCTGAACGACCATTAGCTAGGCAGGAGAGGATAGGCAGGGTGTCCAGGGAGAGACAGGAACTCTGAGAAAGCATCAGAAGTGTAGAAGATTCTCCAGCCAGACACAGGAAGTTAGATGTGTGGTACTGAGGAGAGGAAAGGAACCACTTGGCTCGTTTTAAGAGCTAGTTGGGAGCAAGTCTCAGCTAAGGCCAAGCTTTCATACTTAATAATAAGTCTGTGTCCTTATTCGGGAGCTATTGGTCCAAAGAAAGACCTGGTATATGTACATGTTTATGTGTGTATGTGCATTTAGAGGATCACCCCCCCCCCCCGGCTGGCCTGGAACAGAGAGAAATCCTCCTGCCTCTCTCTGCCTGGGATTGAAGGAACATTCTATCACCTGAACACTTTGATGACCTTTGCCTCAGCCCACTGGGCAGCATCCTTACTCAACAGACCCTGGGTGCCTCCTGTCTCCAGGCACTGTGGGGCTCCTAGGGGAACCCGGGCATTGTGTCCCCACCTTCCAGAACCTGCATGGAGATGCAGAGAGCAGGCATTGTTGGGAGAAGGGGGTTAGTAGGAACTCAGGGAGGAAGTCCCAGATCCACAGGGGCATGAGGCCTTAGGGAGCAGTTGAGAAGCCAGGCTAAGAGACATCCCAGGCACTGTGTGGAGTGTGTGGGAGGTCAGAGACAGCCAAGGTAGAAAGCAGACCTCTTGTAGGTAAAACTCAGACTCAGGTTTGAGGTTTGAAGTGTGCGGGGACACAGCTCTGGATAGGTAAACATCTGCATGTCACCAATACTGAGGCATGTGACTGGGCATTGCTGGTCTGAGGGCCCCTCAGCACTCTGGCTGGAGATTCCACTCAAGGGCAGCCCGAAGACTCCTCAGAAGCTGCATCACTTAGAGCTATATCTAGGTGCAGCCATGTCCTTGACCGCTGCCCCTGCAGGAAGTAAAACAAAGCACGTAAGTGTATGGATGTCAGGAGGATGTATCTCATTGGAGGAGAGGAAGGCACCCAGGGGCCCGAGCAGTTGTTGTAATAGGACTTGGGGGTTTTGAAGCTGCCTGGTCTGTGTACCTGCCTTGCTCTCCACCGCTCTGTCCTGGAGGAGGAGACCGCTTAGGTTTGCCCTGTCGCTTGCAGCTGGAGAGGGACTGCTTCTAGGGATAAATCACTGATCAAACTGGTCCTTATTTAGCCATAGGTCCCGTGGAGGCTGGACTCTGTATGATTCCTTGGGCATTTCGTGGGTGGTCTGGCTATTGGTGCTGAAGGTTCTGGGTGTCATTCACCAAGATATGCAAAGCAGGGATCTACACACTACTGCCGGGTAGGGTGCTTGGACTAGGGTGCCCACCTAAAGAAAGGCTGGGTGGTTTTGGTGGGGAGGAGAGGAAATCATGCTATGGGCATCCGGCATACACTGGGTGAGTGTCCAAGCCATCCAGTTTGTTTGTTTCCGTCTTATTTGTCCCTCTGCTTCTGCAATCCCTGGTCCTGCCTTGTAAGGCTGGGAGCAGATACAACCCACAAGGCCTCAGAGAAGCTGGCCTCTCAGCAGACACTGGCTGGGGTCGGGGGTCCTGTCTGCCCTTCCTGGAACCTGCTGCTTTCCCTGGTGTGAGCCTACCTTCATGTTCCCCCGCAGATTCCGAGAACAACAATGCCTTCGAGGAGTCCTCGAGCTCAGAGGGGAAGACTGAGCAGGGGAATTTTCTAAAAGAGGAGGAGGCCCCAGTCTCCAGACAGGAACCGGAAACATCCGAGTCCGATGTCCCCTGGACCATCCAAATGGTGAGTGAGCCGCACCGGCTTCAGCCTACCTGTCTCAAGCTGGTTCCTGAGCTGATTGTATTGGTTTCTGGGCTCGGCCAGGTCTCAGTCCCCAAACAAGACCTGGCGAGCTCTAATCTTGCCAGAGGACAGAGGAGACGGCACAGAGGGGGCCCTGGGCTCTAGGGTGCAAAAATACTTGGAAAAAATAGATGTGTGATCTCCTAGCTAGGGAAGTCCAAACCAAAGATGTTCTTTGTCATCAGAAAAAGGCTCAGTATGACAGTGCACATGAAGCGTAGCCGGGGAAACCATGGCATGGGTGTGGTGGTGCCGCCCGCCTGTGACCTCAGCTCTCAGAAGGCAGAGGCCGGAGGGTGGAGAGTTCAAGGCCAGTCTTGCCTTCAATTGTAAGTTTGAGGCCAGCCTGAGCTACAGGCTGTGTCTCAACCTCCTCTCCAAAGCCTCCAAACCACAGGCCCAAAGCAGCTGGGTGTGGGGGACATGCCTGTCCCCCTGCAATCCCAGTGTTTGGTGGGTTCCAGGTCAGCCCCAGGTACACAGTGACACAGTAAGATTGTGCCCAAACCAAACCAAAGGTACAATCTGGTAAGCTATGTGCGGCCGCACACCTTTAATTCCAGTGCTGAGAGGCAGAGGCAGGCAGCTCTCTGAGTTTGAGGCCAGCCTGGTCTACAGGGCAAGTTCCAGGACAGCCAGGGCTACAAAAGTGAGACATTGTTTCAAAAAACAAAACAAAACAAACCAATCAGTCGGGTGGCTGGAGAGATGGCTCAGCCGTTATGAGGACCCAGGTCGTTCACAAATGCCTGTAACTTCAGTTCTAGGGAATTGGACACCCTCTTCTAGGCTCCATGGGTACAAGACATACACGTAGTGCACATACATACATGCAGTAAAAAACACCCTTACACATAAAATAATAGCAATAATAACAATAGTCATAGTAAACTAAAATTTAAAAGTCAGTCTGCTCATCCAAGAAGCTCAGAACACCCGAATACGATGAACGAAGAGATATCCACTCCAGGACACATGATAACCAAACCAACAAAAACCAGACTCACAGAGAGAATGTTGAAGCAGTCCATGAGCAACCTGCCACAGACGAGGGGCTCTTAGCGATGCAACAGCCGGTTTACAGAACAGAAAGCACGTCGTTCCAAAGGCAAAGGATGGGGTATCCAAGTTGAGAGAGAACAATGAGGCTGTTCTAGAAAAATACCTGGGCTGAAGGGGCAGCTTAGGGACAGTGATGCTAACATGCCCAACACCCTGGATTCGAGTACCACAAACAATAAAACAATGTGTGTGTAGCACTGCTCCAACTGCATGATCCCAGGTATATGAACTATGAAGTAGGCATATCTTCAAGAAGAGGGATTAGTGTTGCCTGAGTCTGGAAAAGGGGAGAGGCATGGTTTGTTTGGTAGGAGTTGCATTTTCCAGTGAGGAGAATGGGCACCTATTAGACAGAGGTGACCAATAACACCACGACTACTGATCATCATGGAATTAGGAACTCACTCTGTAGACCAGGCTGGCCTCGAACTCAGAGATCTGCCTGCCTCTGCCTCCCGAGTGCTGGGATTAAAGGCGTGCGCCACCATTGCCCGGCTGGAATTGGTCACTTTAAAATGGAATGGGGGCTGCAGAGATGAATCTGCTTGGCAGGGAAGAGCGCTTGCTGTTCCCCCAGAGAAGGGCTCACATCCACCTGTAACTCCTGCTCCAGGGGATTGACGCCCTCTTCTGGACTTTGCCATCACCTGCACACATCTCCCACACAGGCAGAGGCACATAGCGCAATAAAAAACAAAACCAAATCTTTGAAAAAGCACTACTAACATGTGCCTGAAATGCATGGGTGGAAAGCACATTCGTGGCTGCTAATGCGGTTGGCTTGTGACTGGCTTGTGGGGCTTTTTGTGTGTGTTCCCGACAAACTGTGGTCCTTCATCTGCTAGTGCTAGTGCAGGGTGATGCTCCAGTGCTGGGCACTGAGACAGGAGCCAGGAGAGATTGGGAGGCACCGTGCATCCCCACCCTAACATCTCTAATCTTTCCATGACGGGGATGGGGGAATCTTCTTGGCCAGTGGAAACAGTGAGGGGCACGAGGTGCCGGTTTGTGCGTGGAACTCTCCGTGCTCCCCCAACTCCAAACCCTGCCCAAGACTGGGAAAGGTGGCCATTTAAATACCCGTCAGGTATTTAAATGCGCGGTGGCAGGACAATACCAGGCAGGGGGCGGAAAAACCATACTCATTACATGTGACTTCCTGGCTCTTTCTCCCGGCTACTCTCTTAGGGGCTGGAGGACCATCCAGGAGCCGTTTTTTACTCATTAAACCAAGACTCCAAAAACTTTTATTTATTAGTGTTTTTGGTTTTCCAAGACAGGGTTTCTCTGTGTAGCTTTGGAGTCTGTAGACCAGGCTGGCCTCGAACTCACACAGATCCAACTGCCTCTGCCTCCCGAGTGCTGGGATTAATTTTTAAGTAATTAACTTTTAATTCTTAATTGCCGTTGGTTTGGTTTGCTGCACTGGCAGACAGACTTAAAGCATGTACAGAAGCCTTTCAGGACCTGCTTCCATCCTGACTTCTCTGCCACGGCTTCCCCATGCTAACTAACAGGGCACTTTGCTGAGTTTTTGCTTCCTCTTGGGCTAAGTGGGTTTGCGCCTCTTGCAGGAAGAGAAAGTGCCAGGTGCCAGGTGCGGTGTGTGGAAGAACCCCATTAGCACTTCCTTCTAGGCTGACCGGAAGGGAGCTATGGGGTCTTTGTGTCTGTTGAGAGGTCTGGAGGCCTGGTGGCCTAGCCATCTAGTATCCCTGAAGTATTCCATGTGAAGCAGACAAAGGCATTGGGGCCAGGACCCAAGCCTGCTTGCGTTGGATGTTGGAGCACCGCAGCAGACTTGTTCTGAACGCCACAGGGCCCTTCCTTAGCGTCCCCACACCTTCTGCCATTGCTCTCAGCTGTCAAAGGTGCTGGAGAGCTGGCTTGTGTCTTGTAAGGAGGCGGCCCTCCTAGGCCTTTACTGAGGTGGAGGCTCCTGAGGATTTTGCAGGAGCAGAGAAGTGGGGAACCCTCCCCTGTGTGAAGGGGTCGTGTCTCAACAGGAAGTGGACCCAGAGGTTTTTGTAGATGCTTCAGAGGACACGGCTGGTGGCCCAGAAGGTGCTCAGTGCCCTCCCAACAAGAGGAAGAAGGAGACAACCGGGTTTGAGGTCGTGGATGCCGAGCAGGTAGCTTGAGAACACAGCTGTGCAATTGTCCCTCCTTTGTCCCCAGCCTCTGTGCTCCTGAGTGGCCGCCACACTCCCACGTGCCTGGCTCAGACAGCTGAGGAAGGCCGCTGAGCTGAGCCACACCTGGGCGTGACTGCTGTTACTGAGGCGGGTGACCAGCCAGGGTCTTAGCTTGGAATTGGGAGGAGGCCGTTCTAATCTAAGGTGTCTGAAGGTCAGGGGCCCAGTGCTGGGAGGTCCTGTACCATATGTTTGTCTGCAGGAGTTTGACATTTGTGTCCTCAGCCAAACAGTGACTTAGGTGAGGGGACATGTGAGGTTTGCGCGTTTGAACCATTGGAAACCTCTTGGTTGCAAACCACTGAGTAGCCAGCTGGAACTGGTTGAAGGGGCTTTGTTGCTCGCGTCACTGGTACATCCAGAGCGAGACTTGGTCGAGGCGCGGACTCCTGGTGTTCGATGCCTCTGGACCCGTCCTGTGTCATGGCTTCCCCAGCAGCTACCTGCCATGCACTGTTCAGGGAACCAGAGGATGCGTCTCATGAGCTGTGATTGGGTTTGGTAGAGCGCCTCTCCGCGCCATAGACACCAGTGTTGTAAGCTCATAACCCACAAGTGCTCGGTCCAAAGAGAGAGCAGAGCACCGCATGGCTGGGAGCACGGAGGCGGGCGTGGGAGCACGGAGGCGGGCGTGGGAGCACGGAGGCGGGTGTGGGAGCAGGGAAGCGGGTGAGGGAGCACGGAGGAGGGCGTGGGAGCATGGAGGCGGGTGTGGGAGCAGGGAAGCGGGTGAGGGAGCACGGAGGCGTGGGAGCATGGAGGCGGGCGTGGGAGCACGGAGGAAGGCGTGGGAGCAGGGAGGAGGGCGTGGGAACAGGGAGGAGGGCGTGGGAGCACAGAGGAAGGCGTGGGAGCACAGAGGAAGGCGTGGGAGCACGGAGGAAGGCGTGGGAGCAGGGAGGAGGGCGTGGGAACAGGGAGGAGGGCGTGGGAGCACAGAGGAAGGCGTGGGAGCACAGAGGAAGGCGTGGGAGCACGGAGGAAGGCGTGGGAGCAGGGAGGAGGGTGTGGGAGCACAGAGGAAGGCGTGGGAGCACAGAGGCGGGCGTGGGAGCAGGGAGGAAGGCGTGGGAGCACAGAGGAAGGCATGGGAGCACGGAGGAAGGCGTGGGAGCAGGGAGGCATGGGAGCACGGAGGAAGGCGTGGGAGCAGGGAGGAGGGCGTGGGAGCAGGGAGGCGGGCGTGGGAGCACAGAGGAAGGCGTGGGAGCATGGAGGCGGGCGTGGGAGCACGGAGGTGTGGGAGCACTGATGAGGAGGAGGAACAGTGCACGCAGCATTTCCTGTAGTGCTTGCAGACAGCCTCCGAGACCTCTCCGTCGACAATTGGTCATAGCCACGTGGTGCCTCCTCGCTTGTGCCCCTCCACAACTCTAGACCTGCTTTGTTCTATCTGTTCACCTCCATGTTGACCCTAGGACCGCTGGACGTCTGGCTCCACTTAACAGTGGGGAGACCTGGCTGACTTGTCATGAGCTGAGTAGGAACTCGGGTCCCTATACCCAGCCCAGCTGCCACTGTGTCCTTACTCAGACTCCGGCACGCACGACCTGGGCAGGGACAGCATGGTGTCTTCTCCGGGTCTCCCTCCCCATATGGAGGGTTTCGGTGATGCCTGCAGGAGGCTCTGCGGCCAGGAGACCTGTCCACTGCTCCCTGAGTCCCCTCCCCTCCGCACCTGGCCCCTCTGTGCCTGGGCTTGTCTTAGGGACACCACTGGGTGGCACTTATCCCTCTTTAGCCATCTCAGGACCAGGGCTTATCTATCTCACGGGACCGTTAGAGACGAGGAGAGCAAGCTTTGAAAGGGCTGATCAGGTGTGCGCCCTATGGCTCGGCCAGGAGCCCAGCCCAGAACAAGGCTGGGGAGGTGTGGGGTGGCTCAAAGAGATGGCTGGGAAGATGCCAGAGCTGAGAAGGGGCTTCGGGGCTGAGTGGAAAAGAAGCAGGAGCGAGGGCCTGCCTCCTAGGCTAGCCTCCAGGGTCTCGCAGTCAAAGGCAAGCCTGGCCTTCACAGCTCACTGCTCACCAGAAGCAAAGCTCTGTTCTAGCATGGCTCAGAGACCCTGATCATCTCATATTCGCCTTCTGATTTATCCTTATTATTTTATGTGCATTGGTGTTTGCCTGCAAGAACATCTGTATGAGGAAGGTGCCAGATCCCCTGGAACTGGAGTTATAGACAGTTGTGAGCCACCATGTGGGGGCTGGGAATTGAAAGAAAACCTTGGTCCTCTGGAAGAGCAGCCGGTGCTATTAACCGCTGAGCCATCTCTCCAGCCCAACCTGTAGTCTGTTTTGTTTTTCGAGACAGGGTTTCTCTGTGTATCTTTGGAGCCTGTCCTGGAACTAGCTCTGTAGACCAGGCTGGCCTTGAACTCACAGAGATCCACCTGCCTCCGCCTCCCGAGTGCTGGGATTAAAGGCGTACGCCACCGCTGCCCAGCCCAACCTGCAGTCTTCCCACGTACCAGGGCCAACCTTGAAATGGAAGATCTGGGGTTGAACGCATCTCCACAAATGGTCCTACCAACATCTGGGGCCAGCAGGATCCAAGCAGGGGTGTGATTCAGTCATGGAGGGGTCCAGGCAAGTAGGTAAAGAGTGGACTCGGGGCAGGCATCAAGGGCGGAGCCTGCTCCACTTTGGACGTGGCCGGTCCCGTCCAAAGCGGAGGGGTTCTCACCTGTGTCTTCCCCCTCAGCTAGCTCACTGTGTAGTTTGACTGAGTTTGACTTTGAACCTCTGGCCCTCCTGCACTGCAACTGCCAGGGTCGTAGGCACAACCCACTGTACCCAGGTTAACACAGGGCCTTGTGCATGGTAAACATATACTCCATTGGCTGAGCTCCATCAGATTCAGCTTTCTGTCTTTTAACACACAGTCATGGATGCTGGGTCTCAGGCCAAGAATTCACTCTTTAGCGTGCCCGAGGTGCCTGTCTGCAGGCTCACTTGGAGTTCTGGGGAAGACTCACCCCAGATGCAGCTACACCCAGGCTTTTCCTTTTTCCCAGCTAGTGCAGCAGCTCAGTGTCCAGCCGCCACAGCTGTTGGTCTGTGTTAGGGTCTCATCACATACCGAGGCACTTGATACAGGGTCTCCCTCACCTTCCGGGACATCACATCCTGGACCTGGGGTCCTGACAACCAGTACCTCAGGCTTTGGCCAAGTTCCCGAGGTGGGAAGCCTGTCCGGTCGGTCACTCAGTTAGCCAGAGAGGGAGTAACTGCTTCTCACAATCGCCAGTCCTTTAACTCACTGCCGTTCTGTGCCATGCCATGCCAAGGTGTCATGTGCGGGAAGCCTGTGTATGTTGCTCATGTTCAAAGGGCTCAGGCTCTGGCAGAAGGAAGTGTGTGGCCCTGCTCCTCAGCTCCACCCCCTCCCTTTGTTCAGTTACAACACTCTGCCCAAGCTAAAGAAGTCTGCCCAGTGGTTAAGAGCACGGGCTCACCGCAAAGGACCGGTGTTTGATTCCCAGCACCCATGTGGAGGGCAGAAAGCGGAGAAGCTGTAGGTGTGACGTGTCTGAGGCGTGGCTTGGACAGCCAGCTCCACCTGCTTGAGGATGTGAGCAGGAAGGAGCCTGGAGGGAAGTGCTGGGGTGTGGGGTCTAAGGAATAAACTAAGGCCTCTCTGTTTAGAGTAAAAAGGAGAAGAGGAGGAAGAGGAGGAGTCAAGTCACCACCTCTTCCTCAGAGGCAGAGTCCTTGCCTTCCACTTCTTCTGGTCTCCAGAGTCTGGATATACCTTCAAGCCTTGAATCCCAGGACTCAGCCTTGCCCCAGGACCGAGCCCAGCAGGGTGGTGTGGGCAGCCAGCCTCGCCAGTCACTGGACGCAGTGAATGTGTCAATGGAGGAAGATGGCTCCGTGCATGCCAAAGCCAGCAGCGTCCCTCTGCAGCCCTCAGTGGACAAGGGCCTGCCCCGAGATGGGGACCCTGGCCCCGCCCTTTCTGCCTGCAAAGGCCCCGGTGCGGGTACCGGTGCATCCCAGAAGGCCCCTGAATCTAAGGGGGAGAAGTCTGAGCATAAAGAAGAGCTGGCTGCCTCACAGGTGAGCAGCAGGGATTGGTGGCATGGGGGGGGGTGGGCATGTCTCGTCCCTCTTAATTATCCTCCTTGTCGCTGGTGCTGACTGAAGCCGCAGAGTCGAGCGCTTCATTTCGTCACTATGACCCTGGGTTTCGGTGATCTGTTTCTCCCAGCCAACCAATGCTACAGCCAAGGCAGCCAATCCAGAGAAGAAGGATGGGAAAGAAACAAGAGACAATGTTCAGAAACAGAAAGCATCCCCCGTGAGCCCTGCTCCCTCCAAGCACCAACACCAGGTAGAAGCTTCACTTGCCAGGAGGAGTCTAGTATGCAGGGTTCCTTTTTGTTTGTCCTAGGGGTCCCTTCTAAGCCCACCATCTCTTGATGAGCACCCAAGCTAGAGAGAGGCAGGAAGGACGAAGTCCCCCGAGGAAACGTGTGAAGGGTCCTGGAAGGGTCGTGAGAGGAGCTGGATGCCTCCCTCCTCTTGGGTGGCTGGGTGTGACCTGAGGAGGTGCTGTCGGAGTAGAAACCAGGAGTGGCAGGAAATGGCATGTGCCAAGGCCCTAAGGTCGAACATGGTAGGGTAGAGAGAACGCAGAAGCTGGTGTGGGGTAGAGAGGCCATGGGCCATGGGCTCCTACAGGTCATGGTAAGCCAGCCAGAAGACCCTGACTGGTTCTGAGCAAGGACAGCCTTGGCCCTGGCTGCTGTGAGACATGTCTTGTCTCAAGCACCGCGATTTAATTGCTTGTTCCAGGAAGCTGAACTCAAAGGCAGGTTGGCTGACTCTGGGAGGAACACCCAGCCGAAAGACCAGAAGAAGCCAGAAGAGAGCAGAAATTATACAGCAGCTTTGAAAAACAAGAAGGAGGAGAGAAACCAGAAGGCCACTGCACCAGAGGACACAACGAGGTGGGACATGGCCCCCTGCGGTGAGCCCGTGTCGTGGCTCTGCCGGCGTGAGTCGTATAGCTCCGGGTCTTGTCCAGCCTCATCTGTTTTCCGTGCCTTTGGCGTGTTCATCTTCGGGAAGACAGCTTTGGGTGGACCCGCCTGGGACGCCTGTCCCAAATCCTCTTTTCTGTTGGTCCCTGGGTACCTCAGTCAATGTGATCCTAAGGTGCTCTTCTGGATGAAGCCATCCCTGTCCAGACTCCTAACCCATCCTCCACCCCCCCATACACACTATCTGTCACTAGCATGTTGGAGCTGGGTGTCCCCTAACTAGCCGGGGAAAAACAGCGCTGTGCCCAAACCTGAATGCCCGGTGCCTGGCACTTAGGGGTGTCAACATACATCAGGGAAATAAAGATGGTGTGCGCGCGTGTGTACTTATCCCCACGTGTGTGCAGATACCCTGGCAGCCAGTGTTTCCTCTTCCCTCTTCCCAGAACACTGAACCCAGGGGACGGAGTCACCGTGTACTTCCACGCCATTGTCTCCCGTGACTTCTCATTCAACCCAAACAACCACAGGGTGTATGTCAGAGGGGGAGAGGGCCTCGGGAAGAAAGGCTGGATGGTGGACGCTTGCGAGATGAACTACACCAAGTGAGTGTGCTGAGGGGGCTTGGAGCTGGCCTTGCCGTCAGTCATGTGACTGAAGCAGCTGGGCACACTCTGTCCTTCCTTACTTTCTTTACGTTCTTCCTTTGCTTTTTTTTTTTTCCCCCCCATTTTGGTTTGTTTGTTTGAAACAGATTCTCACTTTGCTGGCTTGGAATTCATAGTAATTCTCCTGCCTCATCCGCCTCAGAGGCATGTACTACCATGATTGGTGGGAAATGAGTGGGCCTCTCTTGGTGGTGGTAGTGTTTAGATTTGTTTATTATGGATACAATGTTCTTTCTGCATGTTTATCTGCATGTCAGAAGAGGGCACCAGATCCCATTACAGATGGTTGTGAGCCGCCGTGTGGTTGCCAGGAACTGAACTCAGGACCTCCGGAAGAACAACCTCTGAGCCATCTCTCCAGCCTGTTTGTTTTGTTTTTTGAGACAGGGTTTCTTTGCATAGCCCTGGCTGTCGTGTAACTCGCTCTGTAGATCAGGCTGGGCTCAAACTCACAGACAGATCAGCCTGCCTCTGCCTCGTGAACGCTGGGATTAAAGGTGTGCCCTATCACTGCCCAGCCTGAAAATGAATGTTTTCTCATGTCTCCAGTGTGCATTTCTTCTCCATCTTACTGCGGCTCTTTTCTCCTGGGTTCTAGCTAGAAACCACGTCCTGTTGTAAAAGCACTGGGGGTGGGCGTCACGACATGCGTCTTCTGGTAAATGGGCATATTGTGTTCCTCCACAGAGACCTTCATGAGCTTGGGTCTCTCGTCGAGGGCAGCATGGTCATTCCCAGGCAGAGCCTGGACCAGCCTATCCCTTATAAGTATGTCATCCATCGTGGCGACAGTGGCAAGGATTCTGTAGAGTATGAATTTATCTACGAGCAGCCACAGAAGAAAGGGGAGCATGTGAACCGCAGCCTGTTGGTGGAATCTGCACTCTTGGACACTGGAGGTAAGCCACTGAGGTGCCTGAGTGGGTCCTCTGGGTCCTCTGCTAGGCACCGGCCCTGCCTTAGCCTCGACACTGAGTAATGCTGCCTTTGGAAGTGAGTTGGACTTAGCTCTGCCCTGTGTGTGAGGGAACCAGGGGAGTCTTCCATCCAGGGCTGGCTGGGGTGGAGGGTGACTGAGTGTGGGGCAGGAGAGGCAGTGGTCTGGCTGTGACAGTGACATTTGCCTCCACACATGTACACCGCTGATGTCCCTTCCATGTGTTTGGCTGGAGCTTTTGGAAGGGTTCCCTGGTCCTCCTGTGCTCTGCCGCTTGCTGGCCCAGTCAGCCTGGGTCTACAGCCCTGTGTCCTCCTCCCACGGGTCACAGAACTGTTGAGGACCCTGTCAGAGGCCAGAGTCCTGCAAGGGACCCTTCAGTCCTGGTGCCTTTGCTCAGTGTGGATTCTGTTTCCCAGTGCTGAGGATGGAACCAAGGGTCTCAGCATTGACGTAACTTTAAAAGTATTTTATTACATCTGTTTGTATGTATGGTGTGTGTGTGTGTGTGTGTGTGTGTGTGTGTGTGTGTGTGTGTGCGCGCGCGCGCGTGCGTACGCACATGCCATGGCATGCTTGCAGGACAGAGGACACCTTATCAGGTGTGGCAGCAGAGACCTTTATCAACTCTGCTATCTCTTGTATTTTATGTACATTGATATTTTGCTGGCACATGGGTTTGTGTGAGGGTGCTGGATCCCCCGGAACTGGAACTACAGACAGCTGTGAGCCGCCGTGTGGGTGCTGGGAATTGAGCCCAGGTCCTTTGGAAGAGCAGCCAGTGCTCTTAACCACTGAGCCATCTCTCCAGCCCAATCTCATCACTTTTTTGAAGACAGATTTAACTGTGTTACCTAAAGAGGTCTTTAATTTTTAATTTAAGCTGGGCAGTGGTGGCACACACGTTTAATTCCAGTGCTGGGAAGGCAGAGGCAGGCGGATCTCAGTGACTTCGAGGCCAGCCTGGTCTACAAAGCAAGTTCCAGGACAGCCAGGACTCTTGTTACACAGAGAAACCCTGTCTTGAAAATAAACCCTACCCCCTCAAAAAATGTTTAAGACAGACTTTTTGTTTTATGTGTATGTGTGAGGACTTATATATCATTTGGCGGGGGGGATTGTTCACCAGAGCTAAATCAGACAGTGTAGGCAAAGAGAACACAGTATTCCTCAGATACAGCTGCCTAAGGACTGATAATCACAGCCCAGGGGCCCCAGGACCCTCAACGTTGGCTCTTTCAAGGCGCTGGCACAGGCCTTGGCCGGCTTTGCTAAGTCTGGACAGGGACACAGACGTGAACTCCTCTTTGTCAAAGGAAGTCTTGGGCCTGGGCCCATGCATGTGCCTAGAGGCCGGAAGAGGGCATTAGATGCCCTAGAACTGCATTTACAGGCTGTTGTGAGCCACCATATGGGTGCTGGGAGCTGAACCACAGCCTCACAGCCCGCTGCTAGAGCAGCCAGCAGGTGTCCTTAACTACTAAGTCATCACTACAGCCTTTTTTAAAAAGACTGGGTTTCACTTAGCTGAGGCTAAGGTAACCCTGCATTTCTGATCCTCCTGCCTCTGCTACACCTGTCAGTTACTGGGATTGCAGTATGCTCTTCCCTTCTGTGTTTATGTGTTGCCGAGGGCCTAACCTAGGGCTTTAGACATGCTAACGGCATTCTGACAGTGTTCTGCATCCCAGCCCAGGGCTTTAGACATGCTCACGGGACTCTTCCAGCCCAGGCTGCTGATTTACTGACGTTGGGCTGTACAGGCACACTCTGTGCTAGCGTAAGGAGTAGTTTTCCCCCAGCCGCTGGTCTTGTCCCGCCGCCGCGCCAGCCCCAATTAACACACTGAGACTCTGTATTTGATATAATGCTGTTGGCCAGGTACTAGTTTCTTATCGGCTAGCTCTGTCTTAAGTATTAACCCATTTCTGTTAATCTAAGTATTTCCACGTGGTCTCATCTTACCAGGGAGTGGGGCCGGCAACTGTTCTCCCCAGTCTCTCCATGCTGACTCCTCCCTACTACTTCCCCAAATCCTCCTTGTCTCCTAGTCCCACCTATCTTGCTTTCCTATTGGCCAACAGTGCTTTATTCATTAACCAGTATGAGAAACATATTTACAGAATGACGTCGCCCATCACCAGAGTGGGCAGATTACCTGGGTTTTCCTTCCTGTCTGCCTCAGGCTGCTCCTCATACATTTCTGCCTTCTAGGGGAGGTCAGGCCTCGGGTGTTTGGAGCTTACCCATATGAGTTTCTTTTGTCCCCTCAGACTGGCATCAGTATGATGACATAATCTGCATGAAGACTCCTGGGCCGTTCCAGAAAGTTCTAAATGCTATTACTGATGGTACGAGGAAGGATCTGGTGAAAGGGAAGAAGAACGCTGCTGTGGTCATGCTGGACCGCATCTTCAGCATCCTCCAGCCCTGGAGTGCCATCAACCTGCACAGTTTCATGACCCAGTTCCAGCAGTTTTATTCTGTGGTCCGAGTGCCTAAGATCCATGAAGGCCAGACAAGGATATGGTCCAGTTTGCAATACAGTGAGAAAGAGGTACCCATCCCCCACGGTCACCAGCAGCTCGGGAGTGGACAGGCAGTGTCCCTTGACCAACTAGAGGCTAGGTGACCCTTGGAGTGAGTGGTAGAGATGCGGTGCAGGAGGACCTCTCGCCATCCTCCTGAAGGGGCTCCCCTGTGCTCCACCCTCAGGGATGGCCGTGAGCTCTCCCAGGAGGGGTGGGATCCTCATCATTCCCTACACTGTGGTGTGGCTGTCCCTGGGGCACCACCTCCTGTACCCCCACCCTGCAGGGCTGAAGCATGGGTTCCTGGGTCACCTCTGAGTGTCCCCTACAGAGCTCACACACCTTTCCCTCCTGGGGTCAGGTGAGGATGAACCTGTGGGAGCATGTGAGAAACAAGATGCAACTCTGCCTGCACGGGAAGAATGGGGACTCTCTGCCCTCTGACTGCCCCGTGAGGAGTAGACTCAAGCTGGGCCTGACCGTCCTTTTCATGATGGAAGCAACTGACTTTGCTGTCTCTAAAGACGACCTGGTCTCACTGTGCTCCCTCCTCATGCCGAGTGCCAGCTCGCCAGAAGCCCTTCACGGTGACCTGGGCCCCATCCTCAACAAACCTCAGAAGTATTTCCTGTTTACTTTTCTCTGTTTCCTGCTTTACTTATGTGTGCAGGTGTGTTCACATGCATGCGTGTCTGCCCCGAGTGCATTCCTGGTTGCCCATGGAGGCCTGAAAGGGTAGGACCTCCTGCAGCTGGGGTCACAGGGTTGTGAGCCAACACGTGGGTACTGGAAACTGAACCCAGGCCTTCTTCCGGACCATCTCTCCAGTACCCTTATCATTACCATTTTATTTGTGTGTGTGTGTGTGTGTGTGTGTGTGTGTGTGTGTGTGATAGTTTCACTATGTAACCTAAGCAGCCCGTGTAACCCAAGCAGCCCAGACTTGTGAGATTTATGCCCTCAGCTTGCTGAGTGCAGGGTTTGTGGTGTGAGCCTTGGAGCTGTGGGTAGTGGTCCATGTCAGTAGGCCCAGGCAGGCTTCATGAATCTGAAGCCCAAACGGGACATGTTGTAGTGAAGGAATACACACAGAATAAGAAAAGCTTTGAGTGCTCCCACACATATGCTTGGTATCTGGAATCCCCAGGGACATGTTTCCTCCACCTCTGCCTGGGCCACTTAAACTAGAAAGTGTCTTATCGCTGCTGGGTCACAGCAAGTTTGGAGGTGACCTCTTTGAGCCTAGTGGCCCTTCCTTGGGCTTTTCACAGCGTGGTTTGTGGCTGGTGAGATTCAGACTCCTGAGCAGCTTTATTGGTTACCAGCCCTTTGGCTTCACGTTTTAGACACCCAAGCGATTGATGCACATTTTGTAAAAGGTATTCTTCACGGTGTAGTATAGACAGAGATGAATGACCCTAGCGGGAATCTGCTGGGGGATGTGTGAGGTTGGGGTAGGGTGGGCCGGGATACCCTGTCTTTCGTATGATCCATCTGCTGGTGTGGACCGTGTCCAGCCGTGCACAGCCATGCACAGCCGTGCACATTGTTCCCGATGCTCTACAGAGAGTGATCGTAGATCACTGGGCCATTTCCCCTCACTGACACCTCCATTCCCTTCTAGATGGCGTGCGTACTTGATAAACCTGTACGACAGGTGCATACTTGATGGCATCGAACACTGGCTGGGCACTTTACCTGTCCTGCATTACTGCATGCAGCTGTCCCTGCCCAGGAAGGACTCGAAGAGCATGTCCGAGGACACCTGGGCAGGTCTCGAAGGACTCTCTTTTGTGCAATTTCGGGACAAAGCACCCACTAAGTGAGTTGAAAAGCTACACTTAGGATGCCCAGTTCTACCACTGATCTCAGCATGGGTTGAGGCTTTGCAATCCTTACAATCAGACTGTGCAACCCCTCCTGGCTGTCTTCCTCCACGTCAGTTCTGACAGCTTCCGTCTGTTCTCAGGTGCAATGTCCTCAAGTTCATGCAGCCTAGGATGACCCTGCTGCAGTTGGATGAGACCCTCTTCCGCTCCTGGTTCAGTGTGGTTCCTCTGAAAAACCTGACTTCCTACTTGGAAAACTCCACGGAATACTTGAGTCAAGTGCCTGCTCGAGTCCTGGATTGTTTTCAAGGGATTTCATACCGGCTCCGGGGCCTGGGGAAGATCTCCTTCCAAAACACTGAGGTGTGTTGTGGGCAGCTGACTGGCAAGTGTTGCCTGAGGAAGACCAGGTTAGCTGTGATAGCATTGGGAATGCCCAGTGGTAGAGTGCTCCCCTCATGAGTGAAGGCCTGAGGCCCACTCTCAGCGCTGCAAGCAATGAGGGGGTTTGGGAAGGAGGGAAAGATGTATCTAAAACGTTTGACGGAAATGGTGGCATTTCCTGCAGGCAAAGGTTGATTTGCCCGAGTTTACTCTATTTCAGCAAACAGAACTTGGGAAATCAATAGCTTTTTAAATTCTCTTTTAATTATTCTAAGTAGCTGTGTGGGTGTCAGCTTGTTTTACCGTGGCTGCTGTGCACCCTTTTGTAGAAACAGAGATCTGTGTGTGTTGGACTAGGAAGATGTTCTTTTGGTAAAGTGCTTGCCGTACAAGGCACTGTGGCCTGCACTTAACTTGTCGGGGTGGCAGTGGAGATGGGCGGGCCCTTGCTTACTACACGGCCTAACTTAATTGTTGATCTCCAAGCCAATGAGGGACACTGTCTCAAAGGGAGGTGGACAGCTTCTGACACACACGTGCACACGTGGGCTCGCTCAGAAAACAGAAAGTGGTAATTTTGTGTTGTGAATTTACTGATATGAAGCTGTTCTTCCAAAGAGTAGCTGTGTTGAAGCGAGGAAAGACCAAGTCAGTGTCCGTGTGTGCACAGGCACCGACCACATGGTCACACTGGTCTTCTCTTCACTCTCTTAGGACATCGAGGGCATCTTTAAGATGCTGGTTCACCTTGTGGACATGTATCAGGACATGTAAGTAGGAAGGCTGAGGGCAGCCTTGGCTTCCACACCCCACTGGGAGGCATGGCAGCTGCTCCTGCTGGCCTCAGCTTCCCACAGTTCCGTCTGTCACTGGGGAGACTGTAAACTAACGCCATGCCTCCCAAGCTATTAAGTGCCTTGTCCAGCTTCAGCTTCTGAGGTTTTATCCCTGCTCCTCTCTTTCAAGACAGGGTTTCTCTGTGTAGCCCTGGCTGTCCTGGAACTCGCTCTGTAGACCAGGCTGGCCTCGAACTCACAGAGATCTGCCTGACTCTGCTGGGATTAAAGGCGTGCGCCAGCCTCCCTCACCCCCCCCCCCGCTGTGCAACCTTTCACTGTAACTGTTACACCTGAGCCCTGAGTTTCATTAGCAAATCAAGTCAGATTAGACAAATCACAAGTATATGCTGTCCCCACTGCTGTGACAGGACCCTGACAGAAGCTGCTGGAGAAGGGTGTGTTGTGACTCACTGCCGGGGCGCAGTCTATACTGTAGGGGGCAGCACAGTCCAGAGTATCAGGGAGCACAGTCCAGACTGGGGGGAGCACAGTCCAGAGTGTCAGGGAGCACAGTCCAGACTGTCTGGGAGCACAGTCCAGACTGGTGGGGGAGCACAGTCCGGAGTGTCAGGGAGCACAGTCCAGACTGGTGGGGGAGCACAGTCCAGACTGGTGGGGGAGCATAGTCCAGACTGTCGGGGGAAGCACAGTCCAGACTGGGGGGAGCATAGTCCAGACCGGGGGGAGCACAGTCCAGACTGTCAGGGAGCACAGTCCAGACTGGTGGGGGAGCACAGTCCAGACTGTCAGGGAGCACAGTCCAGACTGTCAGGGAGCACAGTCCAGACTGGGGGAGCACAGTCCAGACTGGCAGTAGGAATGCAAGCAGAGCTTGCATTGCATCTGAAGTCAGATGTGGAGAGAGATGGCACTGGTGGTCAGGTCCTTTTCTGCCTTTTCCTTAGCCTGGAGCTGGTGTGAGCTGGGGTCACGTGAGCAGTGTGGTCTTCCCACAGTGCTACAAGTGTTCTTGACGTCACTGCTCAGCTTTTTCTCCAGGCCCCCTTCCCCCCTTTTCCCTTTCGTAGTACTGAGGATCGAACCCAGAGCCTCAGGAATGCTACGCAGTCAAATCTCCTCATTCCCTGCGCAGACCCCACCCCACACCCACCCACCCCACACCCAGGACCTGCTCTTTTTAACCTTTTTTTTTTTTTGTCTTTCCCCCATCACATTTCCCCACCATTGCAATGATTTCTCTGCCACTCTTTGTGGACAGGATGCTCAGGGAGACCCTGTTACAGACCTGCTTAACTGAGTGTCTGACCCTCCATGAAACTGTCTGCAAACTGACATCTGACAGAAAACTCTACGAGATCCCTGCCCTGTCCGCAGAGCTTGTCTGTAAAGTGGTTAAGCCCAACCCTCCAGGGGTAAGTGAGATTTGCACATCTGTGTACAATACAGCCCCTGAGCCGCATCGGAGGGTACGGACTTCCCGCAGCTTCCGTTTGAAAGCGAAGGAGACTAGCTCTGTTCTGGAGTGGGGACAGTCCCGGGGCTTGGTTTGGAGGGAGAGGCTGCTGGTGGGTAGCGCTTCTGATGTCCACTGGCCAGGGCCCCACTATGGTAGGATGCTCCTTTCCCACTGTTCACAGAAGCTACTGGGGGCCACCCTCCTCCTCACACATGCTCACTCCTGGTTTTCCCCATGGGAAATTTTTCTTTACACGTGAAAAAGCGGCAGATCCATTCCTGTGAGACTGTCCAGCCAGTGCGTCCGCGCCAGCTCCCAGCTCTCTGGGCTGCTCGCCCTCTGCTCACTGGAGGGAAACCCACTCTGGTTTCTGCCACTTCAAATCTTCATCCTGTTTGTCTCCTTCCTTACGCATCCTTGTGCAGGAGTACAGTTCTCTCCCTGATTGGTGTCACTCACTCATCTGGGTGCCTGAGTCTCAGCTAGAAAGAGCTGTACCACATCTGTGTTTGGACTGACTTTCTTCACAAGTCAGAACTCTGACTCTATTAATAGGAAGTAATTCACACACACACACACACACACACACACACACACACTATTATATAGTTAAGAGATGGCTTCTCTGTGCGTCCCTGGCTGTCCTGACACCCTGTAGACCAGGCTGACCTTGAACTCACAGGAATCCACCTGCCTCTGCCTCCCAGGTACCAGGATAAAGGCGTGTGCCACCACTGCCCAGCTTAAATGTATATTTTAATGTTATTCCTCTTGTTTTTTCTTTTCAAAAGTAGATACATGCACACACATAAATATGTGTGTGTATGTGTGTGTGAGAGAGAGAGACAGACTGACTGACTGACTGACATGTAGAGACAGAGACACAGAGACCACACCATGGGCATGGGTCTGGAAATCAGGACACCTTGTGAGAGTCAGTTCCATCCTCCTACTCTGTGGGTCCTGGTGCTCAGACTCAGGTCAGGAGGGTTGATGTGAGCACGCACAGATTCTGTAACCCTTTCTCATGTGTCCACAGGGTACCGCAGAGGGGCCAGCTGCCACAGATGACAAGGACTTGGTTACAAACATCATTCAGGAGGTTCTGAGTACCACAAGACGATGGCTGCGCAGACTTTTTAAAAACAACATGTTCCTTGCCAGCCCATCCACTGTCTGCTTTACCTATTCTGAGGAGATGGCGGTAAGACTTCCTGCGAGCTGAGAAGCTGCCAAAGACACACACACGGGTCTAGGAGCTGTGATCATGGCCCGAAGCCTAGCCACAGTGTTCCTTCTGTACAGAAGGGTCTTTGTCAACCCATGCCCGGATGGGAAGTGCTGTCCACAAGGCTAAAGTTACTCTATTTTAAAAATGAAGGCTCTTTAGTTTAATCAGTGAGTGCATAAGTAGAATGAGCTAACCTGCACTTGAAATATATTTTTATAGAAGATGAAGTAGAGTCCGGGTGGTGGTGATGGTGGCGCACGCCTTTAATTCTGGCACTCTGGAGGCAGAGCCAGGTGGATCTCTGTGAGTTCGAGACCAGCCTGGTCTACAGAGTGAGTGTCCAGACAGGATCCAAGTCTACACAAGGAAACCCTGTCTCAAAAAACAAAAAAAGATGAAGTAAAAAGATTTTGTATTTGTTTGTTTGTTTATTTATTTATTTATTTATTTATTTTGGGGGTGGATGGGTGGGCACTTTCTTTTCTTGAGACAGGCCTCTTTAATATAATCCTAACTTCCCTGTAGACCAGGCTGGCCTCGAACTCACAGAGATTCTCCCGTCTCTGCTTCCCGGGTGCTGGGATTAAAGGCGTGCGCCACTACGCCCAATGAAGAGATAGCCTCTTAAATGATCCGCCTGCCAACCAAGCAAGAGATAGCCTTTCAAAGCTGTCAGCGTTATAAATGAAAAGAGGACATGACCACTAAGTGAAATGTGTGATTGCTGACTGTGGAGCCGGATGGCACAGCACAGGGCTCATAAGGTCATCTATCCCCTCCATGCTGGTTCCCACTGAGACGAGCGCACTCCAGGGGATCCGAGGCCACCCAGGTGTGTTGAGGAACACTGTGATGTCTCTACCTCATCCCAATGGCAGAGAGAGACAGAACCCTGTGTTCAAAACTACAAACCGGGGGCCTTGGTGTAAGAAAGAACGTTCCTCGCGTTCATTCTCATGTCTGCTTGAAACTTTTCAGGGTAAATGTTAGGTGGGGGGAGGCCCTTTTCCAAACAGCACAATTTGCCAGTGACACAAAGAACTGAAAGCCCCACTGTTCTTGGCGCCCGGTGCCCTCAGCCCCTCACAATGCCATAGCAGCCTGTCCCTTCCTTTTTGCTCAAGACAGGGTCATCCTATGGTGTCCAGGCCAGCCTTGAACTCCTGCACTTCAACAGCCCTCCTGACTCAGTTTCCCCAGTACCTAGGACCACAGACCTGTGACACCACACCTGCTTGTCCACTTTATTTTTCCACCCCATGGCATTACGTCATCCCCGTGGTTGTCGCCTTTTGGTTTTGCAGATGTGGCGACGGCTGGTGGAGATTGACTTCCCGGGAAAGTATGGCTGGAAGAGATCACTGCTGGGAGACATGGAGGGGAGGCTCAAACAGGTACCTGAGGTCGGGCACTCTTCCCGGGAGATGAAGAACACAGGGTACCGGGCACCATACATACCCGATAGTCACGTGTAGCGCACTGGAGTGCACGGCTGATAATGGTGGGCCATGAGTGTGGACATGTGTTTCTGACTTGGCCACTGTCTTTGGACTTCAGAAGAATGTCCAAGTTCCTGTGTGATGTCCCTTACAAGAACAGATGGGGGCCCTAGCCAGTTAATAAAAGCAGCCACAAAAGGCGCGGGGTTTGGAGGACACAAAACCACACACACACAAATGTTCTTTAGTGTGGACGAAGGCAGGTGGCGTGGGAAATCAGCTTTACATGATATGAATGTTTTATCCAGAACTGTCAAGCAGATCTTAGGAGGAAATGGCTTCTTTTTCAAAATTCACCGTCTTGTTTTCACAAGCCCCAACGCGACAGGTTTTTTTTTTTTTTTTTTTTTTTTTTTTCCTTTTGTAGAGTGTGACAAAAGGCTTTAAATTTTTGAATATTTGGGACAGGGTCTCCAGTTTCAAGCTCCCAGCAATCCTCTCAAGTACCGAGGCTATTGGCACGCGCCACCCTGCCTAGCTACCGAAACTATTTTCACTTGTTGTTTGGAAAGTGGGATCCTTGTGGATATGCTTTAGCGTGTGTGCAGAGAAACTCAAATCATGGGGCCGTGAAGATCTGGTGTTTCCCTGGTGAGGTGGCCTGCAGCCGTCACCCCCCCTCCCGAGGCTCACACAGCCCTCACACCCCCCTCCCTCGTCTGCAGGAGCAGCCTCGTTCACAGATCAATGTCTTCTGCAGCAGTCTGTGGGATGATGGCGGACCCCATGACAGCGTGGCCAGGACCTTTGAGAAGTGTGTCATTGAAGCCGTGAGCTCTGCTTGCCAGGTCACTAGCTTTTCCAGTGTGGGTTCACAGGGGTTTTCCGATATGGTTTGCCAAAGGCTGTTGAGGCCTGCTTGCTTGTTCTGAGCTCCTACAGGGGTGCCCAGAGAGGGCCATGTGCTGAGAGGTCCCATGTTCTCATCCACCTCAAGAGGTGGTGTGGCTTTGTGTTTCCTGGGCTGTTAAATGCCAATCAAAACCATAGCTGCTGGGCCAGGTGTGGTGACACATGCAGCTGGGTCTCTGAGTTCAAGACCAGCCTGGTTTAGGTAGCAAGTGCAGGGCCATCCAGAGCTACATGCTGGGAACCTCATAGCTGTTCACACAGTCCAGGCCTTACCTCAGCCATCTTACAGGCTAAGCCTCACTCAGCCCTGAAGCTGGTTTGCGGAGGTTTTCTGTTCATCCTTGCATGTACAGTCTGAGAAAAGCGTTTTTGCGAGGCACGCTCACCGACCTGCCCCCTCTAGCTCTGTAGTTTTAGCTCCGCTGAGGCCTTTCTTCCATTTGACGTCCTTCTGAGGTAAAGGTCCTGGGTGTGGAAAAGAGATTGTGCCGTCCACGCTGACTTGCCTGAGCACTGTGTCAAACCTGTGCTGGTCACATGTGTGATAAGAGAGCTCAAAGAAATGTTAAGCTTTCTACTCTTCCTTGTATTAACTTACTATAGTGTAGCATTAGTGGGTGTGTCCATGCCAGGGCACACATGCATGGATATGAGCGGATGTCTTTTGGGGGACTCGATCTCTCCTCCTACCTCATGGGTCCCAAGGACTGGACTCTAGTGTTGGGTTTGGAAGCAGGCACTGTGTCTGAAATAGCAAAATTTCTAGTCTACATTTCTTTTTTAGAGTGGTGCTGAACACCGAACCAGGGCTGTATACGTGCTTGGCAAGCATTTAGCCATTAGTTCGTAACCCACGGAGCATTTTTATTTATTTATTTATTGATTGATTGGAGGCTCTGTGAACTACTTTGGATATATTTCAAATATTATTAAAAGGATAACTTTAAAGTGAAAAAGTATATTATAAGACAGTTGCGGTTTAAATCCCCCTCACAAAGCCACATGCTGAAATGAGCAAACCCCGAAGACTACAGGATGCCGCAATGGAAGCTGTGGGACTTTCTGCCCTACTGTGTGCTTTCACCGCCAGAGCCGTCTCTATGCACGTATCCACCTCTATGCACGTACCCACCACCGCGAACAAAAGCATCTACGGCAGAACCAGAGCTGCAAAGGCAGCAGCTTTACACCCTCTTTCGTAACTCATGTTCGTCACCTGCATTCCATCCTTCAAGGATGCGATTTGAAAACATTTAAGATAAGGCTTCGGGTAGCCCAGGCTGGCCTTGTATTTTCTGTGTTAGCTGAGGCTGGCCTACAACTACCCTTCCCAAAAGCGAGGATTGCTATTTTGGGCCGACACATGGGTTTTCACATTTCTCTTATTTTAAACGAAGAAGGCATTGGTTTGTTTCCTTCTTCTTCACTCATTTTCTCATAGTCTCAGACCAGCGTTCTCGAGGGGCTCTCCTATCAGGATTTGCAGAAATTTGGTACTCTCCTGTCAGCTGTGATAACCAAGTCCTGGCCAGTGCACCAGGGGAAGGGTGTGGACGAGATCTTCAAATACCTACTCACGTGGCCAGATATGAAGCAACTCTTCAGACTGTGTGGTATGTGAAGGAGGCTGTGGGGAGCATGCTGAGGGGGCAGGACAGGACAGAAAGCAGGACACTGAGCTGGCATGGTCTGGGTGGAGGGACCTAGACAGGCATGGGCATCCTACAGATGAAGATCAGTGTCACCATCCTCTGAGCGCTGCTGCATGCTAGCAGGACCAGTCTAAGGTCTCCAGGTGAGGGATATGAAGTGCAGAGTGTAGACGGCTGGCTGGCTTTCTGTCTGCAGAACTAAAGCTGGGCTGGGGAGATGGCCCAGCAGGTGAAGGGCCTGCTGAGGTGGGGAGGTGGCTGAGTAGGGTAGAGGATAGAGACAGGATACCTGTAGCTTCCAGCTACAAGCCAAGCTTCAGGTTCAGAGAGAGACCCTATGCATGGACTTCCTACGCATGCATGTATGCACACGTCACACACAGGCACACGCGCACACGCACATGCACACGCATGCACGCACATGCACGTACACGCAACGCACGCGCACGCACACACACACAAACACCCCTAGACAAACGCAGGTGGCCTTCAGAGCAGTTGCTTTGAGAGCAGTCCTGATTAACTAACGGAGCAGGAAGTCCCACCTGACTCTCCCAGCATACGCAGACCCAAGTGTTACATCTTCCCCTGAAATCTCTCTCATGTGCCTTGTGTGAGCTGCTGTATTTAGATCTTGTACCAGGAATGTGTTGGGTTTGGAACCAGAAGCCCATGCGAGGCTGTAACAATCATTTCCACCAGGTCAGGTGGGCAGCCCAGACAGGAGCCCCTAATGGCGTGTGAGCCGTGAGGCAAAAACACGCCCGCTTATGTGGGTGACATACACATTTGCTATTAGCTGGAAAGTATCACAGGTGTGTGTTTTCGACTGATGGATTTCCTAGAAAAATTCATAAGAAAACAGCTCCCAAACAGCTCCCAGCACCTGGGGAGTCCTTCTTTCTTATTCCCTTCCCTATAGTTTGTTTTCTAGTTGATCCCTACAAGTGTGGGCCTAGCAATTCGCTTTTGGGGACCCTCCCTGTCTTCATACTGACCAACAGCTGTGATCTGTTTTCATCACGGGATGTTCATTTCCATGGTGCTGAGCGACCCCGGTTTCTTCATCTGTTCACCTGCTGAAGGGCACCTCAGCTGTTTTCATGTTTTGTTGTTGTTTGACCGAGTCTTACCATGTAGCCTTGGCTGGTCTAGAGCTTTCTCTGTGGACCCGGGTGACCTCAAACTAACAGATCTGCTTGCCTCTGCCTCTAGAGTACTGGGATCAGAGTGGTGGTTTAGTGGTTTAGCCACCACTGCCTGGCTAAACATTCTCTCTTAATACACATCTGACGATAGCAGGAGAGAGGTTCTGCTGGGGGTGAAAAGTAAACGTATTTAAAGTTTCTGCATATGAACTGATTGTCAGTTTCACGAATGTTACATTACAGTGGGGCATGATGGCCAGGATATGCGCAACGTGAAGCCATGGACTAGGCAAATGCTGTCACACTGAAAACATTGCTGCTGTCAGGGGTGTGATGGGAGTCGTCGAGGTCAGGCAGGAGGCCCAGGCTCTGAACTATGTGCTCTCTCTCTCTCTCTCTGTCTGTCTGTCTCTCTCTGTCTGTCTCTCTCTCTCGGATCAGGAACCAATGAGGAAATCTTAGACAACATCACGGAGGAAGGCAGGCAGCTGATGGCCACGGCTGAGTCTGTGTTCCAGAAGGTTGCAGAGGAACTCAAGAGTGGCACCATCATGGTTGGGCAGCTGGAGCTGATCCTCGAGCACAGGAGTCAGTTTGTTGACATCTGGAACTTAAGTGAGTGTGCAGTTGAGTCACCTTGACGTTTGGTGGGCCAGATGTGCTCCCAGGCTTCGTAACTGTCCGAAGTTCTTGTAAGCGAGTTGAGAAGCTGTGGCTTACTATTCTGAGGGACAGCATGAGCGAGCAAGCAGTGGCCTGAAGGTGGTGAGCACTTGCTTGCTCCGTTCCATTCTGCCAGTACATGGCTCCGCCGTCTTTATAGACTGGCTGAGCAGGAGTCTTCCTGGTCCCTCCTTGCCCTGACCATGGTGCATGTGCAGAGCAAGGCAGCAGAAAGCGGTCACATGAAAGACAATCTAGATCGTATGAGCTGTTAAATTGCTTTTCAGATAGAATACGGCTGCCGCTCCAGGAGAAGGCCTGTGATTTGAAGGACCTGCTGGCCAGGAGAAAGCACGATCTGTTCCTCCTCAAGCAAGAGAAGAGATACGTGGAGAGCCTCCTCAAGCAATTTGGGAGCGTGAAACGCCTTGTGCAAGGTGGGCACCCAGGAGAGGCATTGAATAACTGAGGGCACTCGCTCAGTGGAGGGCAGGGGAAGGGTGGCGCTGCTGGGGGAGTTTAAAACATTTTTTTAAATTTTGCATGTGTGGGGGGCATGTCAAGGTCCAGGTTAGATACTGGGAGGCAATCTCGAGACATTGTTCACCCTATTCTTTTTTTTTAGTTGTTGTTTTTGGTTTTGTTTTGTTTTGTTTTTGTTTTTTTTGTTTGTTTGTTTTGTTTTGTTTTGTTTTTTTGAGACAGGATCTCTCTGTGTAGCTTTGGAGTCTATCCTGGAACTCACTCTATAGACCAGACTGGCCTTGAACTCACAGAAATCCTCCTGCCTCTGCCTCTCCAGTGCTGGGATTAAAGGTGTGTGACACCACCACCCTCTTTTTTATTTTTTTAAATCTTACTCAGTGAGACAGGATCTCTCAATCAAACCTAGAGCTCGCTGATGTGTCCAGTCTTGTTAGCCAGTTTATGGTGGGGATTCCTCCATCCCTGCCTTCCCAGGCTAGAATTATAGACAGGCTGCCATACCCGCCTGACATTATATGGGCTCCAGGGATCAGAATTTTTAAAATCCAAGTTCACTTGTGTTTGCCAGAGGAATCCGGTGTCACCTCTATACTCATTACCACGCCCACCAGCATCTCTCTGTAACTTGTATGGCTAGAACTGTTGACTCCCACAATGAGAGGTGATTCTCCCGAGGTGGGGTACCTCATCCTCAGCATCACTGGATGGGTGAGGGTGCCCTGGGCTGTCCCTTCACCCTGCTGGTGTCGTCAGTGCTTCTGACTAAGTACATCCCCCCATATACCCCTGCCCTCTTGTCCTGATGCTGTATTTGGCAGACACACTTTAGCTGCTTTCCTGAGGAGGAGCTCATGGTCTGAGGGAATGCATGTCTGCTCTAGCTCTGTGCATTAAGAAACAAAAGGGATGCGAGGCGGCAGTGGCAGCCCTTGAGACGCAGAGAGAGTTGAATCTCTGTGAGTTTGAGGCCAGCATGGTCTACAGAGCGAGTTCTAGGACAGCCAGAACTACACAGAGAAACGCTGTCTCAAACAAACAAACAAACAAACTGGGGAAAAAATCAAGAAGTGTGTGTCCATGATAAAATACAAGAAAATTAAAATAAAATGCTGCTATCTTATTTCTATAGTGGAGTTTGGAGATATTGAAGCAATACACTCTCAAGACCTCAGCACTAAGAAACTAAATGAAGCCTTGATAAAGCTACCCAACTCCTCAGGCTACAAGACACATTACTGCCTGAGCACTGAGATCCTAGACATTGCAAGCAAGCTAGACTCCCTGAAAGACTGTCACATCTTCCAAGTCTTCTGGCAAGAGGCGGCAGAGTCGCTGAGTGCTGAGGAGGGCAGAGAGTTGGAGCTGTTGCTCCCAGAGGCCTGCAACTTGCTGTATTCCCCCTGCTATGAGAAATTCCACAGGCTCTACGAGGATCTGAAGTCAGGAGAGATCACTTTTGCCGAAGTTGATTACGTCTTCAGGGACTTTGTAGATAAATATGATGAACTGACGGCTGATCTGAAGTCCATGTGCACTATAGATCCCCAGGACCAGCAAGGCTGGATCTCAGAGCGTGTTGGGCAGATCAAAGAATACCATAGCTTGCACCAGGCCGTCAGCTCTGCCCAGGTCATCTTTCAGGTCCGAAGCACTTTGGGTGTGACCGGTGACTTCAGTGTTCTTGGCACGCTGTTAAACTTCGTAAGTTGTTTGCTGGCTTTCCTGAGTGTGTTCTTGAGAGGGCTAAGGGGCTTCTGGCTTGGGGTGGGGTGAGTGTAGGAGATGGTGAAGCAGGTGGACAGCAAAGCTTTCTTCTGGTAGCTCCTGAGCCAGCGAGTTTCCATTCAACCTTCCATCAGGGGATCAGCAGCTCAAGAAGAGGCCACATTCTTTCTTCCTCATTATTTTTGAGAGTATAATTACTATGTTTGTTTTTTTACTACTTTTGAGATTATAATTGAGATGGGAGGGCTTTTGTTTCCATTTTGAGACAAGGTTTCTCTGTGTCCCGGCTGTTGCAGGCTGGCCTTGAACTCACATAGATCCACTTGCCTCTTCCTTTCAAGTGCTGTAATAAGAGGTATGCACCACCATAGTCACCTTTGGGACTGCTGCTGGACCAGTAAAATAGAAAAATATATGTACAAAGAGAGATCTGGTAGTGCTATGTAAGACCATGTAGGCTTTGATGTGCAGTGGGAGGTGTGGGGTGAGCAAGAGGCGGAGGGACAAGGGGTCCTGCTGTCCTAGATTAAACAAACTTTGCTTTATCTTATGTTTGGAGGTGTGGTGGGGGGATTGGCTGCCTGAAGACTAGGCTTGGCTAACCAGTACCAATACAAGCTAAAACCTCATCTTCCAGGCGGATTCCTTTGAGAACTTTTGTCATCAAAATCTGAAGCAGATCAGCCAAGAGTTCATCCAGGCCAAGAAGCTGCTGCAAGACATCACTGAGCCCCGCCACCGCTGCCTGGAGGAACTCTCTCGGCAGAAGGAGCTTGTGAACTGGTTGCACGAGGCCCTGAAAGGTATGTTCAGCTCCTTGGATGTCCCTGGGTCTTGGGAAGCGCCAGAGTGGTACTTGAGGAAAGAGGTCCCCTCTGTCGCATGCTGTGCAAAGGCCAGGAAAGTTGCTCCTTGCCTTCTTAGGCATCCAGGCGATGTCTGTCTCTGTCACTGGGCTTTGTTACAAACTTTCCTTTGTTGTGCCCTGAATACTATGGCTGCTTGCTGTGAATAGCTGAAGATCATTTTGTAAAAACCCAGCCTCCTTTAGCCTTTTAAGTTTTTTTTTAATTTGTTACTTTGTAATGGCGTTGTATGTATGTACTGTATGTGTGACACATGTGCCTGGTGCATGTGTTAGGTCTAAAGAGGGTGTCAGATTCCCTGGAACTGAAATTGCAGTTGGGTGAAAGCCACCACGTGGAATGGACATGAAATGGAATCTGGATCCCTTGGAAGGCCAACAATTGCTCTTAACCACTACTAAGCCCGATCTTTTTTTTTTTTTAATTACATAATTTTATTTTAATTTTCTGTGTATGGGGGGGAATGCATACTCATATCCCAGATACCAAGATGGTCAGAAGAAGGTGTCAGTTCCCCCGGAGCTAGAGTTTCAGATGGCTGTGAACCTCCATGTGGGTGCTGGGAATTGAACCTGGGTCCTCTGCAAGAGTAGCCAGTGCTCTTAACCATTGAGCCATCTCTCCAGCTGCCCCTCCCCAGAGAGGCTTCCTATAACCCCTCTCGAAGGTTTTCCGTGCCTATCTGTTGAGTGGTCAGAAGTCTGTGGACAGTCATGTCCATTTTTCTCGTCAACATAGTCTCAAAGAGATAAGCCTACATCTCCGTTTAGGTGGTTACGTGGCTTGCACCGCAAGCCTGGTATAATGCTCGAGGGGGAGGGGACTGTTGTCTGATAGAGGTTAGCTGTCAGCCAATAGATTCACTGTGTGTTTCACGTTCTTAGCAAAAGCGGGGAGTGGGTCAAACCCTGACACAGGCGTGGTGTCTAGTCCAGCTTCATTTAGGATCACTGCCCCAAACTCAGCACGGTCATGTGCTAAACACCCCTTTCTCCTCTCAAGACATCAATGAGCTCAAGGTGTTTGTGGACCTGGCCTCCATCTCTGCGGGGGAGAATGACATCGATGTGGACCGGGTGGCCTGTTTCCATGATGCTGTGCAGGGTTATGCTTCCCTGCTGTACAAGATGGCCTCGGGCACAGACTTCTACGGGTTCATGGGTCATCTGCAGGAACTCTGGAGGGCCCTGGACAATGACCAGCACCTGCCCAGCAAGCTGGTGAGTCTGCTCAGGGTCTGAGGCACATATGCTGAGTGACAGGGCCCCGAGGGACAAGACAGAACCCAAAGACACAATACGGGTGCCGGGGGCAGGGTGTGGGACAGCTGTACCCCAGTAAGAGCAGAGGTGAGGGGTGACGATGGGAAAATGGCTACTCACTCCAGCCTGCTTCCTGCTTTGTTCCCAATAGCATGATTCTGCCAGAAACTTGGAATGGCTGAAGACGGTGAAGGAAAGCCATGGGTCTGTGGAGCTCTCATCTCTGTCTCTGGCCACAGTGATCAACAACAAGGGCATCTATGTTATCAAGGCACCCAAGGGCGGTCAGAAGGTGAGCCTCCCAGAATCCTGGTGCAGTCTCGAATGGCCCTGCAGTCTTGCTATAAAGTCATGGGACTGCACCAGAAACTAACTTTCAAATGTGCGCCACCTCCCAGATTTCCCCAGATACCGTTCTACACCTTCTCCTCCCTGAGGACCACGATGCTCAGGAGACACAGCGTACCTACTCCACAGAAGAGCTGAAGGAGCTTCTAAATAAGCTTATGCTAATGTCTGGCAAGAAAGACCACAACAGCAACTTAGAAGTGGAAAAGTTTTCAGAGGTGAGCTTATGAGTTTGTGCTGTTACCCCATGGAGGCCACCCTGGCCTCCAGCCGGCCTGGACACTTTCCTTACTGAGCCATGGGAAGGGGCTTCAGTTGGCTTTTGGTCAACACGGAGCTCTGCTCTGATAACCAGAGACTGATGCTGATGGGTCTGTGGGATGCATGGCATTACAAACCAAACCCCCAGAGAAATATCTGAACTAGGACAGACCCGAGAACAACAAACAGGTCCTCTCCAAGAGCCTCAGGAGGGAATGTCACCAGCTGTGAGGGAGAGATGACCACTGCACAGTCCTAGAAACAATCACTTTGCTGCCTCTATGAACCGTCAAGTATCTATCACGCTCCCGTGGAGGCTGGGGGATCTTGATTTTTAGGCCAGCCTGGGGACATGAGACACTGCTTTTACACACACACACACACACACCCATGCACACATGCACGCACACCACGCCCACATAGCGTGCACACACAACACACACGCACACACAATCATTACACTGACACCCTTTTTCTTACCTTGGACAAGGTGGTACACACCTTCAATCCCAGCGCTCGGGAGGCAGAGGCAGACAGACACATCACACCAGTCTAGTTCCACGGGGAACTTAAGTGGACAGGTGTGTGTAGGTTCCTGTGTCTTCCCTGCAGCCCTGGCTGTGCTTGGTTTCATGGCTATCTTTCCCCCCCCCCCAGGTCTTCAGCAGCATACAGAGGCTTGTGCATGCCTTCATAAGCCTGCACTGTGCAGGCAACATGCTCTTCAGGACGTGGACCGCTGAAGTCTACTGTTGCCCCAGATCCGGTGTCTCCATCCGCATGGACTTCGGCTTGAAGCCCATCAATACTTTGGCAGAGAGTGGTGATGTCATCGAGGTCCTGGGCGCCCTCTGCAGGCAGATGGAGGAATTCCTAGACCTATGGAAGAAAGCCGTCACCCAGAAGAGAACCAAACACTTTTACCTCAACTTCTACACAGCTGAACAGCTGGTCTACCTGAGCAGTGAGCTCAGGAAATCCAGACCCAGTGAAGCTGCTCTCATGATGTTGTCCTTCATCAAAGGCGAATGCACTGCCTATGACATCTTAGAAGCCACCAGGTCCTGTGACAGCAAAGCTGCCAGAGACCGCCAGAGGGAGGTTGTGAAGCACCTGCCTCTGCAGCTACATTCTGAGTCCAGCTTAATTGGCAAGCTCCGGGTTATTATGGAGCAGTCCTTAGGGTGCATGAGTGCCTTCTTGCCAGACTGCCTGGACCTGGACGCCCTGGGCACATGCCTGGCTCAGCTGGCCACACTGGGAGACCATCCCGTAGAGCGGCCACTCCCCAAAGGCCTGCAGGTTGGCCAGCCCAACCTGGTATTGTGTGGCCACTCGGAGGTGCTGGCGGCTGCGCTGGCCGTCTACATGCAGGACCCCAGACAGCCCCTGCCCAAATTTGATGAGGTGTTGCTCTGCACCCCGGGGACCACGGTGGAGGAGGTGGAACTTCTCCTGCGACGCTGCCTCACACTGGGGTCCCAGGAACACAAGATCTACAGCTTGCTTTTTGCAGACCAGCTGAGCTATGAAGTGGGCTGCCGGGCAGAGGAGCTCCTCCAGGACCTGTGCATACAGCACCACCGAGAGGACTATCAGTTGGTGATAGTCTGTGACGCTGCCCGGGAGCACAGCTACCTCCCCTCCACCTTCAGCCAGCACAAAGTCCCCCTGGTTCCCCAGGCCCCACTGCCAGACATCCAGGCCTACCTGGAAAGCCATTTTCAGGTCCCGAAGGACAGCCTGTCAGCAGCAGCTGTATTCAGAGACGGCATGTGTGTTGGGATCGTGACCTCTGAAAGAGCTGGTGTCGGTAACGAAAGAGCCTGTGGGTGGAGAGGTCCCCTCTACCAGAAACTGCTCCCTCCTCCAGCAGCAGCAGGGGACACTCAGATGAAGCCCCTCTCCAGGGGTCTGGCTCTGCCTTAGCTGTAAACCTTTCTCACCTAATTTTGAAAACTGAGCCATTCCCGAGAGCCCTGTTCCCTCCCCTCAGCAGCCTTTCTGTAGTTTTACTTCCTCGGTAAACTCCGGGTCTCTTGCATCCGTGCTGGTTCTGGTCCAGAAGAAACTCTGAGCATCCTTTGGTTGCTGTCTGTTTCCTTCATCCCGTCCACTCGCTGTCCCTGAACCACACTGCAGTGCTGGGAGAGAGTTTGTTCCTCCATGCTCTTGTCCTTGGCTGAATTAGGAAAAGGCAAAATTGGCCAGTGGGTGGTAGACGGGGAACTGTGAGACAGGGAGCCAGTGAGCAGGTGTGGCCCATCGCATCCTGAGCCAGTGAGCAGGGGTAGCCCATCGCATCCATACTGAGTTAAACAGAGAGTAACTCCCACGACATCTCTGTGTTCTCTTGCTTTCAGCCTGTAGGTTTGGGGTCTAATTTCTGTGTGTTCACATTGCAGGAAAGTCGCTCTACGTGAACAGATTGCACAAGACCCTGAAAATGAAGCTACAGGGTGAAAAGGTGCCTTTGAAAATCATTCGGCTGACAGACCCTCACGTGGATGAGAGCCGAGTCCTGCGTTCCCTCCTGCCATTCCTGAAGGGGAGCTATCAGAAAACACCTGTGATATTCCACATCGATGTGAGCACATCTGTAAGTGTCCCAGCACCGCGCCCCCCCTCCCCCCGTCCCCAGGGACTGTGACACCGGAGGAAGACACAGCTGCCATATCCTGGCTGCCTCCTGCCTCCACACACACCCCGTCACACATCACCCTGTCGTGGGGCAAACAAGCCAGGCCTTAGCGTGAGAGCAATGGCTACCGGCCCTACACACTCACAAGCCTGTGTCTCCTTCTGTAGGTACAGACTGGGATTCCTGTCTTTCTTTTCAAACTCCTCATTCTGCAGTACCTAATGGATATAAATGGGAAGATGTGGCTTCGGAACCCGTGCCATTTATACATTGTTGAAATCTCCCAAGAGCCCTCAGTACAGCCGAAGAGGCCTTCTAAACTGGTGCGTATTGAGAAAAACAAAATTAAAGGTTGGACTGTGCTGAACGAAGCACGCACACCTTACCCTGGCTTGCTTTCTTGCCAACGTGATACACGGTTGACTTATCTGAGGGGGGGGGGCACAAATGCCTGTAGGCAAGTTTGTAGGGCACAGGGCGCTTTGTTAATTATGGTTGTGGCTGGGCCCAGCCCATGGGGGGAGGGGCAGTCCCACCTGTAGGCCCCTGGTTCTGGATGGCACAAGGAAGCAGGCTGAGCAAACCAGTCAGCAGTGACCCAGGCCTCTGCCTTAGTTCCTGCCTCCATTTTCTTGTCTTGAGACCCTGCCCTGACTTTCCTCAGTAATGGAGTGTGAGAGCTGGAAGATCAAACAGGCCCTCTCCTCCCCAAAAAGTGGCCATGGCGTTTTATCTCGGCAATATGAACTCTCGCTAGGCCAAAAAGGTACCAGGTTCACGAGCTACTGCTGTGACAGACCTGACCACGTCTTTTGGAGAGAATTACGGTGATATTCGAACTCTGCGCCACTGAGTGTCCCGAGCTCAGTGGAATGTTTTCTGGGAGCTTGTAAGATTAGCAGACGGTAAAGGCCTGGCTTGTGACATGCAGAGGGAAGTATCAGGGCTGTTTGGGTGTGGTTGTGGTCAGCTGGGACTGAAGAATGAACTGTGATTAACAAGAGACCAGAACCACTAGTGTGACCCTTCACTTTCATGCTTGGACCATTCAGTGGGGTGAAGGAATTTCCTCTGACTGAGACCAGCATCACTGAGGTGAATGGGAAGTGTTCCCTCAGGATCAGCACACACACACACACACACACACACACACGCACACGCGCTATGGCCCAGAGTGTGACAAGGCAGCATCTCAGGCTCGCAGCCCAACTGGATTGTGCTGGGAGCCGCCGTCTCTCAGTCATACAGGGTAAACTTGAAGTAAAATCAACACCACAGGGGTTTACTAAGGAACTTTCCCTAGGACACATCAAGTTACACAAAGTAGAATTTACCTAAAGAATCACTGCCTCCGGTATGACTGAAAGACAGTGTACTAACTATGCTTGTCAGCAACTGCAGGAAAGAAAACCGTCCACCCTAGCTAAAGTGCAGGCTTGCTGAGAACGTCCAGTCACTGAGACTGACCTCCAGCGAGGCTCTGCTCCCATGACAAATAAAGATAACCCTGATTTACAGCCAGCCATTGGTCCAGCCCCCTATCAAAACACTCCAGCGGGCAGCACAGGCTCACAACCTGCCACCAAATCCCCTGTGCTCTTACCAGGAAAAGCCTAATTCTGCCAGGTGAGCAAGATGACCCTGGGTTATAACAAATAATTCTGGTAATATTCCATCTGCCCAAGTGATCAGCCTCCCATCTCCGTTCAAATTGTGTAAGTACAACCTGGGACTGGGACCTGAAAGATGTAAGGACCACAGCAATATATGGCGTGGATAAGCCTAATGTGTATCCGAGCAAGTAAAATCTTCTATTGGAGGCCGGCTCCTCTTTGAGCATTGCCCAGAGCCAGACACACATTTATATTAAGGTGCTTTCCCCTTAACTGGGAAGACATACTGATTCTGTAACTCCAGTACAGGGAAGATGAGTTCCTCTTGGACCTGAGTACTTAAAGAGGTTTGGCGCTCACACCCTACACACAGCTGCATGCGCACAGTGAAGAACCCAGTTGTTAGGGAGTGCTCTTTTGTTAAGGATGTGTCTCTACTTCATTTCTCTAAAACCTCAGCAGGCAGAGTCTCCAGCCTGTTGAAGGCAAGTGAAATGCCATGTAGACCTGGAGAGTTAAAACACAAAGGCAGTTTTTAAGAAGCTCAGTGACAATGTGTTTCCTCTCTGCAGAATGCACGTGCGCCCCTATTCAAGTTTCTTGATATCTTCCCCAAAGTTATCTGCCGTCCTCCCAAGGAAGTGATAGATATGGAGCTGGCTCCCGTGGGGAGGAGCCACAGAGAACCCGGAATGGACCTAGTGGAGTTCCGCAGTGAGGCTTTCCAAAGACCATACCAGTATTTAAGACGGTTCCACCAAAGCCAGAACCTGGACACATTTCAGTACGAAAACGGCTCTGTGGAAGGGTCCCCTGAGGAGTGCCTGCAGCACTTCCTGATCTACTGTGGCGTGGTGAACCCTTCCTGGGCAGAGCTTCGGAACTTTGCTTGGTTTCTGAACTGTCAGCTCAAGGACTGCGAGGCTTCCGTCTTCTGCAACTCAGCTTTTACTGGAGACACACTCAGGGGCTTCAAGAACTTTGTGGTAACCTTCATGATCTTAATGGCGAGAGATTTTGCTACTCCGTCTCTTCACACTTCCGACCAAAGCCCAGGTAAGCACCTGGTCACCATGGATGGAGTTGCTGAAGAAGACCTAGCTCCCTTCTCTCTTCGGAAGAGGTGGGAGTCAGAGCCTCATCCATATGTTTTCTTTAATGGCGACCGCATGACCATGACATTCATAGGCTTTCACTTGCAGCCTAACAACAAAGGCTATGTCGATGCCATCAATCCCTCGAATGGGAATGTCATCAAGAAGGATATCATGACAAAAGAATTGTTTGATGGGCTGCTGCTTCAGAGAGTACCCTTCAATATCAACTTTGATAACTTGCCCAGAGGTGAGAAACTTGAAAGACTCTGTCTGGCACTAGGGATTGAGTGGCCCATTGACCCTGATGAAACGTACGAACTTACAACAGACAATATGCTTAAAATCCTGGCCATTGAGATGAGGTTCCGGTGCGGGATCCCAGTGATCATCATGGGAGAGACGGGCTGTGGGAAAACCAGGCTCATCAAATTCCTTAGTGACCTCAAGCGTGGTAGTGTTGAAGCAGAGACTATGAAGCTGGTGAAGGTCCATGGAGGAACAACTCCATCCATGATCTACTCCAAAGTCAAGGATGCTGAGGAGACAGCCTTCTTCAATACGGGCCAACATAAGTTGGATACCATCCTGTTCTTCGATGAAGCCAACACGACAGAAGCTGTAAGCTGCATCAAAGAAGTCCTGTGTGACGGAACAGTGGATGGCGAGTTCCTAAATGAGGGCTCCGGCCTGCATATCATTGCTGCTTGCAACCCTTACCGGAAGCACTCCCAGGAAATGATCCTCCGCTTGGAGTCAGCAGGTTTGGGATACAGGGTGAGTGCAGAGGAGACTGCAGACAGGCTGGGCTCCATCCCACTGCGGCAGCTGGTATACCGCGTCCATGCTCTGCCCCCGAGCCTCATTCCTTTGGTGTGGGACTTTGGACAGCTGAATGATGCCGCTGAAAATCTCTACATCCAGCAGATCGTCCAGAGACTGGTGGACTCCATCGATTTAGATGATAGTGAGGCTCGTGTGATTGTGGATGTTCTGTCCACCTCCCAGAGGTTCATGAGGAAGAGGGAGAATGAATGTGGCTTTGTCAGCCTCCGGGACGTGGAGCGCTGTGTGAAAGTTTTCAGATGGTTTCATGACCACAGTGAGATGCTCTTAAACCATCTGGATGATTATCTCTACGAATCCAGTGACAGAAACCACATTTTCGAGAGAGATCCTGTTCTCTGGTCCCTGATAATGGCCACCGGGGTGTGTTACCATGCCTCTTTGGAAAAAGAGAAAGCATCCTACCGCACAGCCATTGAGAGGTGCTTTCCAAACCCATTCAATGACAGCAAGGCCATTCTTGATGAGATCACTCATGTACAAGATCTTTTTCTGAGGGGGGCACCCATCAGGACAAACATAGCCAGGAACTTGGCTTTGAAGGAGAATGTCTTCATGATGGTAATCTGCATTGAGCTTAAGATCCCCCTTTTCCTGGTGGGGAAGCCCGGCAGCTCCAAATCCCTTGCCAAGATCATTGTAGCAGATGCCATGCAAGGGCAGTCTGCCTTCTCTGACCTCTTCCGCTGCCTGAAACAGGTCCACCTGGTGTCCTTCCAGTGCAGCCCCCATTCCACACCACAAGGGATCATCGGCACCTTCAGACAGTGTGCTCGATTCCAGCAGGGCAAGGACCTGCAGCAGTACGTCTCTGTGGTGGTGCTGGATGAGGTCGGGCTGGCAGAAGACTCACCCAAAATGCCCCTAAAGACTCTGCACCCCCTGCTGGAAGATGGGTGCATTGAAGATGACCCCGCCCCATACAAAAAAGTTGGCTTTGTTGGCATCTCCAACTGGGCTCTGGATCCCGCCAAGATGAACCGAGGCATTTTTGTGTCACGTGGAAGTCCCAACGAGAAAGAGCTCATAGAGAGCGCTGAGGGGATCTGTTCTTCCGACAGGCTGGTTCAGGACAGAATCCGAGGGTATTTTGCACCGTTTGCCAAGGCCTATGAAACAGTGTGTAAGATCCAGGACAAGGAATTCTTCGGGCTTCGTGACTATTACAGCCTCATCAAGATGGTCTTTGCCAAAGCCAAAGCTTCAAACCGGGGCCTTTCACCACAAGACATCGCCCACGCTGTCCTTCGGAACTTCAGCGGCAAAGACAGCGTCCAGGCGCTGGACATCTTTACAGCCAGTCTTCCTGAGGCCAGGTACAAGGAAGAGGTCAGCACCGTGGAGCTGATCACTCAGAACATTTACAGTGGTCTGCAGGCACCCGGCGCGGATGAGTCCCGGTATTTGCTGGTGCTCACCAGCAACTATGTGGCCCTGCAGATCCTGCAGCGGATGTGCTTCGGTGAGGGCCGGCAGCCTGAGGTCATTTTCGGCTCCAGCTTTCCCAAGGACCAGGAATACACCCAGGTCTGCAGGAACATCAATCGGGTGAAGATCTGCATGGAGACGGGGAAGATGGCGGTGCTGCTGAACCTCCAGAACCTGTACGAGAGCCTGTATGACGCTCTCAACCAGTACTACGTCTACCTGGGGGGCCAGAAGTACGTGGACCTCGGACTAGGCACCCATCGGGTCAAATGTCGGGTGCACGCGGACTTCCGCCTCATCGTCATCGAAGAGAAGGATGTGGTGTACAAACAGTTCCCCGTGCCCCTCATCAACCGGCTGGAGAAACATTACCTGGACATCAACACGGTGCTGGAGGAATGGCAGAAGAGCATCGTGCGCGAGCTGCAGCAGTGGGCCCGTGAGTTTGCAGACGTGAAAGCCGATCAGTTCATTGCCAGGCACAAGTACAGTCCCGCAGATGTCTTCATTGGCTACCACTCCGACGCCTGCGCCTCTGTGGTGCTGCAGGCTGTGGAGAGGCAGGGCCCCAGGGACCTGACGGAAGAGTTATACCGCAAGGTATCGGAAGAGGCCAAGTTCATCCTGCTGGAGTGTGCAACCCCAGACGCTGTGGTCCGGCTGAGTGGTTCCTCCCTGGGCTCCTTCACTGCGGGACAACTGGCACAGGAGTATTACTACAACCAGCAGCACAACTCCCTCGCAGACTTCCTCCAGGTCCACCTGCGCATGGCCCGCCTGGAGTGCCAGGCTGTCTTCACAGAGGTAACCGGCCTCCCAGCCTTACCCTCTGCTCTGTCATCCGAGAGTCAGGAACTCAAGCTCTATGTAAGCCAGGAGGCAGAGGGGTGACACAGCTAAGAAGGACATGCCGACTGGGCTGTTAATTATGTTCTGAGCACAGGGGGTAAGTTCAGTGTCCCCGGCCTCACGGGGTCCTCTGGCGGGCAGCGTGCGTGCGACTTAGGAAGGCGGTGTTCAAGCAGTTAGGGTCCACACCACACACGACCTGTTATGCAGGAGCTGGGGTGGGGAGGAGGACAGATGTGATTTTCTTTAGCAGGCACCCCTAGAGCGGGCTGGGCACAGCCAAGACTAAGGGACTGAGACTGGAAATCCCTTGAAGAAGTAAGTCATTGGCGGAGCTTGAGGTTGCAAGCTGTGCGTTTTGTGTCCTGAGGTGGAGATGGTCCAAAAAAGATCTGTCGGGGGTCCTCAGTGGCTGTGCTGAGGAACCCGATCCTTCCTGCCTCGAGGAACACTGCAGGAGGATGTCCAGAAGGGAGTAGAAGACAGGGAACAGGCCAGTTAGAAGCTTCAGGACCAGGACAGTCAAAGCAGAGAGACAGATGGCATCAAGAGGTGATGGGAAGTCTGGTGTGGTGGCGCAAGCCTTTAATACCTGCACTTACCAGGCAGAGGCAGGAGGATCTCTGATTTTCAGGCCATCCTGGTCTACAGAGTGAGTTTCCAGACAGGCAGGGCTACACAGGGAACCCTTGGAAACCAAACACAGGAACGGCTCGGTGGCTGGACAGATTGCTCAATGGTCAGCAGCAGTGGATTCTCCTCCAGTTCCCAGACCCCACGTGGCAGCTGATAACCAGCTGTGGCTCTAGTCCCAGGGGACTCAGTGCTTTCCTCTGACCTCTCCAGCCACCAGACATACATGGGGTGCACAGACAGACACGTATGCAAAACACCCATGCGCAGACATGAAAAAAGGAAGAAATGGGGGTGGGGTTGCATATGCTCAGGCTCATTACTGACTTCATGGAGGGACAGTGGGCGTGGGCATCTGGTGATCCCTCCTAACTGCCTGAAGGCCTTGCTTAGCAACATGGAAGGTTCAGGAATAAGCATCAGGTTTGGACATGAGGGAATCCGAAGCTCAGGGATGGATCGGGCCAGGAGGTGAGAACTGGGGGCTCGAGTCTCAGCGTACCTCAAGGGACACTGGAGCCCGCATTGTGGGGTGTGGCCACCGAGGCCCGCTGTGGTAGGATGGCTAGCTCCATCTGACGGCCTGCAGTCCCCAGAAGGGTCCAGAGCAGGAAGGAGCCTATGGCACCTGTTGGGAAACTTCTCCTGGTGCCTTTAACCCTACGGTCCCTTTGTCTCACCTGTCTTCTTCTGGAGATACTCCAGGCCTGCACACACACTGTGCCATGTGCACCCATTATGGGCAGGGCCCAACCTGCTCCTCATGCCTCTCGGTTCTAGACCAAGTAGAGGGGCCCCCTGCCCACTGGTTTCTGGCCGGGGCCCCCTGCCCACTGGTTTCTGGCCGGGGTCCCTCTGTCCACTGGTTTCTGGCCAGGCCCTCTGCCCACTGGTTTCTGGCCAGGCCCTCTGCCCACTGGTTTCTGGCCAGGCCCCCTGCCCACTGGTTTCTGGCCGGGCCCTCTGTCCACTGGTTTCTGGCCAGGCCCCCTGCCCACTGGTTTCTGGCCGGGGTCCCTCTGTCCACTGGTTTCTGGCCAGGCCCCCTGCCCACTGGTTTCTGGCCGGGGCCCCCTGCCCACTGGTTTCTGGCCGGGGTCCCTCTGTCCACTGGTTTCTGGCCAGGCCCTCTGCCCACTGGTTTCTGGCCAACAGTCTGCCTCCCATTTTGCAGATCACCACTTTCTCCAGACTGCTCACGGGTAGCGACTGTGAAGTCTTGGCGTCCGAGCTGAAAGGGCTGGCCTCAAAGCCCACAGTCCTGTCACTGCAACAGTTTGACACTGAATACTCCTTCCTTAAGGAAGTCCGGTGAGGCGCTCTTCCGGCTCCATTCTGGGGGACCCCGCCCTGGCCAGCTGCTCTGGCGGGGCTGTAGTAATGGGCACTGGTTAGTGAACTGGGGGTTGCCCAGGCCTCCCGCTTGACCTCTCTGTCCCCACTACTCTGCTCCTCTCAGAGTTTCCCAGCCGGTCCTGTCTCCCCAGGAAGCTTTGCTGGACACTTAGAATTCTGAGTCATCTGCTTACCCGATGGAGGGCATCTGTGTCTCTGCATGCTTTTTCTCTGCAGCCCTGGCCTCACCCTCCTTCAAGGGATTCCTTTATACATTTTCCGGGACAGGGAACTCACCTGGTAATTCCCTTTCTCCTCCAGCTGTTGCCTAATGAACTCAGCCAGGCGTAAAATCCTAGTCATCCAGACGGACTTCGACGATGGTGTCCACAGCGCCCAGCTGGTAGCTTCTGCCAAGTATGTTTTCAGGGTTTGTCTAGAAACAACACAGGGAATCAATATTCACCCACAACCGCAGAAGAATCTCTTCTCTTCAAGCAGTACAGTGTCGTGAGAAACAGAAGTTAACAAGAAAATTCTCTTCTTGTCTGTCACTGGATGACTGAATTAAGGAATGAAAAAGCTAGAGTTCTGGGGAATAGCTCAGCCACGTGAGCAAGAGGAACCTGAGTTCAGTCCCCAGTGCCATGTAGAAGCTGATGTGGCGATGCACACTTGCTGGGGGAGGTGGGGAGGCAGAGCCAGAAGATCCCTGGGCAAGCTTAGCCTCGTCAGAGAGCCCCACGTCCTACCTACGCTGTCTAAGGAACGATACCTGTGGTTGGGCCTCTGGCTTCCACACTCATGTCATGAAGACATGTACACATGATCATGTACACCCACACACATATGGCAGGGGTTGGGGGGGCAGAACAAAATTGTACAACACAAGTATAAATAGTAGACCATTAATAGGATGTTTAAAAATATCCTTGAAATGTGTTTACATCTGCTCTTTAGTCATGTGCAGTTTTCAACTGCACAATATGAATTTATTCCAAGTTCAAGAGCAATAACTAGGTAGACTCTGTGGAAGTATGAGATGTGTAAGTGGGGTGCGTGTGGTTTGTGTATGTGTGCAATGTTTGTGGTTTACAGGTATGTGTAATGTATGAGTGGGGTGTGTAGTTTGTGGATGTGTATGTATGACTAAGATTGAACTTCACTTTTTTTTTGATATTTTGAGACAGGGTTTTTCTTTCTTTTTTCTTTGAATTTATTTATGTGCATTGGTGTCTCATCCCCTGGAACAGGAGTTACAGATAGTTGTGAGCTGCCATGTTGGTGCTGGGAATTGAACCCAGGTCCTCTAGAAGAGCAGTCTGTGTTTTTAACACGGAGCCATCTCTCCATCCCTGAGACAGGGTTGTTCTCTGTAACAACCTAGGCTGTCCTGAAACTAACTCTGTAGACCAGGTTGGCCTGGAACATACAGAGATCTGCCTGTCTCTGCCTCCTGAGAGCTGGGATTAAAGGCGTGTGCCACCAGTACTCAGCAAACCTCACCTATGTTAGTAAACCATATAACCGTGTAGGACTACAATGATATCCCCCCTTTTATTTTATTTTGACTCTGTGTGTGTGTGTGTGTGTGTGTGTGTGTGTGTGTGTGTGTGTGTGTGTGCCTGGTGCTCACAGAGGCCAAATAAAGGCACTGGGTCTCCTGGAATTGGCGTTGCGGATAGCTGTAATCTGCCATGTGGATGCTGAAAATCAAACCTGGATTCTCTAGGAGAGCAGCAAGTGCCCTTAACTACTGAGCCAGCTCTCCAGCTCCTCCTTTTACTTTTCATTCTGAGATAGAGTCTCAGAATTGTCCAGGCTAGCCTTGAACTTATGATCCTCATGACTCAGTCTCCCGAGCAGCTGGGATAGAATTAGCCATATTTTCTTGTTCGTGTTAAAGGGGAATCTCTGGGCCTGTTTAAAGCACTGGTAGCCATATTCTATTTCAGTGCCTAGTGAGATCTACTGGGGATCAGTCTCAGGGCTTCATCGGATGGCCAGAGAGACTCAGCCTGTGTCACAACACAATTCTATTCAGGAAAGGAAAGTCAGTCCTGAGCAGAGGATTCTGGGAAGTTGTGAAGTCCATTTAAGCTCCTGAAACTGAGCTTGAGATTGCCCCTGTCAGTTTAGAGGGCACATGCCAGCCAGCTCCCAACACAGGCTGTGTGCATGCATGGTCTTGATTTGTGTTTGCTTTTAAACAGGTATTCTGCCATCAATGAAATCAACAAAACACAAGGGACAAAGGACATAGTCTTCGTTTATTTTATTACGAAGCTTTCCCGAATGGAAAGTGGTACATCGTATGTGGGATTCCACGGAGGTAGGCCTACAGTGCTCTGGAGGAGAGGTTCTCAACCTGTGGGTCACATTACGAGTCATAACAGTAGCACAGTCGTAGTTATGAGTGGTAATAAAATAATGAATGTTATGGCTTGGGACACCACAACAGTGTTAATGGAAGGCTGAGAGCCACTGCTCTAGGGCGCGTTGCTTTAAGTAGTAGTTAATGTATTTCGCATGTGGTTCTGCGTCTGAAATTAGAAATCGAATCCCAGCAATACTCTTAAATCACCCAGTCACTGAAGCCATTATTTTTAGCTGGATGTGGTGGTTGCACACACCTGCAATACCAGATTTCTGGAGGCTGAGGAGGGAGGATTGCAGGTTCAAAACCAGCCTGGGCTACGCAGAAAGGCTTGGTCTCAAAAAGAAGCAAACGCACCAGGTCTGGGCACACAGCAGTGTCCTTGGCATCTCTGTGTCTACTTAGGTGAGGGCTGCCAGCATTCTGACTCCTTGTACGATGGAGGATTCTGAGACCTCCCACCCACCAGCACCCAAGCACCCAAGCACCAGCGTGGCTTTCATTTCCTGTCCCTTCTGTGCACTGACTCAGTGGGAGGAACTCTATCTTCATGCCAGTCCCCTGCTCTCTCCTGCTTTAAGACGTGTGTGTTCCAGAAACTGGAAATAGACTGGATAATTTCAGACAGCGGGAAGCAGAACTTCCCAGTCCCTCACAAGGCCTTGCTAATCATGAGTTGGCTACAGTGAGATTGTGAATGAGAAGCCTGGAGCTCACCCGTGGACCCTGTGCAAGAGGCTACTTTATATCTTTCCAGTGCTTAGCTTTATCTTGTTGACAGATCCCGTGGTTCCTCACATTTCCAAGTGTTTAGACTTTGGGTTACTGGTCACTCCTTCAGTGTTGTTAAAAATATGGGTGAAGGGGCTAGAGTGAACCCTCAGTGATGAAGAGCACTGACTGCGGTCCAGGGCATCTGGGTCCGATTCCTAGCACCCACACGGTGGGTCGCAGTCATTTGTATCTCTAGTTCCAGGGATCTGACACCCTCTTCTGACACACAAGACACAAACATGGTGTACATACATACATGTGTACATAAAAACCAGTCAATTGTTAAAAAAAAAAAATCTGGTTTAGCCCAGGAACCTTCTGTGAAACTTGACGATCTGAGTTTGATCCCTGGTCATATAGACAGACAGAACCAACTGTCACAGGTTATCTTCTGACTCCTGGGCGGATAGACGGACAGAGCCAACTATCGTAAGCTATCTTCTGACTCCACACATGTGCTATGTCACACGTGTACACACACATACAAATACACAAACACAGAGAACTGATAATGAAAATAAATAAATTCGAGGTTGGTTTTATATCTTTGTTAATAAATGACAGGAAGACGGCTAAGTTGCAGAAGATCTCAGTGGCTTTGTTCTTCACAGGGCTGTGGCGGTCTGTTCATATTGATGACCTCCGCAGATCCACAATCATGGCCTCAGATGTCACTAAACTGCAGAATGTCACCATCAGCCAGCTGTTCAAGCCAGTGGACAAACCCAAGTGTGAGTCTCAAAACAGCCACCTGGGGACATGGTGTAGGTAACAGACAGGAAATGCCAGGCGCAGTGGGCTGGATGCAGAGCCACTCTGCTGTCCCATCTATGGTGGAGCCCAGCAGAAGGCCACCTGAGTATGCCCACAGCATGCCAGGCTACTTTATGGCTCCTTCGCCAGCCCCAAGAGCCCAGGCTAGGGAGCGCCTGAGCAAGAGCTGGAGGTGACATACAAACCACATGTTCCCTTTACGAGAACTACCACTACAGGGAAGCCTGGCAAGTCCCAGCTTATCCCAGATAGTCTGATACACCCCATTCTGGTCCTGCATGCTAACTCAAGCATATTCACCTTGCCTTTTACCTAGCAGATGACCCAGAGGAGGCGATGGAGATAGAGACCATCAAGTCAGGGGAAATGGCAGAGCAAAAAATGGAAGTAGACAGTCCAGAGGAGATGGAGATGGCATCTGACCCAGGAGGCTGTGATGTGAGTCCCGTTTTTCCCATTAGCTAAGGGAGCTGCAGCTTTGACCTCTCTCCCGGGAATTAGAACCAACCCTGTATTTATTTATGATTGGGGAGCGCTCTCTTCCTTCCACAATGGATGTGTAAGTGAATCATTCCCTTCACTAAATAGTTTCATGCATTTCTTCATCCCTGACTCACTTGCTAATTAATGTTGGTCAGCAGGGGATATGGTAAGTTTTGCCATAATGACCACCAACTGGGGCCACATGACCACTAACACCAAACCGCCATTTCACGATGGAACTGGCACATTGGAAGCCTACACTCTTCCTCGGTGTTCACAGGTCCTCGACACCACCAGACTGCTGCGGAGCTGTGTGCAGAGCGCTGTGGGGATGCTCAGAGACCAGAATGAGGGTTGTGCACGCAACATGAGGAGAGTCACCATTCTCCTTGGCCTCTTAAACGAAGACAGCGTGCTCAACGGTAAGCGCGGTACCCTGAGTGCCGAGCCATCCACCTGATGTGGGGAGGGTAACCTTTCAGGCTTCTTGGACTTGACAGAAGCGGCAGACAGTTGGAAGCCATGTCCATCTGCCTGGCCAAAGGGTGCGCGGCTTTTATCTTGGGTGAGGTGGGTCAAAAGCTACGATGGGCCCTACAACCTAGTGTGCACGAATAGGCCAAATCAGTTCCCCGCTGTCTTCACAGCCTCCTTTTTGCGGGAATCTAAGATGCGCCTCCATGTTCTTCTAAAGAAGCAAGAAGAGAATCAGGTCCGCAGTCTAAAGGAGTGGGTCACCAGGGAGGCCGCTAATCAGGACGCACTCCAGGAGGCAGGCACCTTCAGGTACAAGGGTGAAAAGCATGGAGGCCTTTGCACCATTCCAGTGATGCACTCCGCTGGTGTGACTCTGAGTGATGGACTCCGCTGGTGTGACTCTGAGTGATGGACTCCGCTGGTGTGACTCTGAGTGGTGCACTCCGCTGGTGTGACTCTGAGTGATGCACTCCGCTGGTGTGACTCTGAGAGATGCTCTCCTGCTGGTGTGACTGAGTGATACACTCCGCTGGTGTGACTCTGAGTGATGGACTCCGCTGGTGTGACTCTGAGTGATGCACTCGGCTGGTGTGACTCTGAGTGATGGACTCCGCTGGTGTGACTCTTGGTGATGCTCTCCTGCTGGTGTGACTCTGAGTGATGCACTCCGCTGGTGTGACTCTGGGTGATGGACTCCGCTGGTGTGACTCTTGGTGATGCTCTCCTGCTGGTGTGACTCTGAGTGATGCACTCCGCTGGTGTGACTCTGAGTGATGCTCTCCTGCTGGTGTGACTCTGAGTGATGCACTCCTCTGGTGTGACTCTGAGTGATGCACTCCGCTGGTGTGACTCTTGGTGATGCTCTCCTGCTGGTGTGACTCTGAGTGATGCACTCCGCTGGTGTGACTCTGGGTGATGTTCTCCTGCTGGTGTGACTCTTGGTGATGCACTCCGCTGGTGTGACTCTTAGTGATGCTCTCCTGCTGGTGTGACTCTGAGTGATGCACTCCGCTGGTGTGACTCTGAGTGATGCACTCCGCTGGTGTGACTCTGGGTGATGTTCTCCTGCTGGTGTGACTCTTGGTGATGCACTCCGCTGGTGTGACTCTTGGTGATGCTCTCCTGCTGGTGTGACTCTGAGTGATGCACTCCGCTGGTGTGACTCTGAGTGATGCACTCCGCTGGTGTGACTCTGGGTGATGTTCTCCTGCTGGTGTGACTCTTGGTGATGCACTCTGCTGGTGTGACTCTGAGTGATGGACTCTGCTGGTGTGACTCTGAGTGATGCACTCTGCTGGTGTGACTCTGAGTGATGCACTCCTCTGGTGTGACTCTGAGTGATGCACTCTGCTGGTGTGACTCTTGGTGATGCTCTCCTGCTGCTGTGACTCTGAGTGATGCACTCCGCTGGTGTGACTCTGAGTGATGGACTCCGTTGGTGTGACTCTGAGTGATGCACTCCACTGGTGTGACTCTTGGTGATGTTCTCCTGCTGGTTGACTCTTAGTGATGTACTCTTATTGGTGAGATATTTACATCAAGGATAATTGCCCAGGTGTTTCTTCCTGCCACTAAGCAAACTGGAGCTATGACTCACCATAAATAAACCTGGATGGTAGCTATATGGGACATTTCTGGTCTTTTCTTGCTTTTTAAAGATTTATTTATTATGTATACAGTTTTCTAGCATGTAGATGGTTGTGAGCCACCATGTGGTTACTGGGAATTGAACTCAGGACCTTTGGAAAAGCAGCCAGTGCTCCTAACCACTAAGCCATCTCTCTAGTCCTATCTTTAATAAAAATATTCAGGGGGGCCAGGCAGTGGTGGCTCACACCTTTCTCCCAGCACTCACGCAGAGGCAGGCAGATCTCTGTGAGTTCGAGGCCAGCCTGATCTTCAGAGCAAGGTCCAAGTCAGTTAAGGCTACACAGAGAGACCCTGTTTCAAAATAACATAAAAACAAACAAACAAACAAAACCCCCCCCAGGGAAACCCCCAGCTCATTGTTCCCGAGGATGTGGATGTTACCAGTGTGTCACCAACCTTAGGAAGTGATGCTGTCAGACGCTGTGAGCTTATCGCTTTCAGTAACACTGTAGCATTAGGAGCCAGGAGAGCACTTACTATATATGGTCATTTTTCTACAAAACTTGACCATTTCCTCTGCACTTGTGAGGAGTTTGGGAGAGCCTGTGTTGGGGGACTGCGGTACCACTCTGGGTTTTTGGAGGACCTCGGGCCGTGTCTTTGGCCCTGCTGATGGAGGAGGACAGCATTGCTGGCACTGGGGGCTGCTGGCACTGGTCCTCCTCTGTGGCTTCTCTGTCTCAGTCCTCTCTTCATCCTCTGTCTTGCCTCCCTCCACCTGTTGAAGGGACCTGTAAGACCTGGTATCGAATCCATTGCATTCCTACTGCCTGCGGCTGCCCACCGTCCTGCTAAATGTGTTTGAATCCATACTGCCAGCTCATTTTTCTGCACCCCTTGGTTCTGGAGTCTGTTTGGTCTCTAGGATTCAGAGCAGAGTGTGGCCTCACTGTAGTGCCCACCTCTGCCACCTTCCCAGTGTCCCAACCACAGCTTAGAGCTGCCCTGTTTAATGTATGTAAAGTGCTCTGAGATGGCAGACCGCTAATCTGTCTTAAATGCCAGTTGCCTTGAGCTCACCAACATTGTTGCGTTGTTCTGAGTCTGCGGTGAGTTCTCATTAAGCTGAACAACTCCAACTAAAGGTCGGCTTTGGATAAATCATAAATAATACATTGATCGCTACAGTTCCCCCAGACCCTGACCAGCACATACCTCTCAGGGTCCTGCCTCATCTCAGCTGCTTCCTCCATCTTGCCTGTGGCCTCCATCTCACACTTTTATCCCTGTTTTTCTTGTTACAGTGAGAGGTGTGCTTGTTAAGCCAAGGGTTGTCTTTGTCCACTGAGACAACTCTTTTCTTCTTCAGCAGATGAAAAAACATTAAAAAGAAAAGTCTCTTCAAGTTCTCAGAATGAGATGCTAATACTATCTAGTGTTACTTAATAATCGTTTTACTACAGTTCTACATGAAGGTCTCCTTGGGATGGTGCTAGTCGTGGAAACCATGGTCAGCCGGTGCTCATCACCGGCTCACATCCCAGTCCTAGGCAAGTCAGCAGCAAAACTGCCCACGGCACTCTCCGGTCTGCAGGTGCAGGGCACGGCAATACCACAAACTGCATCTCAGGATGCTCGCTTTCTTGATTAACTTGATCTTTATAATAATAATACGTTGTTTTCTCCCCAATTGCATGAAATGTCTTTCTCAATGAATCTGGTCATTGTTTTCATTGTGGCTTTCATTTTCTGTTTGTTTGGGGTTTTTTTGTTGTTGTTTTGTTTTTGCTTTTTGAGACAGGATTTCTTTGTGTAGCCCTGGCAGTTCTAGAACTAGTTCTGTACGACAGGCTGGCCTCAAACTTCCACAGACCTGCCTCCCTAGTACTGGGATTAAGGGCTTGCACCACCACTACCCGGCTGTTTTCTTGTTAAACTGGTTAACCATGATGGCTGCTTTTGGAAATAGCTGTACATAAAAACAAGCCAGCTTCCTCGCTTTTCTGATGAATGTTTCAGGTTGGGCTGTGGGACCGGGTTCTGCCCAGTTCTGCCTCTAATCTTCTAATGCCCTGCTTGTGACTGTACTTCCCTGTTGTTTGTTTTTAAGTTTAAAAACCCACTTTATGTTTATGAGCGTTTTGCTTGCGTGTGTGTGTGTGCGCGCGCGCACGTGTGTGTGTGTGTGTGTGTGTGTGTGTGTACACACCCGCCTCCAGAGGACAGAAGAGGGTGTCGGATCACCTAGAACTGGAGTCACAAGTGGTTGTGAGCTGACATGTGGTGCCGAGACTCGCCTGGGTCCTCTGGAGAGTAACCCACGCTGTCATCCACCGAGCCAACTTCAGCCACTCTCCCCGCTCTTGAAAATGCTGGCAAGCTCAGGAAGAAATGAGGAGGCGGTGGGTAGCGCATGCTGTGGTTACACTAACCAGTGTGGGCTTCCTCTGCCCCTGTTGCAGGCATACCCTTTGGAAGCGGGTCCAGGGTGTGGTCACACCCTTCCTGGCGAGCATGATATCTTACATCGACAGAGACGGCAACCTGGAGCTGCTGGCTCAGCCAAATTCACCAGCCTGGGTCCAAGATCTTTGGATGCTCATCTTCAGTGACGTTAAGTTCCTGAACATCCCTCTTGGGATGACTAACACAAGGTGAGCAAATGGGCACCTTGCTTTTATGGAGGGGAAGGTCTTAACAGGGCAGCACCTTGTTCTCTCCCCAAGCTACTGCTGGTACCCTCAGTGCAGCCTGGAGGATCACAGCAGTAGACAATGTTCACCGAAACCTGAGGTCCTTGGTCGCTGTGTGATGGTTCGGCTCTCCAGGTTCTACCGTGCAACACAGAAGCTAAGCGTGGCACAGCCCGTACTTTGCCTTCCCCAAGGAAGGCCTGATCTTGTGGGGTCTGGACTCCAGGAGGCAGGCTACTAAAAAATACATAAAGGAATGGGATATTGAAAAGTGTGGAGGTACCGGGAGAGTATAGCATGCTTCACACTTACAGTCAGACCTCTGTGAGCAGGGGCAGGGAGGGAGGGGAGGGCCACAGGACTTGCTTCTGCACAGGACTTGGGGCTCTTCTCTTTTGTCTGTAAATGAGGCTTTCCTAGAGTTCCTGTACGGGAGAACCCATGACTTGGGATCTCACCTGCAGCTATCCATGAAGCCTACAACAAGTCTTTTAAATGTTTTTTTGATTTTAAGAATTCATTTATTTTGCATGTCTATGCACATACGTACACATGCACGTGAAGGGCAGGGGTCAGCACTGGGTGTCCTCCTCAGTTACGGAGGACCTCTTGTTAAAGGTTCGTTTTTATTGGTGTTTGTATGTGTGTCTATGTCTGTTTCCACGGTTGTCCATGGAGATAAGAAGAGCTCTTGGAGGTGGAGCTATAAGCAGTCATAATCCATGCGTGTGGGTGCTGGGAACTGAACTCAGGTCCTCTGGAAGAGCAATGAGTGCTCTTCATCTCTCCCACCCTCTACCGTATTTTCTGAGAGCAGCTCTCCCATCCTGAAGCTTACCATGCTGGACAGCCGACACCAGGGTCGGTCTTCAGTCATGCCTGCGTCTGTGCACTGGGTTCCAAGTGTGCACACTGCACCTGCTGGCTGTGGTTTTTCAAGGCAGGGTCTCTCTGTGTGGCTTTGGAGCCTGTCCTGGGACTCTCCCTCTAGACCAGGCTGGCCTCGAACTCACAAGAGACCCGCCTGCCTCTGCCTCGCTGCACTGGAATTAAAGGTGCACCTGCCGTTTTTTGAAGTGGGAGCTGGGGGTCTAAACTCAGTTCCCACTCAGTTCCTACTGCACAACGTGACGTGGCTGAACAGCCCCCATCCCCCACCATGCCTTTGGTTCCTCCCTGTGCCTCATCCACACAGGCAAGTGCGCCATCACAGAGCCCGGTCCCAGCGATAGCCTCTCTCTCCCTCTCTCTCCCTCTCTCTGCTAGTAGTGCAGGCTACCTCATGTCTCAAGAGACACCTCACAAGCCTCACCCTCCTTTGCCTTGCTGCAGGTCCCAAAATGAGATGTCCTCCATCCTGGTGCAGAGCCACATGAACCTGCTCAAGGATGCCTGCAATGCTGTGCCCTTCAGCTGGAGGATCAGGGACTACCTGGAGGAGCTCTGGGTGCAGGCACAGTATATCACAGACACGGAGGGTGAGCTACCCCACAGCAGGCTCACTGAATTGCACAAGGAGTATTAACCTGTTCAGGGCAGGGCAGTTTTGGCGGTTTTAGCTTTAACACTCTGGCTGTGGAGTAGCCTCCAGTATGGTGTATTGAAACTTCGGTTGAAGGGCTGACAAGATGGCTCAGTGGGTAAGGGCACCATCCTCGGCATCTACATCTCAGGAGGATAGAACTGATTGCCCCAACTCGTTCTCTGACCTCCACACATGTGCTGTGATACATGAGTGTGTGTGCGTGCGCGCATGCACACATGCACAAATACACGTAACCGTAAGTTCAAATTCTACTGAAGCTGCAAGTCTAGGTGACAGGACCTTTAGCCACTGTTGTGGGGCATGACAAAATGGGGCATGTCACACCAGGGAATGAGCCTGAGGCTCCTGGACAACTCGGGTGGTGGCAGGCTTGGGAAATGTCCCCATTGTGGAATTTATCAGGAAACACTAGCAACCAGAGCAGAGCGCCCTCCTCCAGCCACCAAGTCCTCCCGGTCACAAAGTGCCTTGCTGTCAAACATGAGGGATTTGGCCATTGTCCCTTTAGAAAAAAATGACAGCCTAATACTGTGTGAAAAGTTGTTTTCATGAAAGTCCCCCCCCCCCCAGCACTCACTCAGAGCCGGCCTGGACGCTCCGAGCTGACCTTGTTTCCCCGGGTTCTCTTTGAACCACCATGAGGCAGTCTTCCCTGAGGATGCCCATCTCTTTCCTGAACACAGCCTGTCTGTCTAGGGCAGCTGTGAGCAGAGCCCACCCTCCTGACTCAGCTGGAACTCTAGACAGAGACGGGGTGCTGCAAGCGCTCTCTCCCCTTGGGGCTGGACAGTGGCCAGGCAGCCAGCACCGCTGTCTCTGGACCCCAGTTCAGGACAGTCGCCCCTGCAGCCTGGGTATAACGGCTCCTTCTTGGGGCACTGGTCCCTTTCTTCTGTAGACCCGGGGTTTCACCCCGTTCACACCACTCTCTGCCTTCTCTGTGGTAGCGTCACCAAAGAAGTTGGTGGAAATCTTCCGGAAGACTGCCCTGGGCAGGTTCATGTGTCAGCTCCCTGTGTCACAGCAGCAGGAGGTCCTGCAGAGCTACTTGAAGGACTTCCTGCTCTTGACCATGAAAGTGGTCTCATGGGAGGAGTTAAAGGTAGGCATGGGTAACACGGACAAGAGTCCATCCTCACCTCAGCCACAGTGTTGCCAAATAGGACACCCTTCGAGCTATGTGGGAGACTCCGCCTCCGCTCCGTGCCTTCTAGAACCGAGCCTTGTGTAGCGTGAAGGAGTTCTAAGATCTCGTTATAGCTGCCAGCATAGTGGCATGCATCTATAATTCCAGACAGTCTGTAATCTATAATACCTGTACTTGGGAGGTAGAGGCAGGAGGAACAGCAGTCAAGGCCATAAGTTCAGGACCAGCCTGGGCTACATACGACCAATAATAATAATAATAATAATAATAATGAATTCAGTAGAAAGACTGATGCATTTGACTGCCCCAAACCTTCATACCTTAATGCATAGGTACAAACTGGGAAACATGCCGTAATTAATATAAAGTCTAATGCAGTTCTTCCTGGAAATCATTAAGGAGCAAGCCTTGTTTGATTTGTGAAACTTAATAAGCCACCACTGACAGAAACAACGTAGATGTCTAGATGTACTGCACTGAGACCCTAAAGGGGTGCCGGGCATTGGTGGCACACGCCTTTAATCCCAGCACTCGGGAGGCAGAGGCAGGCAGCTCTCTGTGAGTTCAAGGCCAGCCTGGTCTGCAGACCAAGTTCCATGATAGCCAGGGCTGTTACACAGGAAAAAAAAAATCTATGTCAAAAAAGGAAACAACCAAATGAACAAACAAATCCCTGCCCCCCAGTGTTCTCCGAGCTGAGGAGTTGGAGGGTTGTTTAGAATGTAACACAGAGTTAAGGAATTTGGGGATGTAATGGCCTCAGTTTTCTTAGTCAGGGTTCCATTCCTGCAATGAAACACTGTGACCAAGCAAGCTGGGAGGAAATGGTTTATCTGGCTCACACTTCCATATTGCTGTTCATCATTGAAGGAAGTCAGGACAGGAAGTCAAACAAAGCAGGACCTGGAGGCAGGAGCTGATGCAGAGGCCATGGAGGGTGCTGCTCACTGGCTTGTGCCCCGTGGCTTGCTCAGCCTGCTTTCTTATTTATATATAATGCATAGGACCACCGGCCCAGGCACGACGCCTACACTGGACTGGGCCCTCCCACATCAATCATTAGGAAAATGCCCTACAGTACTCACTGTGAGTTCTAAAGAGCGAGTTTCAAGCCAGCTAGGGCTACGCAGAGAAACCTTGTCTCAAAAAACAAAATGAAAGGGAGGGAGGGAGGGAGGGAGGGAGGGAGGGAGGGAGGGACAGAAGAAAAGAGAAATGTGCTGAATACTCGCCCACAGCCTGATCTTATGGAGGCGACTTCGTAGTTGAGGTGTCCTCCTCTCCAATGGCTCCTGCCTGTGTCAAGTTGACATAAGACTTGCCAGCACACCGGTGTAGGGTGCCATTGTGGAAAATGACCATAAAACATAACCAAAAGGCAGCCAGGTGATCACGGGCCTGGTTTGTCAACTTTCTTTTGTATAGCTTTCGAATCCTTATGGTTTTCCATAGGAAAGCATGCCTTCATCATGTAAAACTCTGTCTCCAGTTTCTGCAGATGGCCCTGTGGTCCTGCCTCAGAGAGCTCCGGGTGGCTTCAGGAACACCTGAGGAAGGGCTCTCCTTGCCCTGGGTGCACATTGCTTATCAGCACTTCCGGACGCGGCTGCAGAACTTCTCCAGATTGTTGGCTATGCATCCCCAGGTCCTGGACAGCCTCAGTGAAGCGGCACAGAGGCACCGCTTGGCTTCAAGTGAAATGGTAGGGGTCTCTGCTGGGGACGGCCCCCTGGGCCTGCCCTCAGTGAGCGCTTCAGTGTGATGGAGGGATAGGTTACAAGACTGGAATAAGGGCGCAGGGCTGTGGTGCAGCGGGGGGGGGGGGTTGGTGGAGAAGAGGACCCTGCTGGGTCACATGCCCATTCTCCTTGTTCCAGACACTGGATGCGCTTGCAGCAATGGCCTGTGTTGAAGTGCTAAAGGGCAACATCCTGCAGCCAAGCCCCAAGGCCTGGGTACACATGGTGAAGACTGTGTCCATGCCTCTGGAGCTTGTCTGTTCCAGAGGGTATTTGCAGAACTGCGGGAACATCACCAGAGCTGTGGTCCAGGATGTCAGGTGAGCAGTCAGAGCCTGCCTCTGTGCACTCAGCCCGTGCTCACCCCTGGCACCCGCCAAATCCTACAGTCTGGTGAGGAAGGTGGGCATGAGAAACACTCCACGCCATTCACCTGCCTAGCAGTGGGCCCTCTCCCAAGTGCAGGCTATCTATCTCATTTGATTCTAGAGACCTAGGGAGGAACCAGTCCTGAGAGGGGCAGGAAGTGGATATGTTACAAAGTAGGCAAAGTGGAAAGGAAAGCAGGGACAGCAACGGCAGGCAGAGAAGGGGAAGGCAGGATATCAGACCCTTGCTGAGCTTGCAGGACCCAGGCCTGTCCAGGCTTGGAACGTGACATGGGTCTTCCGTGAGCCTGGTGCGTGGAAGAGTGGAAAGCTTGCCTGGAACAGTGCTGTGCGGGGAAAGTGCCCTCACGTCCGTCCGTCCGCCTTGCCTCTCCGCCTCTGCTCCTCCTGTATGTCAGGCTCCTGTCAGAGCTCGTTGCTAACACCTCTCTTCTGACAGAGCCCTGTGGAATCGCGTTTTCTCCATTGCACTCTTTGTGGAGCATGTTCTCCTTGAGACCGAAAGCCAGATTCCTGAGCTGAGTCAGCTGGTAACCACCCATGTGTCCTTACTTGACAAGGTGAGTGCTGGGCTTAAGGACTTATGTGACTGAGCACTGTGGAGAGCTGAACACCACCCCCACCCCGGGACAGTTTCCTCTGGTTGGTGCATCATTGCTCTGGCAGGCTTACAGCTGTGCAAAGGTCACTGATGTCATGAGAGATCACTGCGTTCTTTTGTTTGTTTGGTTTGGTTTTTTCAAGACAGAGTTTCTCTGTGTAGCCTTGGTTGACCTGGAACTCCTCACTCTGTAGACCAGGCTGGCTTCAAACTCAGAGCCACCTGCCTCTGCCTGGAAAGTGCTGCAATTAAAGGTGTGCGCCCTGGCAATCGCTGCAAACCGCCTGGCAACTGCTGCATTCACAATGGTGGCTATTTGACTATTTCCTCTCTCAGACTGCCAAGCCAGGGCGTGTCTCTGAGCATTCAGTTGCAAGAACCTGTAATGCCTGATGACTGGAGCGCAGGCATCAGGCATACACCCTGAATAGCACCCAGAGAGGAGAGCCGAGCCGTTCCCGCCAGAGACCCTGCAGGCAGTGAGAGGGGAGTGAGGCAGCCCACCTGTAGGGCGAGGGTCTGGTACATCAGAGCAGGCAGGACACAACAGGGCATTTGCCCTTTCCTAGATTCTCAGGGCTGCGGGGGGTGACTAAAAAGGGTTCTCAAGTTGCTGCACCGTGTCCCTAAACTTTATAGTTTATTCGATAGATTATACTTTTTATTTTATTTTTATTTATTTATTTTTGGTTTTTCGAAACAGGGTTTCTCTGTGGCTTTGGAGGCTTACCTGGAACTAGCTCTTGTAGACCAGGCTGGTCTCGAACTCACAAAGATCCACCTGCCTCTGCCTCCCAAGTGCTGGGATTAAAGGCATGTGCCACCACCACCCGGCTTAGATTATTCTTTTTTAAATAAATTATTTTTTATTATATATGCATTGGTGTTTTGCTTGCATATATGTGTGTGTGGGTGTCAGAAATCCTGGAACTGGAGTTACAGACACGTGGGCTCTAGGAATTGAACCCTGGTCCTCTGGAAAAGCAGCCAGTGCTCTCCACCGCTGAGTCATCTCTCCAGCCCCCTTCTATAGATTATTCTAAAGCAAAGGTTTCATCCCCCACCAAACTAACATTTCTTTTAAAGGTTGGTAGTCTATACACAGCCAGTCCTTACATTATTATTTACAAGTCAAAATAGCTCACAGTGTGGGCAGAGGTGGGTGGGACCCTAAAGGAGAAATAGGGGAACCGTGTGGCGGCGGCGCACGCCTTTAATCCCAGAACCTGGGAGGCAGAGGCAGGAGGGTCTTTTTGTCGAAGGCCAGCCTGGCCTACAGAGAGAATTCCAAGATAGGGCTACACAAAGAAACCCTGTCTCAAAAAAAAAAAAAAGACAGGGGGAATAGGGGAAAATTCAGAAGTTGGGAATTTTGTCCTTTAAAAGGCAGCACAGTCAGGGCTGATAGGGAGATGGTTCAGTATAGGAACAGGGTTCAAGCCCCAGAAGCCACACATAAAAGCCGGTGTTGTGACTTGTACTTGTAAACCAGCATTGGAAGGTGAAGACGGTAGATACCTGGGGTTGCCTAGCTGGCAGCCTGTTTAAGCAAGCTTGAGACCAGAGGCACGCTGTCTTTAAGAAGCAGGGGTGGGGTGGGCGGTGACCGAGCAATGAGTCCTAACTCTGTGGACGTCCTCAGATGAAAAGCACAGTCACTAAAAGGGCACTCAGGGGACAGTGAGATGACTCTGCGGGGAGAAGTTCCACCAAAAAAATAAGATAATTTTAATTTTGTTTTCATTTTTATTATTAAATGTGGATTTTTTTTTTTTTTTTTTTTTTTTTTTTTTTTTTGAGACAAGGTCTCACGGTCCAGCTGTCCTGGAACTCATGTGTAGACCAGGCTGGCCTTGAACTCACCAGATCCGCCAGCCTTTGCCTCCTGAGTGCTACGCCTGCCATAATTAATTTTTATTTTGTGTGCATGGGTGTTTGGCCGGCATGTATGTCTGTGTACCACAGGCATGCCTGGTAACTGAGGAGGCCGGAGAGAGTGTCGCATCCCCTGGAACTGGAGTTACAGGTGCTGGGAGTCAAACCACGGTCCTCTGGAAGAGCAGCCAGTGCTCTTAACTGCTGAGCCGCCTCTCCAGCCCCCTCCCCCCCCCCCAGTGTGAAACTTCCTCAACCCAGCACCAAATGAGGCCAGTGATACAGGCCTGTCCTAGTCAGGGCCTCGTGTCCTCGGCCACTGCCACACTGTCAGGCGCCCTCACTGCTTACCGTGCCCTTCTCCCTCAGTGCCTGGAAGAGAACTCAGACCTCAAGACCTACAGGCCATTTATGGCTCTGATGACAGTACTTTGTGAATGCAAGGACAGAGTCAGCAGGACGCTCAGCAGGTGAGATGCCCACACACGTGAGAGCGAGCCGGAGAGTCTTTTCTGACTGCGATGGGGTAGGAGGGCCTGCTCCTCGAAGCGCCATTCAGCTCTGGAGTTGATTGACTTCTTGGGTTCTACCTAGGTTTGGTATTCATCCATGCCACATCTGCCTGGGAGACGCAAAGGACCCTGTCTGCCTGCCTTGTGATCATGTATATTGCCTAGTCTGCATCAAAACCTGGCTCATCCCGGGACAAATGATATGTCCCCGCTGCCTAACTGAGTTGTCAGACAAATTCTCGCCAACTGTTTCTCAGGAGCACCGGTAAAACAGCCTTCGTCTTAACGCTTCCTTCCTCTTCTGCCCAATGCAGTCTTAGGAGATGCCAGCCCTTCCCACCGTCAGCTTCCCCTGGCTGTAAGGGCTGGCTTCAGAGAACGTTCATAAGCAATCCCAGAAACTAGCCCTCCTGGACATCAAAATTCCTTTGTAAAATAAGACGGGCACAGACACGGACCCAGCAAACTTAGGGGGCATAACGTCCTTGAAAGACCAAGCACCTAAGTGCAGCGTGGCACCCTTTAGTGGGAAGGGCTGGAGTAATGCTGGGGATGGAACCCAGGGACTCACGAAGGCCGTCCCACCGCTCATCCGGACCGTGCCCATCATCTGCCCTCTTCATATGTATGTGTGTTCACGTGGATGGGTGTTTGTGTGTCCAGAGGTCAACGTCAGAGTGTCTTCCTTCAACACTCTCTACCTTGTCTTTTGGGACAGGCGGCACTTTACTAACCCTGGAGTTCATCTCTGCCTGGCTGACCAGCCAATGAGCTCTAGGGACCCCCCCCCCACCGCCGCTTCCCTCACACCCCTACTGCTGAGAGAGATTCTAAGTGCAAGGCAGGTCCTTTAGGAGGGCATCGTCTGTCCAGGCCCTCATCTGTCCTCTTGATGTGTGAGTGCAGCCTTGTTCTCTGACTGAGGATGGGGGCAGATCTCACCCAGCTATCAGGAGATGCAGAAGCGGAACCCCCCCCCCCAAGGCTCGATGAGCCTCAGTAGCCCGGACCCTGCTCCCTTATTTTCCCCATACTTAGGGCCTTCAATGGTGCAAACATTTGACAGTGTTCCTAGAAGCAGTCTTGACACCGTTATAGTTGGAAGATCAGTTTTGATTGTAAATTTATTGTATAAATTCATTGTAAATTTATCCAATTCGTTGATTTAAAAAAAAAAAAAAAAGGTGGAGGTAGCTTAGTTTTAATCCTGACAACTAGGAGACTAACAGAAAAATAGCCGTGAGTTCGAGGCCAAATAAACCTTAAGACAAAACTGTGCAAATATCACTCTGCCGGGGAGGAGTGGGAACATGGTGGTCTCACAAGTCTTTTGTCACACTCTGCCTGCCACCCCCTAGGAAAGCCATTGAGAAGCACGCCCAGTTCCGGCACATGTGTAACAGCTTCTTCGTGGACCTGGTCTCCACCATGTGCTTCAAAGACGACACCCCTCCTCAGGAGAGCGTGATTGACAGCCTGCTGTCCTTACTCTTCATACAAAAGGAGCTGCTGAGAGATGCTTCCCAAAGTGAGTGGCTTCCTTCCCAAAAATGTACAGATCGGGTTTCAACTGGGCTCTGTGCCAAGGCATGAGCTACAGCCCCCTTCTCTCTGGCTGCAGAGCACCGGGAACACACAAAGTCTCTGTCTCCGTTTGGCGATGTTGTCGACAAGACTCCTGTCACCCGCTCAGTGGTACTGAAACTGCTTCTCAAGTACAGGTCAGTAACCCCCCTCCATCTGGAGTTTTGCTTCCCTTTGCTTCTCCATGGCTCTGTCTTAGCTGCACCCTGGCTGGGAGCTCACCTACAGTCCAGAGAAGCTGCTTCTGTGTGAGCATGCCCAGTTCACTTGAAGGTTGTGTACTTACAGTTTCCTGAGTATGGCCCGGCAGCAAGTAAAACTTAGCAAGAAGCCATGGTGAGCTTCTGGCCCCAGCTCCTGCCACCCACCCTTGTGACACACGACTGTCCCCCACTTTCCGTGCTAGGGTGTTCTGCATGTCTGTGTTCTACTGAACGTGGGCTCCGTCAGGTGGAGCAGGACACACCCTGCCCTCTGTGTGCTGAGCCAGAGCTGAAGCTCTCCAAGTGTCTAGAATTCTATCAAGGCACTTCCTGCCTCTTGGGGTGCCTGCAGCGGCATTACATAAGGGGTGCCGGGGACATTTTGGAGTCACAGTCCTGGTTTCCTTCACTGATGAATGCATGGAGTTGTTGAAAGTACAAGATTCCCTCACTAGCTTTCCTAAACTGTGACCCATAAGACATGACTTAACACTATTCTGTGGGGAACAGAGATGCTCATGGGTACCGGCAGCAAAGCGACCTTAGAGTCACGTGGAGTTGCCGAGTTGGGAACCAGCTGCTTGTTTCAGGTTAGGCTATCTGGGCCTCGAAGAGCAACTACAGGAGCACAGAACAGGGCCCACTGGCATTTTCTTGAAGACAGAGTGATCCTGTCACAGTTCAATACTATTGTATTTGCTGCCAGTTTATATATTTAAGTGAGAATTTAAATTTTAGATAACTTGTATCCTCCACTTGTAAGATTTGAAATTCTTTCTGAGCAGATCCCTGGTGACATTAATGACCATATTATGGGGCATTTTCCCCAGTGCGTTCTATAATAAAAAATATAATAATAGCGCAAAGATTTTCCAAATGACCAGTGCTTGGTGTCACAAAATCATGTGTGCCCTGTGGTGATGTTTGTTCATGATCTAACAAAGCTTGCCTGAAGATCAGAGTGCAAAGCTAGCCACAGCCACAGATGCCAGGCAGTGATGGTTCACAACTTTAATCCCAGCACTCAGGAGACAATGGCAGATGGATCTCTCTGAGTTCAAGGCCACCTTGGGCTACCTGCCCACCTGGGCTAGATGAATCAGTCTAAAAGAGAAACCAAACTCATACCTTTAGTCCCAGCACTAGGAGGTGGAGATGGGGGAATTGGCTGGGTGGAGAGAGGAAGATGGGGGGGGGGGGAAGAGGAGTGAGAAGGGCAGTTTGGAGGTGCAATCAGAGGACACAATCGCCCCTTGGGTCTGAGCATTGGTAGAGGTGAGAACTCTCTAGTGGCTTTGCCTCTCTGGTCTTCAGCTTTAACCCCAATATCTGTCTCTGGGTTTTTATTATTCCTGTTACAGTACCTCATTCCCCAAAATCCAGGGGCTAGGGATGAAGTTTGGTAGATTGCTTGTTTGGATGGAGTCTGTGGGGATGGGTGATGGGTATTCCTGTAAACTGACATAAGCAGGAACAATTCATCTCTTCCCACAGCTTCCATGAAGTAAAGGATTACATCCAGAACTACTTGACCCAGTTAGAGAACAAAGCATTCCCAGAAGAGGATAAGACAGAACTGTACCTGCTGTTCATCAACTGCCTGGAGGTACGATCGCTGTCCCTGCATTTCTTTTGAAAACTGTAAACCCTGAGGTTCACACAGTGAGAACATTTCTGAAGACTAACAGGGTGTGCCACTGTAGTCAGTACAATGAGGAGGTACTTGGTCCTGTGTGATTCCCATCCGCAGTTCCTATGTAGTCATGAGTTTCCTGATGGTGCTCAGTACTTCCTGTCCCTCAGAGGTCACTGTAAGTGATGTCCAAGCTGCCTTCATTCTGTAAGTGACTCTGATGTCTGCACAGCCGAGTTCCCAGCAATGCATTTCTCAGACAGTGATGCATGCATTGCCACTGACGCCAACAAACGAAAGCACCACGGTCTGGAATACAGCATAGCACAGGGTTGGCAGTGGCTGAATTCAGCTCACCGCTGTGGACACTCTCTATCATCCTCATATTAATTACCCATTTCCCTTGTAAGTTTGCCTGCCCTCATCCTTCTTGCTCTTACATAGAAAGGAATGCCAGTCTTCCATGATTCCCAAAAATGCACACTACTGCTTTCCATGACACGGTCTTTCCATGACTGTACACAGACGTGCTGTGGCAATTGTCAGAGGCAGGGGCTCGCTGACAGTGACTAATGCAATGATCTCCGTGTCCTCCCTCCCTCAGGACTCAGTCCATGAGAAGGCGAGTGCTGGTTGTAGAAGTCACAAGCAGCGCCTGGGAGAGGAAAGTCATTTCCTTAGCACGTACACCCTCGAAAGGCGAGGCCAAGAGCCTGCCAGCACATCTTCCGTGGAGTACCTGCAGGGGGTGGCCAGAGTGCGCCTCTGCCTTGACTTGGCTGCTGACTTCCTCTCAGAGCTTCAGGAAGGCTCAGGCAAGTCTCCTCCTCAGAGAGCCTCTAACTCAGAAGCCTGGGGACTGTGGGAACCCTGCTCTTAGGACACGGCTGTCCTCTTCCCCTTTCTTTCACCGGGGGTTTGTAAAGGACAGGCTACGGCCTCTGCTGGTTTTGTGTCCTAGAGAAGAGGTGTGGTCACTGTGTCCCCTGCTCTCCCCCCAATCTCACAGAACTGGATGGAGATAAGCAGCGCTTCCTGAAGCGTGTTGAGCAGCTCTGCACCCGTGTGGAGAATGACTGGCACCGTGTGTACCTGGTGAGGAAACTCACCAGCCAGCTTGGGATGGAATCTGTGCAGAGCTTCTGCAGGAAGGGCCATCCATGCCAGTGGGTGTTCCCCAGGGGTGTCACCGAACAGCAGGTGAGGGGCAGGGTGTTGGGCACCAAGGACATGCCTCTTACAGCCCTGCTTACACCATACTCTGGCTGGACTTGGGGTGAAGCTCAGGGTGCTGCCCACCTGAGCCCTCCCCTATCCAGCTGGGAAATGGGCCTTTGCCCCTGTTTCATCATGAGTTAAACCACCCCGCCACAGGAGATATGTATGTGCATGCATGCGTGTGAGTGTGTGTGTATGTGTGCGTGCGTGCATGTGTGTGTGAGTGTGTGTGCGTGTGAGTGTGTGTGCGTGCATGTGTGTGAGTGTGTGTACAAGTGTGCATGCGTGTGAGTGAGCGTGTGCATGTGTGCATGCGTGTGAGTGTGTGCATGTGTGTGTGAGTGTGTGCATGTGTGTGAGTGTGCACGCGTTGTGCTGTGAGTGTGTGTGCGTGTGTGCATGTGTGCATGCGTGTGAGTGCGTGTGTGCATGTGTACATGTGTGCATGCATGTGAAGTTCTGATGTGTTCGTTTGCATTTTATTTACGTTTGTTTTCTTTTTTTATCTAGCTGAATACATGGAAGGTAAATGAGTGTTTCTGCCCTGCGTCCTTTCTGCCTCTGGCGGGTGGAAAAGCACAGGAAGGCAGAAACGAGCAATGGCTGAGACACCAGGGTTTTTTAAGACCTCACTCCAGCACCCACCCTGGTTCTTACTGTCCTGGGATTGTAAATTAGTGGCAGTAACAACCCAAGCATTTCATTATCCTTTCTTCATTATCACCATCATAACCATCACTACTGGGGCTTAGAAGCGACAAACTTTTTGTCACCTGGGCTCGATACTGTGCTGTAAGTGGAGACAGCAAGCAGCTACAAAGTCAGTACAGGCCCTCCCCAGGATTCCATTCCATAGAAGACACAGATAACTCACAAAGACAGCCAGTCAGAGATCCCTGCTCATCCACCTGCAAGTCTCAGAGGACAGCTTGGCGCCTTTGTCTGTCTAGAGTTCTTGTCAAAGTATCCCTCATTTTTTCCCTACTGTGACTGACGCCCTGTACTACTGGGATTGCAGTGTGACGACCAAGGCCAGATGGACCGATACCTGGTACATGGTGATGAGTACAAGGCTCTTCGTGATGCAGTGGGCAAAGCTGTGCTCAAGTCTCAGACCCTTGACATTGGGACTGCTCTGATGGTAAGATGCGTCTGGGCTTCTCTCTGGTACCAGGAGATGCTCCCTGGAGGGCTGCTTCTTCCCGTACAAACATCAGCTGAGTGGCCCCTAGTGACACTGTACTAGAAAGCAGGTGTGTGTGCCTCCTGCCCTACACAGGGAACTGATGGCTGGAACAGGGGTAATGACACTTGGGCTGGCCTGTCATAACTGAGACCATGGTGAGAAGCTGCTCCATGCTCACTGAGACCCCTCACGAATCCTCTGTACCGCCATGGCTCACACATGGTCCTGACTCTTCTGACCACGAGGCCAAGGCTTTAGAACTCCAACCTTGAAACCGTTGTGGCTGTCTTCCTGTTGGAGTGCCTGCTCTCTCTGTCTCTGTCACTGTGCTGGGAAGAGAACATAGACACTCTGTCTCTGCATAGACATGTTTCTTTTTCTGTTTTTTTTTTTTTTTTTTCTTTTTCTAAGTATAAGTCCCATTTTATTTTTCCAAGGTGTGTTTTTTTCTTCTGTCTTCATGAAGTCATCTATATACACGGGCTTTGGTGGAGGTCGTGGTGCAGCACCAGCAGGTCTAAATAGTGGCGGGGGTGTTGGTGCTTCCGGGCTTCACGAGATCGATTCCTGACTACTTTGCTATGAGTAGCACAGCTCATAGAGCTTGGGAAGCACATGAGCGTCGAGGAGACTGGCTTCAGTCACGTCCCTGACAGCAGCGGCCTCTACGATGTTCCGAATGACGAACTTCTTAATGGCCTCGTCCTTGGGCACGCACCGGGTGCAGTTCGTGCAGCAAATTGGCCGCACATGGTCGCGGCCCTTTTTGGCAGGTCCATTGCTTCTTCTTTTTTGGTCATCTTGGAGCCAAGACCCCAAAGAGCAGGACATGTTTCTAACAGTAGAAAGTAGTCCCCAAGACAGATGCTGGGTGTCTAGCAGTGTATGTGAAACTTGGAACCCCCAAACTGTGGCCAGGAGATGCCTCTCCCCTCCTCAGACACATGGCTCAGGGTCAAGGGTCTGAGAAGAGCCATGCAGCCCCCCAATCTCACTTGGTGTCCTTGCTCCTGCAGGCCTGCAGAGGCCCCAAAGCCCAGCAGACGGTCTACTTACTGCTGGCCTTGTACAGAGAGGTGGCTTCTTTGTACCGTTCTCAAAATGCCAACTTCCATCCGAAAGCAGAGGTGAGCAGCACCACACGGCAGGGCTTGTGTCCACAGCCTTATCTCTTAGAAGGATTTCTGAATTAAAGTCACAAACACAGGTTATGCCCGTAATTCTCTGTCTGTGATAGAGGTTTTCAACCTTACTAGATGGAAGATCTATTTTCACTTTAGCCCAGAGCTTGCAGAACTACAACCAAAATTTAGTCCAAGGCTATAAGATAGCATGGGGCCGTTTCCGTGTGAGGTCTCTTCTCCAAAGAAATGGTCTCAATGGCTGATTGTTCGGCGGCATTTACCTTGACATTTGGTCCTAAAATGTGAACTAGTAAAGCATGTTGGGTATGTGCATACCGCACAGCATCTCGGAGCATGTGTGTTTTTTTGTGTTTGTTGGGTTTTGGGGGGAGGGGTTTGTTTTTGTCTTTTCGAGAGAGGGTTTCTCTGTGCCTTTAGAGCCTGTCCTGGAACTTGCTCTGTAGACCAGGCTGCTGGTACTAAAGGCATGGGCCACCACCGCCCAGCTCTGCTTTTGTTTTTGAGACAAGGTCTTGCTGTACATATGCAGTCCTGGCTGGCCTCAAACTCATGATGCTCCCTCCTCTGTCTTCCAAGTTTACATCACCACACCCATGTGCAACGTTTGGATTGGTTTTTGCTTTTTGATACAGGGTATCATGTAGTTTGGGCTAGTCTTATACTTTTGATTCTCTTATCCCTACCTCCCAAATGCTCGGCCATGCACCACTATGGCCAGCCCTACAATGTTGTTTTGAAACCCATTAATGTTAAAATATTTTTCTCATCAGCAATGCGAGGCTATGAACAAATTCATCGAGGAGAGCAAGATCCTTTCTGATCCTAACATTGGACACTTTGCGAAATCGCTTGTGAATAATGCTCTGCCCCTGCTGCGGATTAGGTCTGCTAACAGCAGCCTGGAAGGAACCGTGATTGAAATGGCCATCCATGCTGCAATCGTATTCCTGTGTGGACAAAACGAAGTCTTGGGGCCCCTGAGGGCCTTGGCCTTCCATCCAGCCACAATGGCAGTAAGATCACTTCAGTTTTCCCTCTCCCTGTGAAGACCAAACCTGCAGACTTGGGAACCATTAAACCTATTTCTTTTCTTATTTTAATCCATCTGCCTACAGTGGTGAAAACCCAGAATGCCCTTTGCTGTGCTACAGACTCCTGAGCATTGTATCAGTCAGGCTTAGGCTGCTGTATGTGATACAGCCTGGGAAGTCCACACTGGCGAGGCTGAGAACCCCATAGCTGCTTAGTTCACGAGGCCTCTGTAGTCCCATCCTGACACTGGAGGACTCCTGGAGAGAGACACCGATGTCAGTGATGGACGGCAAGAGCAGCACTAGGAATAAGAACTCACCAGTAGTATACAAACAGTAGATGAGCTTGACAGCACCATGGCAAAGCAAATAGGAAATAGCAAAGCGTTTCCCTAGGAAAGCTGCTTATATGGGACGGTGCCACTTCAAATAACCTGGTTACAAAAATCCCTCATAGGTATGCCCAGCACTTTATCTCTTAGCTGATCAGACTGACAGCCAAGATCACCTAGGTAGGCATCCATCCCCTGGCAGATAGTTTGAAGGCTGAGAAGTCCGGGCCCCGTTTGCTCTGGCCTCTGGCTGTAAGGCCACGCAGTCACACTTACCATGACTTGTGTGATCTCGGTCTTTCAGAATGCTTTTCTTCCAACAATGCCTGAAGACCTGCTGGTTCAAGCCAGGACTTGGGCGGGCCTGGAAAGAGTCTCCTGGTACAGTAAGTGCTGGCATCGCATTCCTCTGTAAGCAGCAGGTTGTGCTTGGGGTCCCCAGTTGCATTTGGTGGCTTGCAGGGCAAGCTTTACAGGACCCATGATCTGCTTGCCATGTGGTCCTAATGCACGTACATCTGAGTCCAGGCCAAGGGCCCTGGAAATACACTTTCAGGAACATGCCATTATGCAGAAGAGAGGACTTGAACCACAATGAAATGCATAGAAAAGACAGGGACACAACAGTTTTGACCCAGAGATAGCTCTTGATATATACAGGGCTGGAAGGCAAGTCATGTGGCCCAAGGCTTTGTGTGGATTCTGCTGTTGCTTTGAGTAAATAATCTTGTAAATTACTGTTAAGGTTGTGCCAGATAACAATAATAAATCCAAAGAAAAGAAAGGAGGGAAATACTATCCATCATGCTGCCAAGTTAACTGTATGTGAATCGGTAATCTAATTTCTCTTGGCTTTCTGAAATTAAGTTCAGACATTTTTCACTAACCATACACATTTGTAACACAAGGCATACGTCAAACAGTGACTCATAATCTACCAGGCAGCTCAGTTCCTAGGGAGGTGCTGAGCCTATGTCATCCTTGGTCAGGATCGGGGGGATAGAATGTGGGCCACAGTGGCCAACGTGTGTCCTATTTTTTTTTTTTTTAACAGATTGTCCCAATGGCCACCCATGCTCTGTAGGAGAGGTGAGTTTTGGTGTTCCCCCAGTGCTGAGTAGAGGGGAGCATGAAACCTTGGCCTTTGGTGAAACACAGGCTTGTTCTGAGACCACTCAGGGTATTTTGAATGCGTGCTAACGGTGCCGAGGGTTATCCCAGGGTTTATCCAGGGTTCTTCCAGGTAGCATCATGGGCATTCTCCACCGGAGGCCTGCTCCATGCCTCTCAGGACAGGCAGTAAGCATGCTACAGTGACATGTGTTCATTAGAAACTGAGACCTGGAAGGAAAATCCTGAGGCAGATGCTTTGCCTTTTCTGAGATTCATGTGCTTTCTTGTCAGTGAAATGAGGTAGAAAGAGGTTCTTCCCTGGGTTCCTTTGAACTGCGAAGTTCTACAGTCTGGAGGTCAGTGGCCGCTTTGATGTGCCGTGGGACCTGTGATCCAGTATAGGGGCACACCATCCAACTTTTTTTGGATTTTGTTTGGTGTTTTAAGACAGGGTTTCTCTGTGTGGCCCTGGCTGTCCTGAAACTCACTTTGTAGATCAGGCTGGCCTTGAACTCACAGAGATCCTGCTGCCTCTGCCTCCAGGGTGCTGGGATTAAAGGTGTGCACCACCACGGCCCCTATCTAACTTTGTAAAAGGGGACCTTGGGAATAATAAATATCATGGTTAGAATTTTTTTAAAAAAATAAAAATCTCTCATGTTTAAAAAAAAAAATAAGACTGGGAGCAAGTAACCCCATGTTTTTTGGTGTTCGTTAGTGAAGCCCCAAGATGAGCACACACATACAAGGAAGGAATAAAGAGCTGGGTATAAGAAAGCAAAATGTGCTTCAGGTTTTCCTGTCAGCTATCAGTCAATTTGGGATTCAAACCTATGCCTGCTTTCTATAAATGTTTGCACTTGCCCACTATTAGCATGCTTAGGGTAAGTGCCTGCCCTGCATACACAGAGTGACTGCCCGAGGTAGAGCAGGGCCACTGCACAGCTGCACTCATGCATAAGACATCATTGCATTCCCTCTAGTGCGGCTTGCCAATGCAGCAGAGCTTCTGTCCGGACTGTCATGCTCAGATTGGCGGCATCAATCACAAGCCACATGAGGGCTTCCATCTTATCAGGTATATAAGTTTCTGACCCTTCCCCCCTTCACTCCCCAGTAATAAGCCCTGGGCTTCAGGACTGTCCCAAATCTTTCCTACACTGTCACTGACTTGTGCCAAAGACCATGGCATACATCTGGATCTATGTATGTCATGCTGGGCGCCAGTGCCAAGGACCGTGTCATCAGGAAACCATAAGGTACCGTCACTGGTCTTAGACACAGACTGGCCTGCATGTTCATACTTGCTGATACAGACATGTTCTGTGGGGTCCTTGGGCTTACCCTTGGAGAAGTATGTCTCCTATAAAGAGATGTGCTGGTTCAGGACAGTAGGTCCAACACACTGAAACAGTATCTGCCTACCTCAGCTGCCTCACGCTTGTAAACTATCTCTCTCAGCTCTCTCTCCTCCCTACCCTCCTGGGGTCTGGGGTTTTGTTTGTTAGCTTTGTTTTTTTAAACATAGGATCTCATACTTGACTGTCCTGGTCTCGCTATGTGCCCCGAGGCTGGCTCAGCCTCCTGAGTGCTAGGATTAGAGGGGCATGCCGCCACACCCGGCTTGTTTTTCCTTTTTCAAGATGTGAGGAAAATGAAGGACACATAACCAGGCTTGTCAAATACTGCCATGCGCTGGTCTGTGTGAGGGGTGAGTTTTAAGATACCCACACCTCATCCTAAGACCCTTCATAAAAGTTGTCCCTTGTATAAGAGGGCACAGTAATTAAAGAGAATGACAAGTCTTTCCCATATGTTTGGAATCTTCTAGATTGTCCTCAGAGCCTGCCACAGCTTGGGTGCTGTATAAATAAATACTTGTTCCACTGCATGGCTAGGGTAACGGAGGCAAGAAAGCAAAGCTGTCCTGGTTTGTGTTTGCAGTTGCTTGGCTTTGATCCCGCCGTTCTGACACAGTGCAGCTGGGCAATCCCTAGGACTGGTTGGCGGGGCCTGATGCAGTACACACGTTCTGGTGCAGTCAAAGCTTGCAATGTTCCGGCTGCTTATTTATCCCTCAAGGCCTGGCAGGATGTCCTCCTCATGCAATATCTTTGCAAATGAATGCACACACTGCTACATTCCCACCTACTACATATGATGCGAAATGTTCTGCCAGACCTTGGATCCTAGTTTATGGTTCGGAATGTGAGAAGAATGTGAAAAATGCATACAAACTCCAGCTTCCCAGAGTCGACGCATGTGTCTGTTCTTACGCCTTCTCAGGGCAGCAGTAGCCATTTCCTGTGACCAGCACTGGCTGCTTAGGCAGGCATCCTAGGCCTAGGAGGACTTTTAATGCTGTTTCCTCAGAGCATGGAACCCTATCTCCAAGGCCTGGGGGTCTGAAATGCGCTCCCTTAGCTAGGAAGAGCAGCCTCTCTCGATATTTACCTTGTCTTTTCTCTTCCTTTCTAGAAATAATGAGGACAGAACACAGACTGGCCACGTGCTGGGCTACCCGAAGCCCAATGTTGCGGAAGTGGCATCTGATCGAGGGATATCCCCAGTGGTCTTCATTCTCAGCCGGCTACTCACTCACTTGGCTATGCTTATGGGAGCCACTCAGGATCCCCAGGTACCTGTGATAAACTGCTACGCAGAGGAAGGACCTACTGTTGTTTCCTGTGGGCCCTTTCGTCTTAAGCCTGTTCACCCGTGTCTGCGAAGCATGAGTGGGTTGTTGGTACCCAATCTGCCAAGTGATGGAAACCTAACATCTCCTGACCTTTTCCGCCACCACAAGGAATGAGATGGAGTACTTCTCAGATTGTACACAATCCACTTCTTATTTTCCCAGACAGTGTCTCACTCTGTAAACCCTGGCTGTCCTGGAACTCACTCTATAGACCAGGCTGGCCTCAGACTCAGAGACCCGCCTGCCTCTGCCTCCTGAGTGCTGGGATTAAAGGCGTGCACTGCCACCACACAGTATTTTTCATTTTTTTTAATTAATATTTTTTCATAGTGCTCCAGAGGTCAGAGTTCTATTACTGAATGATAACTAGTCCACTTTTTTTTTTTTAATTATACCAACTAATTTTCTGTATTAATGAGACTAGATGTTACCTGTACAGACATGTAAGGGCCAGATCCACTTTCAGAGTGCAGTGTGGGGAGGCTAAGATCATCCGTGCTGCCTCTCCCTCATATTAACACTAGTCAAGAGGACAGGTAAGTTCACGGCCGGGGGCATCGACTCTCCGACAGTACCACTGCCTGCTTTGTTACTCCCAGGCCCTGATCTGTATCGTTAAGCCTGGGGTCCAGGACCCTCAGGGCTTCCTGCAGCAGCACATCCAGAGAAACTTGGAACAGCTAACCAAGATGCTGGGCAGGAGTGCAGATGAGACCATCCACGTGGTCCACCTCGTCTTCTGCAGTCTGCTCAAGGAGCACCACCAGAGTAAGCAGAGGGGACAAGGCTGAGCCAGGCTGAGGAGTCCCCTCCCATGACTCCCGAGGGAGGGAAACTAAACTTGAGCTAAGCATGGTAACCTGTAATGCTAGTACTTAAGAAGCTGACACAGGGGTATTGTTGTGAGTTCAAGGCCAGTATTGGGGGTCACAGTAAAATCCTTTTACGAATAAAAATAGAGGGGATGGGAGGAAAAAGCATGAACTCTCACGGGGTGAAGAGGTTGCTCTCTTCCCACCCCCCTCCACCCACATACCTAACAGGGACCTCTGACTTTCGCTTCTTGGGACTGTTTACACACAAGTGCAAACAAGCCTGTTGTCTGAAGCAGGTGATGTGTGTCCAGGGATGTACTATCTCTGCTCTTACTAAAACTTCTGTCCAGGGATGTACTATCTCTGGTCTTAGTAAAAAAAAAAAAAAAAAAAAAAATGAGGTGTATACTAGCCCCACAGGGACAGTGGACTGCCTCCATGTTCACAGCTCGCTCAAGAAGAAACGATTTGTTCGCTGAGCTGACCTTTCTGTCCTAGTGTCCAGGAGAGGTAATAGATGTCACTGAACACGATGTTACCAAGTGTGACTTTCTTGTTCTGGCGGTTTGTTGGGGTCTTTGCGTAACGGCTCTGGCTGTTCTGGAACTCACTTGTAGACCTGGCTGGCCTCAACCTCAGGGAGCACCTACTCATCACTGTGACGACAAGTGTGTGTTCATTTCGTTAGGGTGGGCGTGCACGTCTGCCTCAGTGTGTGCAAATGTCAGAGAACAACTTTTGGTGTTAGCTCTCTCCGCCCACTTTATTGAAAGAAGGTGTCTCTTGCAGCTGGTGCTGCTTCGCATATCCACGGCCAGCTGGCCTGTGAGCTTCCAGGTGGTTCTCATTCACTTCTTGAAGTACCTAAACTACAGGTGCAAGCCACCACAGCAGGGTTCCTGTGGGTCCTGGGATAGAACTCAGGTTGTCGGGCTTACATAGCAAGCGCTTTTACCCGCCAAACCCACCTTCTAGTAATAACAATTAAAAAGTGTCTCCTGCAAGCAGAGGACTCAGTTCTCCAGGGCCTTCCTCCCCAGTCAGCATAACAAGGCATCACTATTTAGTAAGACCTTGTGGCATTGAGAGCCGATTGTTTTGGCGTTGTTTCACATAAATGGGGGAGTCCTAGAAGCCTGCCACTTTCTCAGATTCTGTACCACCTTCGTGCATCCTGCCTGCTCTGTCTGCAGGCCTTGGGGGAGCAGTTGGAGTCGCTGATGGTGGCACTAGCCACTGCTACTGCTCCTGGGCTTGTGGTCTTTTTTTTTTTTTTTTTTTTTTTTCTTATTTTACATATCAATCCCAGTTCCCTGTCCCTCCCTCCCTCTCATGCCCCCCCCCACCCTCCCATCCCATTCCCCTATCACATTCCACATGTAGGGTGATGCCTTCCAGGAGGGATCAACAAAATCTGTCAAGTCATTTGGAGTAGGCCCTCCCTCCTGCCTCTAGGCTAAGGGAGTATCCCTCCATGGGGAATGTGCTCCCAAAGTCCTTTTGTGCACCAGGGACACATCCTGGTTCCAGAAGGCCTAGACTGCCCAGGCCTTCTAACTGAGACCCATGTTCATGGGGTCTGAGTCGGTTCAATGCTGGTTTCCCAGCTATCAGTCTGGGGGTCCATTAGCTCCCCCTTGTTCAGGTCAGCTTTCTCCGTGGGTGTATGTAGCCTGGTCTTGTCCTCCCTCTCTGCATCTGGATTCCAATTCAGCTCAGTGTTTAGCTGTGGGTGTCTGCTTCTGTTTCCATCAGCCACTAGATGAGGGCTCTATGATGGTGGATAAGTTAGTCATCAATCTCATTATCAGGGAGGGGCATTTAAGGTAACCTTTCCACTGTTGCTCAGATTGTTAGTTGGGGTCATCCTTGTAGGTCTCTGAACATTTCTCTAGAGTCAGTTTTCTCTTCAAACCTATAATGGTTCCGTCTATTATGGTATCTCTCTCTCTCTCTTCTCTCGTCTATTCCTCCCCTGACTCAATCTTCCTAGTCCCAAGTGCTTTCCTCTCCTCCCCTTCTCTTTCTCCTAGCTCCCTCTCCACTCACTGCCCCCCACTCCCAATATGCTCAGGAGATCTTGTTCCTTTCCCCTTCTGTGAGGGACCTTGTATGAATCTCTTAGGTTCCTCCTTGTATCCTAGTTTCTCTGGCTGTGTGAATTATAGGCTGGTGATCCTTTTCTCTAAGTCTAAAATCCATATATGAGCGAGTACATACCATGTTCCTCTTTTTGTGACTGGGTTACCTCACTCAGGATGGTTTCTTCAAGTTCCATCCATTTGCCTGCGAATTTCAAGATTCCATTGCTTTTTTCCCCCTCCCACCGAGTAGTACTCCATTGTGTAAATGTGCCACATCTTTATCCATTCTTCAATTAAGGAGCATCTAAGTTGCTTCCAAGTTCTTGATATTACAAATAATGCTGCTATGAACATAGTTGAACAGATGTCTTTGTTGCATGGATGGGGATCATTTGGGTATATGCCTAAGAGGGGGATTGCCGGGTCCTGTGGTAGACTGATTCCCATTTTCCTGATCTCCAAAATGGCTGTACAAGTTTGCACTCCCACCAGCAGTGGAAGAGTGTTCCCCTTTCTCCACATCCTCTCCAGCATGAGTTGTCATTGGTGTTTCTAATTTTAGCCATTCTGGCAGGAGTAAGATGGTATCTCAGAGTTGTTTTGATTTGCATTTCCCTGATAGCTAAGGATGTTGAGCACTTTCTTAAGTGTCTTTCAGCCTTTTTTATTTCCTCTATTGAGAATTCTCTCTTCAGTTCTGTACCCCATTTTTAATAGGGTTATTTGGTGTTTTGGTGACTAGTTTCTTGAGTTCTTTGTATGTTTTGGAGATAAGCCCTGTGTCAGATTTAGGGTTGGTGAAGATCTTTTCCCAGTCTGTGGGCTGCCATTTGGTCTTGCCAACAATGTCCTTTGTCTTACAGAAGCTTCTCCATTTGAGGAGATCCCATTTATTAATTGTTTCTCTCAGTGTCTCTGCTACTGGTGTTATTATGTTCAGGAAGTGGTCTCCTGTACCATTTTGTTCAAGGGTACCTCCCACTTTCTCTTCTGAGAGGTTCAGTGTGGCTGGATTGATGTTGAGATCTTTGATCCATTTGGACTTGAGTTTTGTGCATGGTGATAGACATGGGTCTATCTGCAGTCTTCTACATACCATATCCAATTGTGCTAGCAACAGAGAAAACAAGATACTCAATGACAAAGCCAGATTTTCACAATACGTATCTACAAATCCAGCCCTACAGAAAGTTCTGGAAGGAAAACTCCAACCCAAGGAAGTTAACTACTCTCACAAAGACATAAGCAATAGATAATCCCACTTCACCAGAACCCAAGGGTAAAGCAGGACAAATATATTCACAATACCACCACCACCAACAAATCTAAAACAAACAAGAATTAACAATCAATGGCCCTTACTTTCCCTCAACATTAATGGTCTTAACTCACCTATAAAAAGACACAGGCTAACAGAATGGATACGAAGACAGAATCCATCCTTCTGCTGCATACAAGAAACACATCTAAGCTTCAAAGCAGACATTACTTCAGGGTAAAGGGTTGGGAAAAGATCTTCCAATTAAATGGACCCAAGAAGCAAGCAAGTATAGCTATCCTAATATCTAACAAGTTAGACTTCAAACCAAAATCAATCAAAAGAGATGAAGAAGGTCATTTCATATTCATCACAGGAGAAAGCCATCACTACAAAGTCTCAATTCTGAACATCTATGCCCCAAGTACAAAGGCACCCACATTTGTAAAAGAAATGCTACTAAAACTCAAAGCTCACATAAAACCTCACACACTCATAGTGGGAGACTTCAATATCCCCTCTCACCACTAGACAAGACCACCAGTCAGAAACTTAACAAAGAAACATAAGAACTAACATAAGTTATGTCCCAATTGGGTTTAACAGACATCTATAGAACATTCCATCCAAACACAAAAGAATATACCTTCTTTTCAGAACCACATGGAACCTTCTTTAAAATCGACCACATACTCGGCAACATAACAAACCTCAACAGATACAAAAAAAAAAAAAAAACTGGAATAGTCCCCTGTATCTTATCAGACCACCATGCTTTAAAGTTGGAATTCAACAACAACACAAATCGCAGAAACCCTACAAACTGGGCTTGTGATTCTAAGTTGTGTCTTTAGTACTTTTCTTTAGAATGGCTTTGTGGTGGAACCCTGGGCTCAGAGGAATTGTCTGAGGTTCAGGTGTCATCACAAAGGTGGTATCAGCAGATGATTGCATCGGGGACAATTAGGGTACTTAGGAAGGAAGTTAGTGCGCCACATAGAACTTCCCATGGGCACTTATTTCACGCTGACTATATGCAGGCTGCTGTGGCTCTTATTCTAAGGCAACCCACATCCTCTTATTTTATTTGTAGGGGCGTCAAATTTTAATGCAGAATTGTCAACCAAAGGATCCAGAAACAACTGGGAGAAGCATTTTGAAGCCCTTCTCCTACCTGAGTTGGAGGTGAGCTGTGAAAGTCACTTAGCGGCTCTCGGCTCTCTAGGATAGGAGCTGGAGCCTCCCACACGTCTGCTGAGCAATCGTTGCCCATCGTCCCTGGGGAGGGGCTGCAGGACCTCTACTAAGCCTCAGATTTCAGTGTCCTCAACCTACAGCTTGTTTATCATCACTTTAGATACAGGGTATGAGGGCACGAAGCAGACATGCTTCCCTATAGTGGGACTCGGGAGATGAAGAAGCCTCTTCGTCCCTCTGTACACAGAGAGGCAAAACCCTACAGCAACGTCCTTTGGGGTTATACCAGAAACCAGCAAGGGGACAGGCAAGATAAGGAGGACAGCCACAGTGCAGTTACTCGGTGTCCCAGCCTATGTGTAGCGGTGCCTGTTCAAGAATTCTGTATCATTTTCTTCACCCAGCATCTTGACAGAACTTTGCCAGCTGTAAATGCTCTTATCAGCCAAGATGAGCGCATCAGCTCCAACCTTGTGGCCAGGATCATATATGGGGACCCAGCTACCTTCCTGCCCCACTTGCCCCGGCAAAGCGTGGTCCACTGCTCGAAGATCTGGAGCTGCAGGAGGAAGATCACGCTGGAATACCTGCAGCATATCGTGGATCAGAAAAATGGCGAGGAAACTGTGCCCGTCCTCTGGCACTTCCTCCACAAGGTAAGGGGTCTCCTGGGCGACCCTGCTTTCTCTGTGCAGATGATTCCCTCTGTTGAGAATTCCTAGGGCTGGAGCCCTGAGCAGCTGCCAGTGCGGTGGCTCTAACAGAATACTGTTAGCAGGAGGTCTTCAGCCCTTGCTTGCAGTCTCAGGCAGGCTGAAGTGCAGTCTCGGGTGGAATACATGTGTGTTGGTCCGTGGCCATCTGAAGAGAGCTTGAGGGCCAGGGCGCTACCCGTCTTCTCAGCAACAAAAGAAAAGGTGTAGGTCTGACGCCGTGTCTCTTCCTCTTGGCTTGGAGCAGGAGGCCATCTACAGTGCCTGCTGACTGCAGATGTTACCAAAAATGTGAGAACTTCCTCCCAACCTTTAGACCTTGCAGGTGTAGAGGGCACAGTTGGGAATGCAAATCGAAGCAGGCTGGAGAGCTCTGAGACAATCCTGTCTAAGACCCAGAGACCCACAGTTCCTATTGGAGCCCTCGTCCACAGTGCTTTCTCCCTGAGGACAAGTGTTTGCAGCTAGCACAGTCATTCTCAAACTTGTGGTGTTCACAGAAGTAACCCCCTCCTGTCAATGCTGCGACTTCTCTCGGGTCGTTTCCCTTGGCTGAGGAAGCTTGGGTCTGAGGCTTTGGAACAGTAGCCACTGCTAACGGCCTGGTCTCTTGCTTTCAGTAGCTTCTCACGCCATCAGTCACGTGGGCACAAGAACCTAGTTCTTTCTCTTATCTTTATAACTTTAATAATCAAGATCATTAGATGTGATAATGTACGCACTAAGGGGTTCCGTGTGACATTTCTACGTATGGACCGAGAACACGGTCACATGATCCAAGCACTGACTTTCTGCCACATGGAACCCACTGAGATGGTCACTGGAGGCCAGTGGGGTAGAAGAGTGATTTCCCACACATGTAATATGTGGTTCTTATCTTTTTGTATCTGACTTAATCCACTGACTATAGTGACCTCTTGGGGCTGGAGAGATGGCTCAGCTGTTAAGAGCACCGGCTGGTGACCTCCAACCAACCATATCCATTCTTCTGCAGACGGCAGGATTTTATTCCTCTTATGCTCTGGGGCTGAGTGTCCTGCCTTTGTGACAGGCACCACACATCTCTGCCCACTCACCAGCTGACGGGCACCGAGGCTGAAAGTGTCTTAGCTGTTGTCCCTGAAGGCACAGAAATCGTGGGTGTGCTTCTGTGACTGGTCTACTCATCTCCTTTCCTTTGAGTGCATAACCAGAAGAAAGGCCTAGACTCTGTGCTAATTAATGCTCTTTGCCGTGATAGCTGTTCTAATTTACACTCAGCTAGCAAAGCTAATCCCTTTCCTCCACCCCTTGGCCAGCGTTTGTCACGTTTTTCTTCACTCGACTTCTGACTGGGGTGAGATGGTGTCCCAGTGCAGCTCTGATCGGTCTCTCTCTGATAACTGATGTTACGGGGCATTTCTCCATATACTTGTTGGCCATCGTATTTCTTTTTAAGAAGTATCTTTTCAGATCATTTGGCCGTTGTTAATGGATTGTTCGGTTTGTTTTTTCGTTCCTCACATACTCTACACCTGACCCTTTTTAAGGCAAATGGCAAATCTTTCCTTCTGTTCTGTAGGCTGTCTTGACTCCACTGACTGCTTCCTTTGCTGAACACAAGGCTCCCAGTCTGGAAGAACCACACTTGTCAGTTGGCTCTTTTGGAACCCTGCCCAGAAACTGCTCTTCACTACATGTTTCCAAACGTCTCCTTCCGGCAGTTTGGGCCTTGCGTTTAGTATTTGACCCATCTTGAATTGATTTTTTTTTTTTAAACTGGACGAGACAGGGTTCAGTCTTCAGGGTGGCTCTGTCCCATTGGATTTTGGCACGTAGACTTGGCTCTGGATAGGTTTGGCTGTGTGTACAACAGGTACTTACAGAAAGAATGGGGTGGCCCTTTGCCTGTTTCTAAAGTCTAGGGTGCATCACCATGTAAAGGGGACATGGACCGAGTTAGATCAGCAGCATCAGTCCCCCAAGCACCCACAAAGTGTCTGTGTCCGGCAAAGAAGAGGTGCCGCTACTAAACCATCCACTTCCTTTCTGCAGGAGGCAGAGCTGAGGCTGGTCAAATCCCTGCCTGAGATCTTGGCCCTGCAAAGATATCTGGTAAAACGATTCCAGAACGTTTCAGAAGCAGAGTACAGTTCCATCAGAGGTTTTATTAGCAGCCACCATTCAGGTATGACTCTGCCCAAGCTCTAAAAAGGACCGTCTGATTTTAACGGAGGAAGGGACAAGGGTTCAGTAACAGGTGCTGTGTGCCTTAAGCATGAGGCGAGGAGACACGGGTTCCAGCTAGCTGGGCTGCGTCAGGGAAACAGTTGGTTCCATCAAGAGCTTGCACCAAGTGGGTCGGAGCTTGGCTGTGTTGTTGCCGTGGCTCTTACCAAATGATTTACTCAACAGATGGGCTGAGAAAGCAGTTATACGACCGAATCGCTGTCTTTCTGTCCACATGGAACGCGCTGAGGCACTCACTGGAGACCAACGGTAAGTGTCCCCCTCCCAGCGGAGTGCCACAGGAGATGAAGCACACACTGCTCTGAATGAAGCTCAGCTCTGCCCGTCACACCACCAGCACCATGCGAGCTCTCTAGGTGTCTTCAGATGGAGGCTGTCTTAGTTAGGGTGACTGTTGCTGTGATTGGACAGCATGATCAAAGGCAAGTCGGGGAGGGAAGGGTTAATATGGCTCATTTGAAGTCAGGACAGGAACTCAAGCAGGGCAGGAACCTGGAGGCAGGAGCTGGTTCTGGGATCATGCTTCCCACTGCTAGCTTAGCCTGCTTTCTGTTAGAACCCAGGGCAGCCCGCCCAGGAATGGTACCACCCACAGTAGGCTGGGTCCTCCGCGTTAATCACTGATTAAGAAAATGCCCTACAGCTGGATCTTAAGGAGACATTTTTCTCAATTGAGGCTCCAGCCTCTGGATTCTAGCTAGTGTCAAGCTGACATAGAGGAGCCAGTACAGAGAAGTATGAAATTGGATTTCCAGAGAGCTGAGATCACTGAAAACATGTCAGCATGTCTGTTACAGGCAAGACCTTAAAAGCAGGTCCCTGCTCTGTGTGAGTGGGTGAGACCGCGTCTGTGAGCCTCTTCACGGGGCACGGCTTACCTGGCTGCTAAGGAATAACTGTCATTTCCAGGTGAGATCAAGCTACCAAAAGATTACTGCAGCTCCGACCTGGATCTGGATGCTGAATTTGAGGTCCTCCTTCCACGGCGACGGGGCCTAGGCCTCTGTTCCACGGCCTTAGTCAGCTACTTGATTAGCCTGCACAATCAAATGATCAACAAGGTGCAGAGCTTCTCTGAGGAAAACAGCAGGTGTGTGCACAAGCCGGAAGACCTTGGAGCTTGTCCAGCCCTGGGCTCCTGAGTCCCTGCCAACCCCGGCTCTTCCATGGCGGGCCCTCCCATAGCCACTCACTCCAGAGTCCTCCACAGACATGCAGCTTTCACCTGCTCAGACCACAGAAGCTGGAACAAGAGTGTCCCCATGTGTCTGCTCTCGGTATCAATCCTGTGTCTTGTCCCTCAGCTTTTCGGTAGATACCTCTGAGGTTGCTGACGTGCACGTCATCAGCTACGAGGTGGAAAGGGACCTGACTCCCCTGATCCTCTCCAACTGCCAGTACCAAGTGCAGCAAGGCGGAGAGACCTCACAAGAGTTTGACCTGGAGAAGATCCAGCGGCAGATCAGCAGCCGATTCCTCCAGGGCAAGCCCAGGCTGACCCTCAAGGTGGGCTGAACCTCTGCTAGTGATGCGCTTAGTGTGTCTGTCGTGTGTAGGGGACTCTTCGTGTGTTTGGAGGAAACCAGAGTGCACTGTGCTACCCAAAAGTCTCATCTGGGTCAATTCCTTGCCACTCTGGCATGCATGGCCACAGTGTCCTGGAACTTTGATGCTTTTAGTTGTAGATCTCAGCTTGTGATAGTTATGCCTGGAGGTGTACCACCACCAAATAGTGTCCGGAAGTGTACTGCCAAATGGCATCTGGCAGCAGACGGTCCTTCTGATCCCGGTCCCTGTAGAATAGCTCTTAACAAACTATGGCAAGCTAAATTTTGTTAGACAAATGAGTAAAAGGAGCCTTGTGGAATTGCTGGGACCGCAGGGCTACCCGCAGGAAATGCACAAGCAGGGCGGGCGCCAAGCGGCTCTGTGCGAATACAAAGTGCGGAAATGGGCAAAAAATGAGAAGCAGGCCCGCTGTGGAGGCAAAGGAGTTGTAGGGCAGAGGCAAATGTTCCAAAGCTGTGGTGAGTCTACCTGGTTAGGCAAGGGACCCTGCCTGTTGGGGATGGTGGGGGAGGGAAGGGGAGCGGTGTCTGCTGCCTGAGTGAAACCCAGGTCCTGTGAAAATCCCAATCCCGCTTCTGACACCAGATATTGCAGTTAAATAAGGATCAGGATAAACAAATAGGCCGAATAGATGTTTATTCAGGGAGAAATAACTTACAACCTAGACAGATGAACACCAGCAAGTTCCATTGGATGCTCTCCTCTCCGTAACCCGCCAGCAAGAGAGTGTTCCCCGGCTCCTCCCCAGACCTCCTTCCACAGGTCACTTCTGCCCCTGACTCCACCCCCCAATGGGCATGGTCAGTGCCATAGAAGGAGACAAAGTGAATATCCCACTACACCTGACTGTGGAGGTTTTAAGATCTTTGGTACCAACATCTGCACCTCAGTTCCCCAGAGGCAGCCTCTGGCCTCAGTGAACGTAGTGTTTAGTTTTTCTGTCATAGTTAACAGACCAAAATGAACTCTGCCGTTGTCGCCCTGGTCCTCAACATTCTATGCCTAGGTACCAGTGTGCCTTCTGTGTGTTAACTGCCATAGCCTGTCATTTTAGTCACCTATCCTGCTGCCCCCTGGATCCCTCTCTGTTACGGACGTCCTGCATGGCCTCCCTTCACTTGGCACAGAAGGGCCTGTGGTCTGGCTCCAGCGTATAGATGTCCAGTTACCTTAACCTCTCACACGCTTGAGTCCTGCCACCCATGGCAGAGCCACATCTGTTCCTTCACATGGAGAGCGGGTGACCCTTCCAGTCCTGATACATTGCATGTAGATTTATTTATTTGTTTCCAAAGACATCCACAAGTTTATCGCATAGCCTACAGACAGGCTGTGACTTGGAGCCCCATAGCCATTTATCATTCACTCTGACTGCGCTGCTGTCCAGAAAAGTGACTTCCTTGTCCGAGGTCTCTACTTACAAGTTGTTGAAGAGCTGGTAAATGAGCTGTCCTACACCTGTTCCTCCCGGTGTCCCGTGCATACTGGGTGTCTTCAGTAGACACCCTGCGGCAACGCCGCCTTTCCCAGGAATCTCAGTGTCTTCAGTAGACACCCTGCGGCAATGCCGCCTTTCCCAGGAATGCGCTGGGTCCCGCCGATGAGTTTCTGAGGGTCTACTTTGGGTTTCATCTCTAAGAACCTTTCTTCCTTAATTTAGGGGATACCCACCTTGGTATACAGACATGACTGGAACTACGAACATCTCTTCACGAACATCAAGAACAGAATGGCACAGGTGCCCTTAACAACCCTTGTCATGGGTGGGAGGCTCTAGCCACTGCAGATAGCTCCAGACTCGCCCTGTGGCTGCTGTGAGCACTGTTGTCTCGGTGTCCTTTGGAGAACCTTGAGACTCCTGTAAGCCCAAGCTTTCTACGCAGAGAAGCGAGACAGCAGTCCACCAAACTTTGTTGTACAGTTTAAACACACATCCTGTGGAGCAGGTTTCTTAGTAACATCACAGCTGTGTACACTGAGAGGTCTTAAAGGTGCCCCTGCTCTTAGCAAGCCTGGGAGGGAGCTGAATGGCTGTGTCTGTCTCCTCACAGGGTTGGGTTTTTTGGGGAGGGGCGTTGAGACAGGGTTTCTTTGTGTAGCCCCGACAGTACTGGAAATAGCACTGTAGACCAAGCTAGCCTCAAGTTCAGAGATCTGCCTCTCCTTCCTGAGTGCTGGGATTAAAGGCATGTGCCAGCATTGCCTGGGTATAGGGTTGTTTGAGGTCCCATGAGTTTGTCTCCATCTCTGTGGACTCTGGAGTACTGCCTGCTCTTACTGTGCACCGAGAATCAGCTGAGTGCTTTCTGGAGAGCCTGTCCCCGCTCCAGCTTGGGTGGTGACAAAGCTAACTTCTTCTCTGTTGGTGAGAAACAAGAAGTCCAACCATAACCCTAACCCTGCATTCTGTTCCCAGACCCCACTCACCAGTGCAGCTATCGGTGCCATCAGTGGACAGCTACAGTCCTACAGTGACGCCTGTGAAGCCCTGTCTATCATAGAAGTCACCCTGGGTTTCCTGAGCACAGCTGGTGGAGACCCTGACATGGACCTGAATGTGTACATTCAAGACATCCTACAGATGAGTGATCAGACAGCTCTGATCTTAAAGGTAAGCACCAATGGCAAGCCTGCTGGTGTATACCAGTAACCCCAACACTCTGGAAGAAGAGGAAGGAAGACCGCCAGTTCCAGGTCACCGCGGGCTACAGAGTGAGTTACAAGCCACAGTAGACTACTAAGCAAGACCACGTCTCAAAACAGGGAGGGGAGTCCTGTTGGAAGGTGTTGATGGGAAACTGCATGACCCTCCCCAAAGCTCCTGCTTCCCACCTAATCCCACCAGGCTTCAGTGTCGGAAAATCAACAGCATCCCTCACACACACACAGTCAGTCCACCATGCCGTCCCTCACACACAGTTAGCCCACCATGCCATCCCTCACACACACACAGTCAGTCCACCATGCCGTCCCTCACACACAGTTAGCCCACCATGCCATCCCTCACACACACACAGTCAGTCCACCATGCTGTCCCTCACACACAGTCAGTCCACCATGCCATCCCTCACACACACACACACACAGTCAGTCCACCATGCCGTTCCTCACACACAGTCAGTCCACTATGCACACAGCACACCTGGGCAGTAGCCTGGCACATGCTCCATGCTGACTGTCTGGGCTGGGTCCACCATCTGTGAGCACTGCAGAGCTGCACAGTGTGTGACAGCTGGATAAGACTGCCTCACGACAAGGGAAACAGAACGAGCTCAGGACAGAAAATGGGGAGATGTGCCCATGGTTCGTCATAGGGGTGACGTATGTGGGGCTGTTTCCCTTCAGGCCTTACACAGATGTCAGCTGAGACACGTCATTGCCCTCTGGCAGTTCCTATCTGCACATAAGTCAGAACAGCGGCTGCGACTGAAGAAGGTGAGTCTCGCCTCTGCTTCCCGATGTGGGGGGGGGGGGGCAGCGGGCACCCTCCCTCCCTCTCCCCGGGTCTCACTGTACCGCTTGCTGATTCTTCCTTTCAGGAGCTGTTTCGGGAGATTGATGGGAAGTACAAAGAGGCCCTCAGTCCACAGCACGCAAAGCTCCTCGGCACATTCCTGAACGAGGCGGGCTTGGACGCCTTCCTCCTGGAGCTCCACGAGATGATTGTGCTGAAACTCAGGGGTCCTCAGGCCGAGAGCGGCTTCAACCCCAGTTGGAGGTATGGCCTTGTGTAGCTGCTGGCAGAGTACGCTGTTGCCCAGTAGCTTCCCCCAGACTTGAAGATAGTCCTAACTTACCCAAGACCCCTTTTCTGCTAATTTTCCATGCCTTTGGTGTTTTGTACTGTTGGTTCAGTTTTCAGTTTTTCTTTTTTCTTTTTTCTTTGGGGGGGGTGGGTGGGGAAGGGATGGATTTTCAAGGCAGGGTTTCTCTGTAGCTTTGGAGCCTGTCCTGGAGCTCATCTTTAATCCTGGCAATCGAGAGGTAGAGGCAGGCAGATCTTTGTGAGTTTGAAGCCACCTTGGTCTAAAGAGTGAGTTCAGGACAGCCTCCAGGACAGGCTGGAAACCCTGGAGAAAAAATGAGAAACCCTGTCTCGAAAAATTATTATTATTATTATTATTATTATTATTATTATTATTATTATTATTATAACAAAATACTGGTGTGTGCCACCATTGCCCAGCAGCTTTGGTTTTCCAGGACAGGATTTCTCTGTGTAGCTCTTGCTGTCCTGGAACTCTGTAGAGTTCTGTAGACCTTGCTAGCCTCAAACTCAGAGCTCCGTCTGCCTCTGCCTCCTGAGTGCTGGGATTAAAGCTTGTGCCAACATGCCAGGCTTCTTTGGTTTAATTTCTATTTGATGTTAATCCCTTGTGATTAAAACAAAACAAAACAGGTAGGAGGTTAGGGAAATGGCCCAGTAGGTTTGCTTGTTGTACAGCATCAGGACTTGTGTTTAGATCCCTGGCATCTATATCAAAATCTGGGTATGGCTATCTATATATGCCTACAACCCCAGCACTGGGGTGTGGTAGAAGACAGGCAGATCCTGGGAGCTTACTGGACAGCTGGCATAAAAATATAAGTTCCAGGTTCAGTAAGAGACCCTCAAAAAAGTAAGGTGGGAAGTGATAGAGTAAGACACACAGTGCCATCCTCTGCCCGCTGGATACACACGCTCAAATTTGTGCACACATGTACATACCACACACAAAAAAGGCAGGCTGGGGTGTAGTTCATTGTTAGAGTGTTGTCTAGCACGCACAGATCCCTGGGGTGTGGAACACACATCTATAATTGCAGCACTCAGGAGTTAAAAGCAGAAAGATCAGAAGTTCAAGGTCATCATCAGCTATACAGCAAGTCTGAGGCCAATCTGGGCCACACGAGAACTACAAAATTCATATATTCCCCCTTTATAACAAGTAGACTTATGTCAAACAAATGTTGACTGTTGATAACAAACGTTGATAACAAAAAGCAAACCAGTGTGTAAAGGCTACAGAACACAATTAGCCATCTCTTCCAAGTATGTCAATCTAACATCCATCACCAGTGTCTCCTTTTCTCTGCACATCCCTACTTTGGAGACCCTTAGTGGCTGGGTACATTTTACACTCGGCTATTTGTGTATGATGCTCATCATCATTTTTAATTGGTGGGGCATTCATCTCTAAATTGTTATTACATGTATATGTGTGCTTCGCCTACATGTAATCCTGTGCACCACTTGAATGCCTGACTCCCTGGGAGTCAGAGGGACCCTGATCCCCTGGAACTGGAGTTATATAGAGATGGTGTGAGCCACCATGTGGTGCTGAGATTCAGACCCAGACTCTCTGAAAGAGCAGCCAGTCTTATAATCACTGAGCTCTCTCTCCAGCCCTGGCTGTTCGCCTCTTAATGGTCTGAAATGCTCTTTGTATACAACAGAATTAACTTTTATCAGTATTACAAATGACCTCAAGCTCTAGTTGTATCAAGTGAAACTGACGGATTTTCTAATTAAGTGTCCACGGTGCGAGCGAGAGTCTGCTCTATCATGCCCGGGGTACACGGTGGCCCTTGCTCTCTGTCTCCGCTGCTGCATTATACGTCTACGCCACACGTTTCTTTGATCAGCAGGTTCTGTACGGTGTAAGGCAAGGACTGAACTGTGTGGGTTCTTTCTTCTGTCTTTTCCTGCTTTTTGAGAAAATGTCTAGTAGCCCAGGCAGGCAAACAACTCGATCCTCCCTCTAAGTGCTGGGGTGACAGGCACAAGCCACCTTGCTCAGCTACTTTACTGCTCTTCTAAGCATTCACAGTCCAGCTTTCCTCCCTGACCATTTTATACTTGCGCTTTTCTTCCAGAACGGCATATGGCTTATACCGTTGCACACTTATATCCTGTAAAAGGAAAAAGTCTCTACTGGCCTACACTTATAAACACTAGCTGTTCTCCTTTCTAGAGTTTGCCATTTGTTAGTGTGAGGGTAAGAGAATACGGGGACGAGGGTCTGGTTTTGCCACGTGACCAAACTATTCACACCAGACATGCTAAGAGCCATCCAGCTAGCTCTGCTGTGAGCCAGCTCAATCCACGGGGCTTCCGCACCAGTACAGGAGGGGCTCAGCCCTTGGTGTGTCTGGAGGTGTGTCTGGTCGCATCCTCCCTAAGGTCCCCAGCCAGTCTGGTCCCTGCTGCTGTTTTGGTCCTTTTGAACTGGAGCGCATGACCATGGCTGGGCTGTGATGTTCAGAACTCTCTTGTCTCTTGGTTTCACAGCCTCAGGGACACTCTAGTGAGTTACATGGAGATTAAAGAGAGCGATGTCCTTCCAGAAGTGGAGGCCCAGTTCCCAGAAGAGATCCTCATGTCCACCTGTGTCTCAGTGTGGAAAGCTGCTGTCACACGAAAACTGGACCGGCAAGCGAGGTAGAGCAGCTCAACCTTCAAGCGTGGCTGGAAAGGAGGGTCTCCCCCAACCCCCTTCATAGCTCCCAACACAGGCTGTGGGCTTTGTGTGAAGGGAAGTGTGGGCACCGCACTGGATTCAAGGCTTACACACCATACAAGCCCATGGCTTTTTAAGGGCCAACCTGTTTCTGGAACATGTGCCTACCCCAAAACTTCCTCCTATGCGGTGATATGAAATTGGCGATCAACTGCCTCTTGTACATCCCAGAAGGAACGAGACAACCACAGTGCGGCCGTTACCGATGCTGACCCTCTGAAGACTGCCAGCCTCTGGCCTCACAGTTCACGGCCCCCGCTTCGCTGCATAGAGAGAAAACACGGGGACAATACATTTTTTCCCTGTTCTTTCTATACATATGTAAGAATAAATGCACATATGTGATGAATACATGTATTCTGTCAAGGAAAACCAAGGTGCTTATACAAGCTGTAAGGCCACATGAACAAGAGCTAATGTCGACCCCACCGTGAGTCACTGCCAAACCACGTAGGAACAGAGCCAAACACTGGGAGCGAGGGGCAATGATACATTGGGAAGCAAGGACTACGGGTAGGTGCTGGAGTACCTGCCACCATACATACGCACATCCTGGGTTTTCTCCCTAGCACTGCAAATGGGAACAAACAACCACAAGACAGAACAGACCGATGGCCGAAGCAGATGCGTCTTAGTCTAACAATCCACTTCCGTTCCTCTGATCCCTCTGGACTAACCCTACTCCTGGCACAGCCAGTGTTTACAAGCGTTTCCTTCAGACTGGCCATCAGGACCACACCCATGGACACAGCGCCACCAGCACGGGGTGGCTCTGGACCAGGCTATGCCTTGACATTCTCCTCAGAGCCTGGTGCAGGGACCAGACCTGCAGTAACGCACTGCAGACTCTATTCACAATCACGGTGATCTTTTCACTCCAAACTAGGAAGATGTCTGCGCGCCAGGCTTCCTGCGGAATGGATACATCAGACTGGGGGTTAACTCAACCTAGCCATCAGAGGGCAGCTCAGCCCCACACAGTTTCCTGCTGTGAAGGCCTTTTTGGGGCTTTGACTTAGGCATTTTTTTTTTCTGTCATGAAGGATTTTTAATTAAGATGTTTCATTTTGTATGCTACGCTTTTAAGCCTTAGCTGTCTATGTTGTGTTACCAGGCCTAACACCGGCAAAAGTAAATTGCATTATTTTCTGTCATACTCATTTTAATAAATTTCAGCTTTACTGCTAAGAGTCCTTTTTGGGCCATGGAGCTGGCTCAGCAAGTAAGAGCACTTGCTGCCAAGCCTGACAACTTGAGTTCAATCCTGTTTTCTTCCTCAGAACAAAGGGACAGCAGGGCTCTTATCTATGACAGAAACAGCTGGGCTCAGGGGATTCTGCCAGAGGAAACCTCCCTGAAAACAGGGAGGCGAGACCTGACAGCAGTGAATTGGGCTGTGGATAAGGAAGACCCCTTAGGAATAGGAAATAAAGGCAGGAAAGAGAAATAATTCAGATTCTGTGCCTTTCCTAAAGCACTGCCCGATGGGCCATGTGCTAACTGAAATCGCCGTGAGCTACTCCCGCTAACAGAACGTGGCACTGGCGAACCATCACCACAAAGACGGCAGTGGCTCAGGGGGCTGAGCCAGGTCACACAAGTGACCAAGGCCTGGGCGTGCCCAGTACACCAGTGTATGAGAACACGCCTCACGTGGCGCTATTGTGTGGTTTCCTGGACAGACGTGAGCAAACATCTATTCACCCCAGACAATACATTGAGAAAACACCACAGAAATGGCTCCAAACAGGTCTAGCTTAGGGACAGGCACATGGGTGATTCAGGCTGCATCATTGAAACACCCAACTAGGTTTAGGTGACAGGTTGTCACAGATGAGCCTGGGGCTCCCTGACCAATTTACAGCCATCTCCACAAGTCTCTCCTCCTCCCGAAATAGCTTACTGCTTATAACCTCAGGGACAAGCCTACGAAGTCTTGGAACTTTGTGGGCCTCTGGGCCGAGTAAGTTTTTCCTGAGCCTCCCGCTGCCCTTCGGGAGCCAGCGTTTCGGTTAGGAGGGAACAGCGCCACAAACACATGGATAAAGTGTTGAAATCAGGCTGCAGAGCCAACAGCCTGGAGAGCCTTGTTCGGTGGGCAGAAGGAGAAACCCGCAGGCCCCGTACTCAATACCAGGCAGGCCGAGACTAGGATCTGTGTTGCATCCTGCTCCCTTAGCTCTGGGTGCAAGTGTTCAGAGTTCACACACAACAGACAAGGGGCAGGAGGGAAGTGCCCTTTCCTGATAGCAACACTGGCAACTGACACCCTCTCTGTATGCACTCGGGTACAGCGCAGTACAGTGTCATCTGGGTAGGAATGCGTGGAGAGCAGTGTGAAGCCCTTACAGCAGCCTCCTCGCTCGGGAGCTGCTCCTGCTGCGGGTCCCTTCCCACACAGACACGCCGAGCGACATCAGGGCTCCTTTCAATCAACACCTCAGCCATAACTTCCTCCGAACCCACACGGCTCTGCCCATCTCCGCTGGCATGCATGGCTCTCACATACCAAACTCTATCCCAGCCACTCAACCAAGCCAGGCCAGCCTACCTGACGGTGGTGCTGGCTCTCCCGTCTGCCAGCTTGATGACTTCTTCAGACTGCAGTTTCCTCCTCTGCAAAATGCCTCCCGTTTCTGTGGTGAGGGGACACAGGGTAGAAAATAACAGCACTGAGCCTGGGCCTCGGCGGGGGCCAGAGAAACTTCTCTCCCAGCTGAAAGCCGGCTAGCTTTCAAGGTCCTGTCAGTTGTGTTAGAGAAACCCTCTCCCAGACCATAAATTCAAGGCTGGTCTAATCCGGCCTTTCACAGTTTGCTTGCGAAATCGTGTCTTCGCACCATGTGACTTAGGTGTACACACCGGAACCCTCCCGGAGGACCGTAAGCCAAGCCTACTTGCTGCCTTAAACGCCCAGTGCGCTCCTACCTCGGGGCAATTGTACATCCTCTGCCTGCCACACTCATGGCCGCGCCCTCTCTTTGACCTTTCCTCTGTCTGCGGTGAATTCTCATCATTTCACCCCCAAGGCCCTCTCTGGTCCCATCCCCCTCTTCCCCTACCAACAAGTCCCCTCCCCCATCCCCGTATCTCCCCCCTTGCTGGCTGCTTCCATACGATGGGTGACAGGTTATTTACAAACGCACGCATGAGCGGCCTAACAGTGGCCACACCACTGAAGAAAGTGGCGATCCATTCCCCAGCAACCACTCAGTGCCAAGGTCCAGGGAGGGCTGGGGCAGCCTCGGGCCTCCCGAGGGTCACTGCACGCGGGCCATCCCTGCCCCAGTTCAGGGTCCTCTGGTCCTCGTTTCCCACAGCGCGATTGCAAATGCCCTCCCAACCCACTGCTCCCAGCCCAGAGCCAGCATTTACCAGAACTGAGAAGGAAGGAACGAAACTCAGAAGAGGCACTAAGAACCATCTGATTCTGAAGGAAGTGCCACAGATCCCATCAAGTTCACCAGATCATAAATAAGCAAGAGGTTCTAAGCCCGGCCCTTCCAGCCGGTGCTGGCTTGCTCTTCTGACTTGTCTTAAGGTAAAAAACAAACAAACAACAAAACAAAACTGTAGTCTAGAGATGGTTCAGTAACTAAAAGTGTGCACTGCTGCTTCACAGGACCCAAGTTCAATTCCTAGTCCCCAGGCCTAGAGGCTCACCCTCCCCTGCAGCTCCAGGGGGTCTAACCCTGCACCCCACAGGTACCTGCACTCATGACACACACACACACATAAAAACAAAATAAACCTTTAGAAAGTACAGTCTGCTGAGCTCATATCATGAAGAGGTTGGGGTACACAGTATGGAAGGCTCTGTGTCCTGGTCCCACAAAATGAGCATTTGAGGGGAAAGAGGCTACACGAGACACAGGAAAACTGTACCCCTTAAATCCCATGGGGGGGGATTAATGGGACAAAACTACAGTTCTGCACCAAATCACCAGGCATTGGCCAATTTTAGGTTTGTTTGGGTTGAATCCCTGAGGTGGCTGATCTTTGTTGTCAACCTGACTGTATCTTGAATCAACTAGAACCCAGGCGGCTGGAACTTCCTTGACTGGGTTACCCAAAGGTCCAGAGACCCACCCTATTTATTTATTTAAATCTGGGCCACACCTGGCGACAGCCCATAAAAAAGGACATAGAAGGAGGAAGCTTTTGCATTTTGCCTGCTTGCCCTCACTCTGGATGGTAAGTTCTGAATTTCCTTCATATATTTTCATTCTATCACTCCCGCTCCTCCAGAGAAAACAAATAGACACCCTGGTCTGGGTCAGCTGTTCGAGTCAACTCTGGCACTGGACAGCTTCCCTTGCTGCTGGTAAGCCCTGACCCTGGAGATCTCTGGAGTCCAGGCTCCATCCCTAGACCATTCCAGCCACCTCAGGGACTGACTCTACTCCTGGACTTCTCTTGACAGCTCTGGGTGTGCGGGGGCTGCAGGTGCTCGCCAGTCTTTTTGGAGTCGGGCCAAGGCTGCCTGGGAGGGCTGCAGGCAGGCGCGCGGAGCGGACTGTGGCGCCCACACGTCCAGCGCTGCTGTGACAGCGGCCCCTGGCGGCGGCGGCGAAGGGCAGCGGCTCGGCCCGGCTCGGCTCGGGGCGCTCCGGAAGTGACGTCACGGGAGGCGCCGGTGCCCTGACCATGGCCCTCAAGGCCGCGGGGCGGCCGTCCGCGGAAACCCTGCTGCTCTGGGAACGGTAACGGGACCGGGGTCCTGCAGTAGCCGAGGCGCGGGCGGGGATGGGGTGGGGTGGGGTGGCGCGGCCTCCCGACCTCACAGCCCCTGAACACCCGTGCTGCCCCGCAGGCCGCCAAGCTGCCGGAAGTTGCGGCGTGCCCTCGCTTCCGGTGCCGCGGAGCGCTCTGCGCCTCGGTCCTGGCCTGGAGGGGAAGACGGGGCCGGGCTGGGCGGGAGGGATGACGGCCCCGGGCCCGTTCTGATGCTTGTATGTGTCCTGCTAGGGAGCAAGCGCGGCTGAGGACGCGCGTGCTGCACGGGGACACCGAGGCCTGGCAGCGCGACGCCGCCTTCTCGGGCCTGCGCAGGGTCGGGGGCGTGGACGTGTCCTTCGTCCGCGGGGACGACTCCCGGGCCTGCGCCTCGCTCGTGGTGCTGAGCTTCCCCGAGCTCCAGGTAACCCGGGTGCGCTTCACTGGCTCCCAAGACAGGGTTCCGAGCCTGGGTGCAGTTTTGTACAGTTTTTCTCCTCCACCCCTGCGCCCTGTGCTTTTTAATTTAAAAATTTCCCCCCCTTTTTGATGCTAAAAAACTACCCAGGGCCTCGAACTGCCAGGGGATCGATACACTTCCACTTTCGTTTGTAGAATTCAATGTGTAGGGTGGAGTGTATTTTTAAAAGGCTAAAAGCTCAGAAAGTACTGTAGCTTTGAAGAATCAATGGACAGAGTCTGTAGGTGTGATGGCGCAGCGGCTAAGAGCGAACTCAGCTGTTGCAGAAGCTACAGGTTCAGTTCCAGCTCTCTCTCTCTCCCCCCCCCTCTCTCTCTCTCTCTCTCTCTCTCTCCCTCTCTCTCCCCCCCCCCCTCTCTCTCTCTCGTCATTTAACGCCAGCTCCAGAAGATCTGAACTGACTTGTGGCCCGTGTGGGCACCAGCATGCATGTAGTGGACAAAAAACGCCCACAAACCCACACGTACGTAGCTACACGAACAAGACATTAAAAATCGTTCTTGAAGGATGAACAGACAGTTCTAAGTCTGGTTACCCTGGTTTACTCACCTCAGTGGCTCACAGCACGTACCACAGGTTGCCCAAGCAGGAACTCTTAGCCTTCCTAGACCTCCTGCTTTCCATCTTGTCTCAGACTAGCTCCGTTTTTAAAGTTATTTTTAGTTTCTGAGCTACAATAAAAAAAGTGTTTTTCACTGTTCTCATCATACATGTTTTCTGTTGTACCTGGTTCACATTCTCCCCCAGACAAGATCCATCCTCTTGCAATTCCGTGCCCTTCTGCCTGTCAAGTGTTGCTGGAGTCTGCCCCCACCCCGTTTGCCTCCCTCAGTCCTTTGCATATGACACAGTCCTCCTGTAGGCTACTGACCTGTTTCTTCATAGGCTTCTGGCCTCTAGGGTTGGTCCTTGGTCTCCATGGATAAAAGAGCTTTTTTTTTTTTTTGTAAGAAGCAGTGTCATCCAATCACAGGCCTTCTTAAAAACTTCCTGCTAGGCATGATGGTACACACACATGTAATCCTGGCCCTCGGGAGGCTGAGGCAGGAGGAGCCAAAGCTCAGTGCCAGCCTGGGCTCCATGAGACCCTGTCAAAACAACAGTAGAAAGCTTCAATGCCCCTCCCGTGACCTTACGGCTAATAAAGTTCATATTTGCTAATGGGACTTAGAGGCCATTTTTGCTGTTTCCTGTGACCCTGTTGGTTATCTGGCTTTAAATCCCTCCAACAGGGATCCAATGGCCTTCTCTGCTAGAGTGGTCTTCACTTGGCTGGCTCCAGCTTCCTGAAGGGCCCAGTGTAGACTGTGCTTACTCTGGCGAGCTTCCTTCATCCCACAAGCCCAGAGTCCTGACTCAGAGACTGGCAGGCTAGAGTGCATCCAGCTAGGTAGTGTGTGAACACGAGCATTTCTCAAAACCGGGAAAGCTGGGAGATGAGGGTCAGAGAGTAGAGACTGGGGTTCTGGTGGGACTTCCAGACTCAGACAGGCCCTCCCCTGTGTCCTCCTGTGCTCCCCGCTTATTTAAAGACCACGGTAACCCTGAACCTCTCAGCTCTCACACTGCAATGAACTCAGCCTGAGTTCCAGAGTGTAAATTCCGATGCCAGGAACCATGATTTGCCCTGGTGTGGGGAAGACACTCAGGTCCTCTCTGCATAGATCATGAGCAGTCAGCATCTCGGGAAGCCTCGGCCACACCCCAGCCTAGCATTCCGATCACGGCTCCTCCAAAGGCAGCAGACTCTTCCTGACTCTGCTTCTGTGCCTTCCCCAGGCTGCCCCTTTAAGTTCTGGATCTGCACTGGGTTCATGTTCCTTAGGGGGTAAGAGCAGAGGCTGCTGTGGGAACCCTGGGTCTACCGTTCCCCGCCCTACCCCTTGGCTCTCCCCCCCCCCCCCCCCCCCCCGCTGGACTAGTGAGAAAGATTGTCCTGGTTAGTTTTTATTTCACCTTGACACATGCTAGTGTGATCTGTGGCCATGTCTGTGAGATTTTGTCTTCACGGATGGTTGAGGTGAGGGGGCCCAGCCCACTGTCCCCGGGCAGGTGGGCCTGGACTGTTAGGAGCTAACTGAAGGAGCCGTACGCAGCTTTTCTCCATGACGCTCGGGGTTCCCACTCTGGCTTCCCTCAGTGACAGACTGTGACTATTTTAACACAGCAACAGAAAGGCGATGGTATTGATGCCAGTGCTTAATCGGAAGCGGCTGGCACAGAACACGGCTGTCCAGCTCTCCCCGTCTGCGGACTTAAACACCCTAACTTGTGGCCTTAAGGCCTGTTTAGTGCATGCGCTGTCTGTCACCCATGTGGAACCCACCAGGCACAGTTCCCTCCTTTGCCCCTCCCTTAGGGCTCTCGAGGACAGTGCTTTGCCATAGGTGTATTGTAACCCCAGCACTGAGCACACGGTGAGTGTGGCCCACCCACCAGCTCCACGTTGCCTGGCTATGGCTCCCCTGGAAATGTTTGGAGATGTGGATTGCATGGACAGGCTCCTAAAACATATTAGTTACTCATACATGACAACCCTCTTAAGGATTTAGTTACTCTGCTCACGGCCGAGGGTTCAGTTCACCATGGCAAGAGACCAAATCAGGAAAAAATGGAACGTCGGTGCTTAGCACTCACTCCCTGAATGCAGTCCCAGACCCCAGACCATGGAATGGCACCGTCCACATTCAGGGTGGATCTTTCCTCAATAGTTGAGTCTCTCCGAAAATGTGTACCCAGGGGTGTGTCTCCTGCTTGCTTTTTTATTATTATTTTATATGTATGAGTATTTTGTGTGTGTGTATGTCTGTGCACTATGTGCACGCCTGATGTCCATGGAAGCCAGAAGAGGGTGTTAGATTTCCTAGAACTGGAGTTATAGAAAGTTGTGGTTGCCCCTCCATGTGGTTGCTGGGAATTGAACCCAGGACCTCTGGAAGAGCAGCCAGTGCTCTGAAGCATTGTTACCTCTCCAACCCCTCTTAAGAAATTCTGAGTGTAACCAAAGTTGATCACACAAACCCTGAGAGCATGGTTTGGATAGGGTGTAACTGTCTAGGACCAGGCTGATTGGGGGCAGGAAATGTTCTAAATGTAGATTATGGGGCTGGAGAGATGGCTCAGCAGTTCAGAGCACTGGCTGTTACACAGGACCTGGGTTCAGTGCTCAGCTCCCACACAGCATCTCACGCTGCCTCTAACTCCAGTTCTACAGGATTCCATGCCCTCTTCTGGCCTTCATGGACAGCACATATATATAGTATGTTTACAGATACGCAGACAAAAACACTCATACAATAAAAATAATAAAATATTTAAAATTTAATTACAATGATAGGGGAAACACCAAAACTCGTTGAATTACACATTTTACAAATGAGTTTTGTAAAAAGTAAAGTGTATCATAGTAAAGCTGCTAAACACACTTTCAGAGCCACAGCCCATTCCTGGGGAAAGCCGTCTCCACAGTAGGTTTCCCATAAGCAGTGCTTGGTTGGAGAATTAGTGGTCTACCTGTACAGTCAGGAATTGTCCCCTGAGCATCCTTGACGGGCTGGCAGCCTTATGGGACAGCTCCACCCATAGCCGGCCATGGGAAGGCAGGAGTGCTCCCTACCCTTCTGTTGTTGGCTCCTCCCGTTTGCTCTACCCTGCCCTCCCAGGGGCTTCTGCTCTGAGCCTCCAGCACCCAGGCACGCACGCACGCACGTGGTCAGCTCACGCTGAGGGGCAGGTAGGCCTGAAGCTGGCCGGCATCTCAGCCACGCTCCAGAAAGATGAGACTTGGGTGATGCTGTCTATCATAGACATTAGACCCAGGTCTTGGGGCTTCCTCATCCTTACCAGGCCCCAAACAAGTATGTGAAAGATGAAATTCAAGTTGGCTCCCCATCGCCCAGCTGCAGGCAAATCATTTTGTCCTGTCTGCCAAACCGGGTCTCATCCTGGCTGAGGCTGATGTGAGAGCCATGGGTGGGAGGCAGAGGGATGAAGAGGTGGGTGCGGCCAGCATCTAACCTGTCCCCGTGGGCCTTGCCGGCAGGTGGTGTATGAGGACAGCCACCTGGTTCGCCTGAAGGCCCCTTATGTGTCAGGCTTCCTGGCCTTCCGGGAGGTACCCTTCCTGGTGGAGCTGGTACAGCGACTACAGGAGAAGGAGCCAGGCCTCACGCCCCAGGTAGGCGTCTCCTAAGGTTAGGAGAAGGCCTGTGCTTGTGCTTGGGGGCGGGGTCCCTCAGGCCACTGCCACCCACAGGAAGAGGGGATGAGAGACATCTGTAGCCATCTCCCCTTGCTGCCCCACAACAGCCCAGCTGACGGACTCCCCTGTGGCTCTGTAGGTCCTTCTCGTGGATGGAAACGGGGTGCTTCACCAACGAGGTAATTCTAGAAGAGGGTCAGAGAGGGTGCTGTGGGGCAGTAGGGTGTTTCCACCCAGAGGAGCCCCTGCTGTCTCCCCTCCTGACCACCCCCTCCACAGTACCCTACACTGGCCCATCCCCAGCACATCATCTAGGGTGACCTTGTGACCAGAGAGTCATAGGACTGAGCTCAGGTTAGCTCCATTCCCACACCAGCCCTGCGCTACCCGTCAGGCTCTGTCCCTGTCCTTGCCAGGGTCACCATGGCCTGAAGAAGGGTACGGTGGCACTCTCAAGTGGAGCATGAAGGAGCTGTTGTCTTCCTAGCCGGCAGGAAAGATAGGGGTCTGGCTAGAAACCATGGGCCCAGAGCCAAAGGAGAGACACATGCTAATCTGGACAACAGTTCTGGGCCAGCCAGCCACTCCTGGCCATTGCAGTCCAGGCCACTTGACAAGGCTCACACCGTAGGGGACAGATGCAGAGGCCCGACGCCAGCAGCAAATGGGAGGGGCCTTGTTCAGTGGGGTCAGCTTGGCACCCGGGTCTGTCGCTGTGGACGAGAGCCCCGCCCCCAGTGCTCAGCTCACTCCCTTTGCTCCCTTGCAGGCTTTGGGGTGGCCTGCCACCTCGGTGTCCTTACAGATCTGCCCTGCATCGGGGTGGCCAAGAAGCTCCTGCAGGTGGATGGGCTGGAGAACAACTCCCTGCACAAGGAGAAGGTGAGGAGGGCCTTGGTCTCCCCGGCGGACCCCAGTGAGGCCTGCGCCTGCATCAGCCCTGGGGCTAGGGCCCATGGCTTAGCCACCTCCTGGGGGCACCTCAGATCCAGCCTGGCCTGCTAGCACAGCATCCTGGCTTCTTCCCTGGAAGAAGGCCCACCTTCCCCTGGGCGCCTCCTTCCTAGTGCCTGTGCGCGGTTCTCTACAAGGGTTCACGCCCTTGGGAGCTTGCTGGGCGCCTCCTACCCTTCCTAGCAACACTCATGGAGGCTGTGCTCTAGTTCCTGGGGACGGGCTTTCCACCTTCTTGCCTCCCTCGGTGTAGATTTAAGGAAAGTGGGAGAGAAAGATGGGCAAAGGCGGGGTGCCAGGGTTCAAGCAGATGGGGTTTGTTTGTTTTTAACTAGGGAAAGGGAAGGGGGAGTCCGGCCTCTAGAGCGCAGCAGGAGAGAGGAGAGAAGGGGATAGAGAGAGAGGCTGGGAGGCGGGCAGGGCCCTTTAAAAGGGAAGGTAGTGAATGTGCACAGGTGATGCTCTCAGTGGCTGCAGCTGAGGGCGTGTCCTGTCAGGACCCCTGGGGCAGGCCAGTGCAGATGCCTGAGCACTAACACTCATCCAGCCTGCAGCTGAGCTTGCTGTGGTGCCTGGCTCTGGCCCTTGCTCTGCCTCCGCTTAATCCTTTTCCACGCAGAACCGGCATTGTGGATGAGCTGTCCTCATCCAGAGGAAGCCATTGACATAATGTTTATCCCATTGGGCAAGTTCCAAGAACTGAGACCGCCACCTCTTTCCTAGCTCTCGGGAGCCTGTGTAGAGAGTGAGGCATCTACACCCGTGGAGCTGTTGGAGCAGGGGAAGCCCAGGTCCTACTCGTGGCAACCTGGTCGCTGGATGTGCTGACCCTCCCCCACCCAAAAGAAGAGGGCTGTGAGGGGGCCTTACCAGGCCCCCAGCCGGAGGGGAGCACCCAGCCGGAGGGGAGCACCCAGCCGGAGGGGAGCACCCAGCCGGAGGCCCCCAGCCGGAGGGGAGCACCCAGCAGGTGGCCCCCAGCCGGAGGGGAGCACCCAGCAGGTGGCCCCCAGCCGGAGGGGAGCACCCAGCCGGAGGGGAGCACCCAGCCGGAGGGGAGCACCCAGCCGGAGGGGAGCACCCAGCAGGTGGTAGCTTTAGCCGGGTCCTGCACTTGCTGTGCCCAGTGGCACCTGTGTGCCCTCCGCCTGCCATTCGGGGCCTTAGCAAACCACAGCCCCTTCCTTATCCGAGCCCCAGTTAGCAGGGTAGATGAACCTCATACCGTGACCTTAGCACAGTTGGCAACACACTCAGTGCCGCCTCTGAGGTGTAGGTAAGGCCCTCTCCTCACTGATTAGATTTTTTAAAGTGAAGTTTGCTGGGCTCGGTGGTTAAAAATGTGTGCTTCTCAGGTGGGGCAGTGGTGGCCACGCCTTTAACCCCAGCATCAGGGAGGCAGAGGCAGGAAGATGTCTGTGGGTTCGAGGCCAGCCTGGTCTATAGAGCCAGTTCCAGGACAGCCAGGGCTACACAGAGAGACCCTGACTTGAAAAAAACAAACGAAAATGTTCTGCTCTTGCAGAGGACCCAAGTTGGGTTCCCAGCACCTGTGACAACAAGACGTAAGTCCAGCTCCAGGCGGTCTGATGCCCCTGGCATCTACAGCACCCACACTTACATGCACACGCCTGTCCCCACACAGACTTACACATACATGCATAACTCTAACATACAGCCGTTCAAAGAAGGACGCTGGCCTTCAGCCGTCGTTGTGGGGATGGCTCAGGCAGTGAAGTGCTTGTCTTGAACACCAAGAGCTTGAGATTGGTCCCCATTACCCACATGAAAAGTGCTGAGCCTGGCGGCCCCAGCTTGTTATCCCAACACCAGAGGCAGAGAAAGGGGCCCCTTGGTGAGCTCCAGGCCAGTAGGAGACACCTTCTCAAAGAAGGCGAGTGATGATCCTGAGGGTGACATACTCAGGCCTGGCTGAGACAGGCCTTGAGCTCACAGAGGTCTGTCCCTCTGCCTCTCTAGAGCTGAGGTTAAAGGTGTGCACTAATGTACACATTTTTAAGGAGGTGTTTGTATGGTTGCTTTTTCTGTTTCCCAGATTATGTCCCTTCAGGCTGGGGGAGACACATTTCCTCTGATGGGCAACTCTGGGACTGTCCTGGGAATGGTAAGTGGCCCAAAGGCTGTGCCCTCTCCAGACTCAGGGTCCACTAGGCCATGCCACAAGGCATCCCCTGTCACATGCGTGTGTGCAGGCTGGACCCTGTCTTCTACACATCACCCCACAGCCAGAGCATGCTGTGTCACATACTCCTCTGGCTACACTCACCCCATGTGCCACCTGGAGATGCCTTGGCCCCATGAACTCCTTCCTGCCACCCAGGACACCCTCGGAACCTCAGCCTTGAGACTGGCCTATGCCACAGAAACGTGCCCTAGCCATGCCTGACCCCCCTTCACCCACAGGCCCTGAAGAGCCATGACCACAGCACCAAGCCCCTCTACGTCTCTGTGGGCCACAGAATAAGCCTGGAGGTTGCTGTGCGCCTGACCCACCACTGCTGTAGGTTCCGGATCCCGGAGCCCATACGCCAGGTATGGGGGCCAGGGGCGGGGGAGGGGGTGATTGACACTGCCGCCTAGCCTCACTTGGGGTGGGTCTCTGCCGGGATCCGAGGCCCGGTCCCCAGGCCCCTGGGTGGAAGGAACCACTGGGCACTGAAGGCAGGAGTGTAGAGCCGAGGTTGCTTCACCTGGGAATGGTTGCTGCTGTGCTTGCCTTGCGAAGCCTCCTGCACCAGGGCACAGCAGTGCAGACAGCTTAGCCTTTCCAAAGCCAGCGAGTGTCAGGCAGGACCAGCGGGGAGTCAGGCTCACAGGAGCCTCACCCTGGTGCCAAGGACACCAATTAGGTCAGACCCCAGGGCTTGGCTCTGCCAGGTACCATCACCATGACTCCTCAGGCCCCCAGAGTCATCTCAGCCTGCGGGAAAGCATCATGCAGGTCACCTTTCCGTATCGCCCTCACATGCTGGTGCCTGTCCAACAGCGGACCGTAGGCTGAGGACCCAGGAAAAGCCCCCCCCCCCTTGTGTTTGTGCTTGTTGTTGTTTGTTTGTTTGTTTGTTTGTGTGGCTGTGGGGGTTCTGCCTCCAGAGTGCTGAGATTAAAGGTACAACACCACCACCTGGCTGGAAAAGCCCCTTTATAGAGGGGGTCGGAGGACAGAGGGGCTCTAGAAAGGCCCTGGCAAAAGCCCTGGGCCAGGAGGAATTTGATATAGTCAAGCCATTCGGTCAGAGTGGTGAGGTGGGGAACCACACCAGCAGGGACTTGGAGCAGCTGCTGTCTGCATCAGCTGTGGGACAGCTCTTCGGGCCACAACTCCGCATACTCAGGAGACCGTGAAGTCTTTGGGAGGTATGAAGGAGGCCATGCAGCCCACTAGCGGCAGGCTGGACTCTGTCTCTGCCCCAAGAGAGAGCAGCAGAGCTGCAGATGCACAGGATGGCCTCCAGGTGGCAGCAGCAGGCTGTGCCTCCTGTGGTGCTCAACCCTGCTGCTGGAAAGGCTGGCTGCCCAGAGCTGGCCTCTGAGAAGGAGCAAGCATTCCCCCAGGAAATGCCCTCTTCTCCCTAGCTCACCCCAGCCCTCTCTCGTCTCGGATGTTTGTCTGGTTACAGGTGCAATGGTCTCTCAACCCTGTGAGTCATGCCCCAGCCCCAGGAAGCCTTTTCCTTTCCATCTCGGTGGTCTAAAGAGAGAAAGCTCAGCCCTGTGCTATGCCGGCCTCAGCTCCTATGGCCGTGGTTTTTCCCAGAGTTACAGTGGTTTCTGTCCTAGCAGGCTGCCTGCCCTGGGGGCCCAGGCTGCCAGAGAGGAAGGGAATAAGGCTTGCCTGCCCAGGAATGGCTGTGGCTCTTGGCTTCTCCGTAGAGCTCCTTCCCAACATCCCCAAAGTTCTCCAAGGGGCCAGTGCCGCTCTCTGGGGACTCACCTTCCTCTTCTCTGGTCCATGCCCAGCCTCTGCTGTGCTCCTTGTCCTGGGCCCAGGCTCTGCCGGTCGGGACGTCCCCCTGCCCACAGCCTACTTCCCTTGGCTGAAGAGGCTCTGCCTGCAGGGTTAGCCATTGCTGTCTGTAGGTCATGTGATTCCCAAGGCTAAGCTAAACCCATCTGAGCTGGGGTCAAGGGCTTCCCTAGGCCAGACCCTTGCAGGTGGCAGGGGTATATTCGGGTCTGAGTCCCATACCTGTGGCCCTCGAGTCCTTTTTTTATTATGGTAACTTGTCAAACTTTCTGGGGGTGGGCAGTGTCACAGCTGACATCCATCAGAGGGACAGACAGACAGAGAAGACAGACACCTGGGCTATGAGTCCAAGAAGAGGGCTAAGCAGCGCGTGCCCTGAGCTGAGCTCCTCACCCACCGTTCACCTGCCACCGGTCAGCTGACGCTGGGAGGGGCCAGGACCCTCAGCTCCCAGCTCTTCCGTCAGCTACACGCTGGTGGGGCTCGTGTTCCCAGAGGACATGGTGGGGGCTGCCTCTGGGAGGGCATGACGTGCTCCCCAGCTGCTGGGGATGGGGACATGTGTGTGCCACAGCTGTGTGTGTCTTTCAGGCTGACATCCGCTCCCGAGAGTACATCCGAAGGACTCTAGGAACCCCCGGGTCTCCTGCACAAATGCGAGCGAGGTGAGTGGGAAGGGCGTCCTCAGTGGCTGAGTGTGAGCCCAGCCTGACGGGGGCATAGGAAGAGAACAGACTGCAAGCCTAGTGGGAGCCCTCAAGCAACCCCACTCCTGTGGCTCAGTTGTCCCAAGGCCTACCTCCAAAATATGACCGCTGTCCTAGTTAGGTTTCTATTGCTGTGAGGAAACACCATGCCAAAAGCCAGTTAGGGAGGAGAGGGTTTGTTGGGCTTACACTCCCACATCACTGTCCCTCACTGGAGGGAGTCACAGCAGGAACTCGGGCAGGGCAGGGCCTGCTTCCGCTGGAGGGAAGGGGGCTGCTCACTGGCTTGCTCATCACGGCTTGCTCAGCCTGCTTGCTTATAGAACCCAGGACCAGCAGCCAAAATGGGCTGGGAGCTCGCACAGCAACCACTCATTATTGAGAAAATTCCCTACATCGGGATCTAAGGGAGGCATCTTCTCAATTGAGGCCCCGCCTTTCAGACGACTCTAGCTAGTGTCAAGCTGAACCTAGTCAGCACAGCTGCCACACCTTTCCTGGTCCGTTTCACCTGTCCAGGGGTCCAGGCCAGGGCTGCTCACAACAGATATGGTCCTTAGAGTCAGACATGAGATAAGAGTGGAGACCGTGGTTAGCCCGCAGACTCAGCTGGGGACACAGGGCTGTCGTGAGTTCTTTACACAAACTGGTATTACTAGAACAGGCCTCGGGGAAGTCTTGTCATGAACAGGTACTGTGATCCCATTTCCCGGGTGAGGAAACCGAGGCACAGAGAGGGCATCAGCAACAGAGCATGGTGTGTCTGGCAGCTTCGGTTTTGGTCCCTGCCTCCAGTGCCCCTCACTCCCCAGGTGGCCACAGCGGCCCTGGCTTGAGTGGTGAAGGGTACCCTTGTCATGCCTGCTCCCCTGGAAGCTGGTGGCTGTCCCTGGGCCCACGAAGCTGTTTGAGAACCGAGGGAGTGGGCAGCTGGCCCTACCCCAGCTTCATAGCTGAGCTCGGCCAGCCTGAGGTAGAGTGGCTGTTTAGTTGACGCTGTCCCACAGCAGGCCTTCCAGAGACCCCCTGGCCTTTTATCCTTTTGTGTCACCTGTTTCTTGGTGTCATTACCAGGAGCCGGGAGGAGCAGAGGCCAAAGGCATACCCCAAAGGAGGCCCAGGTCCGGCCGGGCCCCCCAAGGACAGTGGCAGAGGCCCCAGCCCAGACCTGGAAGACCTTCAGCTGTGTTTCCAGGAGCAGCAGGACGGGCAGCCAGAGGGAACTGGGCATCATGAAGACTCGGGCCTCCGGACTCCTTCACCACCCTGGGAAGATGATCTCTAGGAGCGGTGGGCATCTCTCCCGCAGCCACAGGTAGAGCAGCGGGCGCTGGAGGCAACAGTAGCCTAAAGCCCAGCAGGGCACAGCAGGCGCAGTCTAGCATGGGCCGATGGCTGCCCAGCCTCCTGCATCACTAGCTGGTCAGCGTGGTCACCATGACCCAGAAGGACCACATTCCAGACCAGGAAACGCGCAAGCACCCAGAGGTCCCGAGGCTGGCAGCCTGTGCCAGCACCTGCAGCTCTGACCTGGCTCTGGTTTCGCTCCTCTGTTCTCAGGGGTCACCGTTACATCACCGTCCTGGCCGCAGACTGCCCGTCAGTGGGCATAGTTGGGCTGCAGCCCCCATACAGCCCCAAGGTGCCTGTCCTTAAGCTTGCCTGCTGCTGCTGCTGAGCCCCAGGGGCCTGCCGTGGGAAAGCCTCAAGCCTGGAGCAGGCTCAGGAGTGGGCGTTGGGGAGTCAGCTCCACACAGGGTGCCAGATGGGAAGCCGGTTGAGGCCCGCGGTGAGAAAGCCCCGGGCTCGGCTCCTCACTCCTGTTCCTGACACCCCCTCTCGCCAGAGGGAGCGCCAAACCCCACCCCACCAAGAAGGCATCTCCCCTGGGTGGGTTTGCAATGGTTGCTGAGGCAGGCCACAGGGGCGGCTCACCAGCAGCATGGCCCCAGTACCCTGTCCTCTAACACATACGCAGCAGAGGGTCACCCGAGTGGCAGCTGAGGTGGGCATAGGTAACATATCTGTAACATGCCCCTTGCCCGCACCCTTGTAGACAGCTCTTACGTGATCTAGATCATTTCAGTCATTAAAGTACACCTTGTCAGCCTTTCTGGAATATCCGCAATCCAGTTCGCACAGTGGTACGTGTGGGCCCGGCTTCTGGGGAGCATGAGCCCCAAGGATCACTGGGCCTGGGTTCAAGGCCAGAGGCTCCATCACAAACGGACATCATCTTGTGTAGCCATTATTACCTTGTTTGCCTCAGAGCATTTTCATGGATCCAAAGGGAGCCCTCTGCTGTTAGCCTCCAGTCCCCACCCTTCTCCACAAGAAGCATCAGCCCAGCCACCCCACATTGTGTTTGTGGGTTTGCCTGTTTCCAGGCTCCTTTGTGGGGCACCATGTGCCATCTTCTCTCCTTTCTGTGGCTGAATTCTATCCCATGCGTGGAGCTGTGCATTTAGTTTGCCCAGTCATCTCCCAGGTGCTTGCCTTGTGTCTATGCTAGAGATCCTATATGCTGAGCTCCTTGTAACGTTTCATTCTGGTGGGTGTGTGCCTAGGAGGGTCAATGCTGTGTCCTATGGCCACCCTGTGTTTCCCACAGGAGCAGTCCCCTTCCGCAGCCCTGTCACCACCCCAAGAGCATGTCCCCAGCCTTCCAGCACTTGTTACTGTGTGTCTTTGGAGTCTGGCTACCCACTGAGTTGAAAAGGAGTTTATTTGCCTTCTCCTAGGCCACTTTTGTGCCCTGTTCACATCCTTTGTTGCCCCCCCCCGTGTGTGTGTGTGTGTGTGTGTGTGTGTGTGTGTGTGTGTGTGTGTAATTGGGCTATTTGTAGTTGAGTTTCAAATTCTGGATTTTAGTGATGGGGGGTGTGTCTCAAGGAGTTAGTCTTGGATCTAATTCATTGCTATTTTCTTTTTCTACCCCTGAGATCACTAGAAATAGCCCCACTTTGAGTCCCCGGTCTGTTGCCTTGGCCCGCCGTGGTCAGCATGGGTTCTTTGGTGGCTTCCTCAGATCACTTGGCAGCAGCGGGAACACAGGTTCCTTGCTGAGGACCCACGTGAGTCAGAAAAACTGAGAGGGGGCTGCCACTACGCCTGCATCACAGCCTTCCCTGCCTGTCCCCAAACCACTAGCCACGGCCCGTCCAGATGCTGCTAGGGGTGAGTCCAGCTGTCCCGTGGCCTTGGGATGGAGCAGAAGTGTGCAGGCTCAGGCCCTGAACCGGGGTTGGCATTTGGGCTGGGTCTATGCCTGGAAGAAGTTTAGGGCATGGGCTAGCAGCCAGGCTTGGCGGTCGTGCAGGGTCACCGCACGCTTGGTATACACGCTGTGACACCCTGCAGCATCGCGTCAGTGGCAATGGCCAGGGACCTGACCCTTCCACCCCCACTCCAGGCCAGAGTTATCTGGGCGCCGCTGCTACAGTGGCCTGGGGGAGTAGGGCGCGAGGGCCAGAGGGATGAAGAAGTAGAGAAGGGGGAACATGGATGGCGAGCCCGCCGGGGTGGGATGGCCAGACACCCAGACACCAGTGCCCGAGGGCAGGGGGCCCTAAGTGCAGTGGCGTCTCAGCTCCTTCCCACAGAACCTTAAAAATAGGAGCTGGGTGATGTCCATCTCAGCAGACCACAGCTCTCTAGAGCTAAGAATATTCTTGGTGCTCTTAATAATTCAAGTCAGATCCAAATAGATTTCCATATTCATCTGCAGCTTCTGAGCCCCTTCCCAGCATCCCCACCCCAACCAGCAGCTGGGCGAAGAGGCTTCCAGGAGGAGGTAGTCCAGCCTGGCCTCTGGGTCACTCAGGACCCCAGCCGCCCCCATTTCCTGCTCATGTGGCAGCCGGGAATGGTGGACACTGCCAGGCTGGAGTGGCCGTGGAGTGGCCGTCACCACCTATGCGCCAGCAGGTCAGGCTGGGGAGCCTGGAACCTTCCTCAGCACCACTCTTGGCTGCTGGGAGCTCACCTGCTCCTTAGACCCCAGGGGCTGCTTCACAGCCCCCCAGGAGTGTTCTCCTACCTCCGCAGAAGAGTCCTCGAAGGGCTTTTCTGGGGCTGTGACCTAGTGAGTGCATCTGTACAGAGCTCCAGTCCAAGGCCTCTGTTCCCGCATGCTGACTGTGAGTGGTCAGTACCTCCTTCCTGAATGGTGACATGGTGGGTTTGATGTCTCCAGAGTCTGTCAGCTTTGGCCACCTTCCCCTCCAGAGACAGTGCCAAGCTGGCACACCCTTCACCTACCTGTCAGCTGAAGATCTGGTTTCAAAGGTGAGGAGCGAGGGGTCACATGATAAGGCGGAGGACCGCCCACCTGGCCCACCCACCCCACAGCAGCCCAGCCCAGCCCAGCCATCGTGCTGTACCATCCTGACCAGGTCCAGCCGGGAGTTTTGTGTGACTATTCTTTAAAAGCAGAGGCCCAGGATAGAGGCACCCTGACATGCAGGTGAGTGGCCCAAGGTGCTGTCAGCTGGGCGCCACAGAGGGGTGATGGAGTAGAACTCCCTCCCCGCTTTCCCAGCAGGCACCCCGTGCCAGGTCCTGAAGGGCCCCTGGGAAAGAGGAGTGTAAGGCCCAGGGACCCGCATCAGGTCCCAACGGGGAGCTGTGAATGCAGTCTGGGCATGGGTTAGGGTTTTGTTTCCGTGTTGAACAGGGTCTCATCACAGCACAGGAGGGTTGACCTTGAGCCTCTGATCTTCCTGGCCCCCTCCCCTCTCCTAGGGGTGGGGTTACACGGTCTGTGCCACCACACTAATGGTGGGATCAAACTCAGGCTCTGCGCGCTAAACAAACACTACTAACTGAGCCGCACCCCCCAGCTTTGGGTTTTGTTTTTACACACTTAAATTTCATTCATAGTGTTTTTCTAGTCAAATCCGGAAGCCTGCAATGTCTGGGAATAGCACGAAAAGCTGGTGTCTCCTTGCCTGGGTCCCTCTCAGAGTAAACTTATTTTAGCATACCCTTTGATTATTTCCTTATTCTTTATAAACGGTATTTTAAAATTACGTGTGTCTGTGTGTGGGTATGTGCATGTAAGTATAGTACTTCAGGGGCTAGAGGAGGACATCCCATCAGAGTTACAGGAGTGAGCCAGTTATGAGCCTGTCCTGAGTGCTGGGAACTGAAATCTGCAGGAAGCTCTCTAGCGCTCTTACGCTGGGTGTTTACCGCTACAGAACCCGCAAACATTGCTCCCTTTTCCCGTCCAGATTTAGAAATTGCATTTGTTTTACTCGTACACCTCTTGTTCTTTCCTAGGCTTACTGGTCGCCTTGTTTAAGGTGGGAGCTGGTTTAGTTCTTCTGCAGCCATTGCTTATTTCTTCCCCTGACCCTGCAGTGGAACCAAGCAGCATACATCTCCTTCAGGAGCACTGGCATCAGAAGGCCATGTGTGAGCTGGACTTCGTGGTAGCTCTGGTGGCCGTTAGCTCTGGTGGCCGTTCTCCAGGACAACCTAGTGGCCCGCTCTCCTAGATTTATCTAGTTGCCTGGCAATAAGATCTGTTGTGACTCATAAACGATGACAAAAGCAAGCATTCCCAACTTTAGGTTGTAGAACACATGTGACTGGTGTACACTCTCTCCCTCTCTCTCTCTCCCTCTCTCTCCCTCTCTCCTCTCTCCCTCTCTCTCTCTCTCTCTCTCTTTCCCTCCCTCTCTCTCCCCCTCTCTCCCTCTCTCTCTCTCTCTCTCTCCCTCTCTCTCTTCCTCCCTCCCTCTCCTCTCTTCCTTCTCCCTCCTCCTGTCCCTCCCTCTTAGGGTCTCTTATTTTCAGCTGCCATGTCACAAGCTGCTCTGAGGACATTATCTTGGAAATGTCTGTTCTACCCTTCAAGACTGGGTGACAGCATCGCTGGCTGTCGTCATGAGACCCTGAAAGAGAGCCCCTAGCCCATCGGTCTCCCATCCCTCAAAAACAACAGTGCATAGCGAATCTCTGGTGCAAAGTAATTTGCTTGCCACAAGGGATAAGTGACACAGAGCCGTTCCCTCCGAGGCCTGGGGGTAGGGGTACAGCTCTGCACCCCATACAGTCCTCCATCCCAACGACGCTCATGTTTTAATGCTGCCCAAGACCCTTTCCGCCTCGTAACCAGTGCCCCTGATGGCCTTGTGGCAGGGGAATCTGGGAAGAGGCCCTTTCTTTTTCTTAAACTACCATGAGAGTTTTTGTACCAGCAGGCAGGGAATAGCTCTATGGTAGAGCACTTAGCTAGCATGGGTTCGATCCCCAGCCCTCACCCACACACCAGAATAGTTACTGTAGAGGCAGTAGTTTTGTTTCTAAGGTACATGAACACTATA